GAGCGTCGCCCCTGTCTCGTCTGGTGCTGCTTCCTCTACCCCCTGCGACACCTTGACCTCTGAGAGCGTTGTTCCCGTTGCCACCAACTCCGAGGATGTTCCTTCGTCCTCGTCGGTCCCGGTCCAGGTTCCTTCTAGCCCTGCCCCTCGTCCCTCGAGCTCGACCCCTGCCTCTGGCACCGTCAACGTGATCCCCACTCCTTCCAGCGTCGCTCCTGTCTCCTCTGGTGCTTCGTCCACTCCTTGTGACACCCTCACCTCGGAGAGCGTTATCCCTGTCGCTACCAGCTCTGAGCAGACTCCTCAGCCTTCCGTCCCTGCCCAGCAGCCCTCGAGCCCGGCCCCTGCTCCCTCGAGCAGCACCGTCCCGGTCATCCCCGTCCCCTCGAGCGCCGCTGCTGAGTCCTCCAGCGCTCCCTCTTCCACCCCTTGCGACACTCTCACCTCCGAGACTGTGATCCCCGTTGGCACCTCCTCCGAGGAGCAAACCACCCTTGTCCAGGCCACTGGCACTGGCTCCACCGTCGACGTTGTTGTCCCCACCACGACCCCGGCTGTCCGTCCCTCGAGCCCCGCTCCCCAGCCCTCGGCTGGCCCCAGCACCGTCCCGGTCGTCCCTGTGCCTGCCTCGAGCCCCGCCTCGTCGACCCCCTGCGACACCCTCACCTCCGAGTCCGTGATCCCCATCGCTACTAGCTCCGAGACCCAGTCTGTTCCCGTGCAGACTCCCTCGTCGGTGCCCGCTCAGCAGCCCTCCGTCCAGCCCTCTGCTCAGCCTTCCGTCCCCGCTCAGCAGCCCTCCCCCGCTGCTAGCAGCACCCCCTGCGACACCATCACCTCGGAGTCCGTGATCCCCGTCGCCACCAGCTCCGAGACCCCTGAGGCCGTCGAGCCCACCCAGGCCCCCAGCCCCTCCACCACCTCCGTCGATGTTCCCCAGACTCCCGCCGCTGCTTCGTCCACTCCCTGTGATACCCTCACCTCGGAGTCCGTGATCCCCATCGCCACCAGCTCTGAGACCCCCGCCCCTCTGAGCACCCCCGCCTCCTGCGCTAGTTGCGCTCCCCGTGTGGTCACCGTCACCACCACCGTGAGCGTCCCTGTCTGCACTCCTACTGCTTAAGCGGTTCGAGTAGTTAGACTACAAACTACCTAACGTGGGATTTATTTTCTCTTTTGAATATTTCTTTTTGAAGCTTCTTTTTTCTGGCGAATTTCTCAAGAACGGACACGAACGAACTTACAGCACAAACGGCAGAAGAAATAACCTGGTGAACTATCTTTTGTTGTGGTTTTTGGCCTGTACATAACTAATTTTAATTCTATAATCCTCGGACAGCTCGTGCCCTACTTTGGTCTTCCGTTTAAGTTGTATACACTTTCCTGTCAATTGTTCAAGTGTCTACAAGAGTAGGGCATTATGTGTACATAACCAATAGTTCACCGCGTCTTGTCTTTTTCTTGAGATTGGTCCGGAGGAAAGAATTATGTTTTTTTTTGTGATTTATTTTGGTACATTGGTTTTTGGTTAACTGGCTTTGCTGTTTATGGTTGATTCCCCTTCAATGGATTACATTCATTTTTAACCATTAGTATCTCTGTCTACGGAGTACGTTCTACTGTAGATGTAGATGCATAACCCTATCCCATCATAAGCTATCCGTGCATAAAAAATACACTCTCCCGCGTGGGGTGTATCTCAGGGGCACCATACGGTAACTCATCCGTAACCATACCGTACCGGTAAAACATGACAGTCCTTGGTAATACTAGTACAAAAACCGCTCCACAATATTATATCCCGCAGCCCGACAATCGCAATAAGAAGAAGCCGCTCAATCAGGGCTGACAGGTGTTTAGTGTGATGACGAGTTGCTGATTATCATTGATTGTGCAATTGCACCGCCTCTTCTTTTCTTGTACCGAAGCGGGAGATTATGAGTATGGGGGTGGGATAATTCGTTTGCGTGGTTATTTTATTTTATTATTTTGATGAGCCGTGCACTGTACACTCGGCAGGGCGTTGGCAGGGCGTTGGCAGGGCGGTGATGTCTGTAAACGGTTGAATGGTGGATAGAGACGGTGTAATCCGTAATCCGGGCATTCCGCTGGCCCATGACCCAGGCCCATGTGCATAGTGTGCTGTGTCTCATGTGCTGGACAGGGATACGTTGCATGCCATCTGCAGGTACCATCCTTAACAGTATGTTTCTTTGATGACTATCAAAGACTACCGAGGATTAACCGTCTATGCCAAGAGTCTACAAGGCGAGTGGAAATAGTTCTAACAAGTGCACTGGTATCTTGATATTGGATTGATTGCTACCCTTAATAACCTACCTGGTCACTCACGACGTCGCATCGCTCGTATTCGCTCGCGTAGGAGCTTCTCGCGAAGTTCCGTGCTGGATATGCGCGTACCTTTCGGCTTAGAGGAAATAGTCTATAACCCAATCCGTTAGTTCAAAGATTATTCCATTCATCCAGGAACAAAGAACTGGAAAAGGAGAGAGGGGATGATAGTAAATCAAGACAGACATCAAGGTTAGGAGAAACATAGATTGCCTTCGAGGTTATGAGGTTCATCCACCCACCTCATCGGCATCCTTCATCTCTTTGTTAGCCGAGCTCGATCGGTCTGCGGGTGGTGGTGGTGGTGGTCCCTCGTCTTCATCAGTCAACCTCTGGCGCTTTTCAGTGGGGACGGATACAGATGACGAGTTTCGCCGTCTTCGTGCGGCGGGGGTATATCTTTGGAGAGAACGGCGTCTCTTGCGATCATGGTCTCGGTCCCTTCTTGGACTCCGGCTGCGGCTGCGAGATTCAGACCGTCTCGGGCTGCTGCTGGGTGTGCGTGTTCGGCCTCGACTGCGACTGCGGCTGCTGCTGGTAGAATGTCGACGTCTGCGACCGGCGTCGCGGTCTCTGCTGCGGCTCAAGCGGCGGTTATCACGGGAGCGGGCCTTTCCAATATCAGCCGTTGTCTCTTTATTATATGTTCTTGTATCAGATTTTCTCCGTCTATCCGCGCCCCGAGAAAGTGACCTAGATCCCGACCTCGACCTCGATCTCGAATATGAAGCGTTTCTTCCATGGCGACGGGGAGGTGGTGAGCGCAAGCGCGACGAACTGCGGGAAGACACGGATCGCCTCCTTCGGTCCCGCTTGGGCGAGCGCGAACGTGAACGCGATGAATCGCTGCGACTAATAGACCTAGACGGACTGCGTCTCTTTGTCCTCCTGCGACCTCCTCGCTCCGGAGACGGGGAGCTGCTAACTGACCGACGACGTCTCCGCGGCGGGGACCTCGACGAGGACGGTGTCCGGGAAGGAGAACGGCTGACCGACCGCGACGGCCGACGCCCTCTCCGGGGGCCAGATGGAACGTAGGAATCAAACTCTCGCCTAGGCGGAGGTTCACGGAAACGGCCTGGGCTGCGTCGCCGGGGTGGTGATCTGTTGTCTCTGAACGGGCGTCTATCAAAGTCCCTGCCTCCGCGACCACCGCCTCGTCCCCTCCCTCGACCGCGATCAAATCGTTCCCTCTGTCGAAGATCTTGTAGTTCGCGTTCACGTGTGCGCTCTTGCTCTTTCTGGCGTTGGGACTCTTCGGCTGCTTTTTCGGCTTCGATCTAGCACGTAGACGTTAGTTTCCATGTAGAACACGTAGGACAGGCTCGGCTCACCTTCTCTTGTATAAGCTCAAGCTTCTTCGCCTCCAGAAGCTCCTTGGGAACGCCTTGGGGATTCTCCTGGGCACTCAGACATAGCGACCACAGCTCCTTGCAGAACTTGCCCGTATCTTTATCCAGAAACCCCGTGAGTTGAATCTGCAGCGATTTGACATCTGGCTGTTCAAAGCGAAATATTAGCCATATCTCATCAGACCGGTTCGGAATCACGTACATAACGGGATCCCTCGAGAAGATTAAAGCAAAGCTCAATCACCACATCATCCTCGTTCCCAAGAATCTCAGAGATCTTCCCGGCGATCCATCTGTCCAAAGACCGCAGTCAGCTTCTGCTCACATCCTCCGCACCTCAAACGGGAGGAACTCACTTCTTCATAACCTCGATATTCACCTTGGTCATATCCACCTTCCGGCTGAATTCCGGGGGGAATTTGGTCTGCCGGAGCATCTTCACATCCACGCTTGCCATTTTTGTTAGCTAGGATGTTTTGAGGGTACTCACTGACCTTGTGAATGCTTGGGCGCGTGAAAGCTGCAGATACCGCGGCGAGAGACGGGATTGCGCTTTGGGTTGGTGTTGCCGGACGTAGATCGGAGTGATGTCGGTCCGGTGCTTATCGGTGCTGCAGGGCTGCCTTTTTGGGAAGGGACTCGGTGATGGATCAGGAGCCATTGCATAGTTGGATTAGGACTTATAGACACTGTTGATGCAGGTAGCAAACATTTGTGCTCTATAAAACAGATGCATGAGTGATATTAAGTAGTAGACATTCAATTAACCCATACAGGGCATCCAGTTTCCATACTATGAACATAATCATAACATAACCTCATAACCACACCAACCCCATTCCTAGGCGTATTCCACACCTAAAATGTCATATCCCAAGCTCTCTCATCAATCCCCTCCCCATTATAACTAACCTCCTTCAAAACCTTTCTCACACTCTCCCTCGCCCTCGCCAACTCCTCATCCACAGTCCCATTCGCATGTCTCGTCTTGAGCTCGTGATGTAAATCCACCAGTTCCTTTGCGCGTCGGAGGTCTTCGTTACTGTCGCGGTGGGATTGTGCTTGCGATTGCGACTGTGTTTGGGATTGTGTTTCTTGTGAGGGTGCGCGCGCAGGGAGTCGCTCGTTTACGGTGACGAGGGTGAGGGCGTCGGTGTGGTCCTGTTCGCGTTAGTAACTATACCTTGGAGGGGTGTATAGGGGTTGAACGTACACACACTCGTAGGGAGGTTATGTCTGAGAGGATCTCTGCGACTTGCATGATAGCGCTGGTAGTATGTGTATGAAGGGATGTGCTTCGAGTTCGTTTGGATTGCTCTGCGATATGGAAATTCTTGGCGCTGCAATTATGAGAGTCCAGATCTATGAGCCAGTCTTATCGATCTGTGAAGTTGAAGTGTTGAAGTCAAGAATCGCGATCCAATTGACTGCTCAACCGACATAACCAACTCTATTAGCATGAACCACCTATCAACGGCATGACATTAGTTGCTCTCCAGAGATAGATCGCATATACCTTCCATGTCACACCCTCCAAGCTAACGGGAATAAATCCGACTCCCGGAGTTTCGTCGCTTCTCCGCAATCCGATTAATTGATTACCCGCGACATAAAGCAGTCTTCCCCTCTTCCCCAACACAACAGCGCTTTCATTCCTATATCCTTCTCAATTGACATACAAGATCGCAACAATGGCATCTACCATCCGAGCCAATTGCAGAAAAGTCATCTGCATCGGCAGAAACTATGCGTCCGTCTCCCCTCCCCCGCGTCTCCAAAACACCCAACCCCCCAACACCAAACCAGTCACTAACACATACGAGATAACACAGCGACCACATCACAGAACTAAACAACACCAAACCAAAACAACCCTTCTTCTTCCTCAAGCCGTCATCCTCGATCCTGTGTCCCCGCGAAGGACCTGTCCTGCGTCCCCGCGGAACAAACCTGCACTATGAAGTGGAATTGGCGCTGGTGATGGGCAAGTCGGTGAGGGATTTGGATCCCCAGGATGATAAGGGGGCTTTTGATGCGATTCAGAGTTCGTCACACACAACTACATACCTACAAGATGTGTTAAAGTAACAGGGGCTGATGATTTGGCAGGCTACCTCCTCGCAATCGACATGACCGCCCGGAACGTCCAAGATGAAGCGAAGAAAAAGGGTCTCCCCTGGACCATCGCCAAGGGCTTTGATACCTTCCTCCCCGTTTCGCAGGAGATTGCCAAATCGCGCATTCCGGACCCGCATAATGCGTTTCTGCGGTTGAGTGTTGGGTCGGAGCAGCGCCAGGCGGACTCGTCGGGTCTTATGCTGTATCGGATTCCTAGGCTTATGGCGGAGATTTCGCGTGTTATGACTCTTGAGAAGGGGGATTTGGTGTTGACGGGTACGCCTAAGGGTGTTGGGGAGGTGAAGTCTGGGGATGTTATGAGGGCTTCGATTGAGGTTGATGGGAAGGAGATTGAGGAGGGGAAGATTGATGTTGAGGTTAAGGATCGGGAGGGACGGTATGAGTATAGTGAGACCTAATCGCAGTATGGGATGTTATGATTATATGTGGCCCAGGGCGTACATAGCAATATGATCGTTGCATGACAGTCAGTTGTATAACAGATCCTCCTCATCCACAGGCACGATAGGAATACACCTCCTCTTTTTGCTCTTCTTAACCGGCTGATCCGTCCGTCGAGATCTCTCGCGCTCTCTCACAATCTTTTGCACAGCAGTTTCCAAAACACTCCACATCCACCCCCCCTCATCCAACTGTTTCTCCAAACGCCCCCTAATATCCACATCATCAAGCCCAGCCACAAAAGCCTCCACAATCCTCCCCTCCCTCTTTCTAGGCGGCAGCTGACCCCGACCAGCCTCCGTCAACGAGAAGTACTCCGACAGGCTTCGCCCATCCTGCTTGATCATGCTATACTCAGTCTCATCATGATCCGGCTCAGTCATCTGGAGGTCATCGCGGGCATGGACGGGCTGCTGATCTCTAGCGTCGCTAAAGTTCGAACTCCCAAGTGTACTCTGCGAGAGCGTCTGCAGGGAGGTATCATGATCCTGTCCTGACGACACAATCTGTCGCTCTCTAGGCATCGAGTCAGGCACGATATCCATATCCTTATTAGACACATCGCCCACATTCGTATCCGCGCCTGCCATCCGAATCAGTATCGTATCCCCAACCCTAACCAGCTTGAGAAGCTCAAGGGAGTATACCTCTCCCACAACAACACCCACCACACCCACCACACTGCAATCCCTCCATCTCCCTACCCACTACCTCCTCCACAACCCTGCTAACCTCTGCCCTCATCATATTCCTCAAATCACTCCTCACAACTTCCAACTGCATCCCAACAGCGCACTCCAACCCCTCACCCCATTCACCCCTCACTCCATTCAACAAACCCCCCAACCGCCTATTCTCCCCCTTCACCTCATCAACAGCTATCCCTATCTCAGCAAAACGTGCATTAACACCGCCCTCAAGCTCAGTAACCCTTCGCCCCAGTGCCTCGCGCGCGTCGGCTTCTGCTTCAACGTTGGCTTCAGCGTGAGTGTTGTTATTCTCTCGCGCGCGAAGATACTGGACAGCGATCTCGAGAGACGAGACGGTTTGTTGGAGGGTGGATAGGGCATGTGTTGTTTTGGAGAGGTCGGATTGGGTCGTTGTGAGTTGGTTGAGGAGGTGGATGTTTTCGCGGCGGATTTCGTGGGCCCAGAGGAGGGAGGGGGCTGTTGGGTCCCAGGGTCGGGTTGTTGTGTTGTTTTCCATGGTTGTGGTTTATTTTGTTTAGTAGAAGAGTTGATGGGGTGGGTAGTATGTGAGGAAGTGTATGAGTGAGTTGTTTGATGTTGGGTTGGGTTGAGGTGAGGGTTGGTATACGAATCGGGAAAGGACCTCAAGTCAAGTCCATCGAGCCGTCATCTTACTTCTCTCCCGGAAACAAAATAGAACATGGAATGACATTTACTCTATTGAACTAGCCATAATCACATATTTATCCGCCCAAATGCTTTTGCCTACCATCACGAGAAACAAGAGCGCCTGAGCAGATAAATCACATTCTTTTTGCTCAACCTATTGATCAAGGATGAATCACAGCATCCTTAACCAACCAGAGGGAGCTAAGTACAAAAAGGAAATTCGGGATAAAAATAAGAAAATGGTAACTCGGACGCAGGAAACAGTAGTAGAAAAAAAGAAAAAGAGAACCATGAATTATAACAACAAGAAGGCATAAACACGTCGCATCTCCATAAGCACAGTAGATAGAACAAAGGAAACCATAAACAACTGCTAGACGAGTACGAACTCTCAACTAACACCTGTGCGAGTACATGCTGGAGACACAGAAAGCCACTTTTTTGAAGAGGATCGATCTCCTTTCTTTTTTTGCCATCGGACAAGCAACGAGGTCAAGACGTCCTTTTTCCACCGCGGCTCACCCTTGGCTCCGTTGAATGGCATACTGCGATCTTTGATCGAGGACGGAAGGGGGTTCGGGTTAAGGTGTTTAGATGAGGTCTGAGATGTGTTAGAATTTTGACATTTTGATTCAAGGGAGATAAAGGAAAACATACCAGCAACGTTCATGGGCATCTCCTCGATCTGGGTGCTGTAGAACTGCTCGATCTCACGCATCATACGGACATCGTCAGCGGTGACGAAGTTGATGGCAACACCCTTACGACCGAAACGACCACCACGACCGATACGGTGAATGTAGTTCTCACGGTTGGCGGGCAAGTCGTAGTTGATGACCAGCGAGACCTGCTGGACATCAATACCACGGGCCAGAAGGTCAGTGGCGATGAGGACACGAGAAGAACCAGAGCGGAACTCCTTCATGATAACATCACGCTGGCCCTGCTCCATGTCACCGTGCATGGCGGAGACGGTGAAGTCACGGGCAGTGAGCTTGTCGGTAAGCCAGTCGACCTTTCTGCGGGTGTTGCAGAAGATGACGGCCTGGGTGATGGTGACGGTCTCGTAGAGGTCAGAGAGGGTGTCGAGCTTCCAGTCCTCCTTCTCGACGGCAATGTAGAACTGCTTGATACCCTCAAGGGTAAGTTCCTGCTTCTTGACCAGGATACGGATGGGGTCGCGCATGAACTTGGTGGTGACCTCCAGGACATCCTGGGGCATGGTAGCCGAAAGCAGGGTAACCTGGGTCGACTGGGGGAGGAGCTGGAAGATGTCGTAGATCTGCTCGGTGAAACCACGCTATTGGCAAGTTAGTATTGCGATTTCACGAAACGGTCATCAGAGGAACATACAGAAAGCATCTCATCGGCCTCGTCAAGGATGAACAGCTTCATCTGGTCCGTTCTCAGGACACGGCGCTGAATCATGTCCTGGACACGGCCGGGGGTACCGACAACGACCTGGGGACCGTCACGGAGGGCCTGCATGTCCTCACGGACGTTGGTACCACCGATACAGGCGTGGCACTCAATGCTCATGAAGTCACCGATGGCGACAACGACCTTCTGGATCTGCTGAGCAAGCTCACGGGTGGGAGCGAGGATCAGAGCCTGACAAGCCTTCAGGTTGGGGTCGATCTTCTGGAGAGCGGAGACGGAGAAGGTGGCAGTCTTTCCAGTACCGGACTGAGCCTGAGCAATGACATCGTTACCTGATCATTGTTAGCAATTTTTTCAACTCTACAAGAGAAATATAAAACCTACCCTTGATGATGGGCATGATGGCACGCTGCTGGATAGCAGAGGGGCGTTCGAAACCATAGGCGTAGACACCTTGAAATCACCGTCAGAAACTTTTCTCTCGTATTCTTCCGTCCACAGAACCCCGCCTGTAGACGTTGCTGGGATGAGATATCACATACCGCGAAGCAGCTCGGGCTTCAGCTCCATAGCGTCGAACGAGTCGGTGATCTCATCGTAGTTAGATTCGATCTGTCCTGTAGGGTGGAAAGACTCGTTAGCATCGTCGTCGCACGTATAAACCGTCCGTGAGAATTTTTCTCCCGTCTATCTCAGCGCCACCACAAAGCGACAAGATGAAATAGACCCGGCGAAAAAACAAGAAAAGACTCGAACATACCCTCGGGAAGATCTTCCAATCCCTTGTCAGCCATATTTGCGAGTTGTTGGTAGTATAGTGATCACAGGCGAGGCGCTGTGATCCGGACAAGACGCGGTGGGGTTTTTTTCTGGTGAGGGTTCTTGTTAGCGAAAACGATCCGTGTGGGGGAGGTCAGAGTCGCAAAAACGCACAAAAGTAGTTGAGAGTGGTAGTTGGAAAAAAACTCTTCTACAAGAAAAGAGAAAAAGAGAAGAAGAAAAAAGTGGACGGGTGGATGAAAGTGGGATAATAAATGGTTTTCACCGTTTGGTTGGTCTGGCGCTTGTTCTGTGGGCGGCGAAAAGGTTTTTTTTTTATCCAAATTTTCATTTTCTGCCCAACCGATGTCACCGCCTACTTAATATAGTAACTTACCCACTTTGGATTTTACAGAGACAAGACAATAGGACGAGTCATTTGGTCTGGTGATATCTTGTTTGATTTGTGAGAAACGGATTGTTCTAGCCAATTGGATATGCTATCAATTGGACCCGGCCACTGAGCTTGCAAGCAAGAGAACAGACAGACCGCGACGGCATACAGCACACAGAACTTCACAATGCCAGACATCACATCTCTCGACAGTGAGACTGTCAACATTGACCCTAACCTACAGGACCAGGAAGACACCCCCGATGCAATCCCAGGTCACCCTCTGGGAGTCAAACCGAGTGGCAACGCATTGCTCGCCGCCGAGAACCTCCGGGATGCCATCGGGACATTCAGCATCCTCCCAGACGAACTTATCTTGATCTTATTGGAATTCCTCGATGGTCCCGGTCTATTACGCATCGGCCGGACATGTAAAGCGTTCTATGCGTTCACCCGAGCAGAGGAATTATGGAAGGGTCTCTTTTCCTGGTAAGACTTGGCTTGGTTCTGTTCTGGCATCGTGGTAGACATAGCAATTGAAAGACATTTACTAAAGAGACTAGGTCTCCTCCTACTTCATTCACATGGAGAAAAACCTGGCGCGCAACATACCTTAACCTCCTACCCTCCCAAGTTCCCAACCTAGACTGCTCCCATCTATACTCCGACGCCCTCCACCGACCCTTCTACTGCGCGCATATCTCGCTAGACCCCTTCGCCCGTAATATTCCTGCCAGAAACCAGATCGCGCGTCTACCGGACCTTACACCCGAAGAATTTCACAAAGAATGGACGGACAGACCGTTTATCCTGACGGAGCCCGTGAAGCAATGGTCGGCATATCAGCAATGGACGACGGACTCGTTACTTGCGAAGTATGGGGATACAGTGTTCCGCGCGGAGGCAGTTGACTGGCCATTCAAGACATATGTCGATTACATGCGGAATAATTCGGACGAAAGACCGCTGTATCTATTCGACCGGGCCTTTGTGTCAAAGATGGGACTGAAGAATGGACACATCGATCAAGAACCCGAGACGACATACTGGACACCACCTTGCTTCGGGGAAGACTTCTTCTCGGTCTTGGAAAACGACCGCCCCGATAGACAATGGTTGATCATCGGCCCTGAACGCTCTGGAAGTAGCTTCCACAAAGACCCCAACGCCACTAGTGCCTGGAACGCTGTTGTCCGCGGCTCCAAGTACTGGATTATGTTCCCGTCGTCTTCGAAACTGCCCCCTCCGCCGGGCGTCTATGTCTCTGAGGACCAGAGTGAGGTGACTTCTCCGCTTAGTATTGCGGAGTGGCTTCTCACCTTCCATGCTGAGGCGCGGAGGACAGCAGGTTGCATTGAGGGGATTTGTGGTGAGGGAGAAATCCTCCACGTACCGTCAGGATGGTGGCATCTAGTCGTGAACTTGGAGCCAGCTATCGCTATTACGCAGAACTTTATCCCTCGCGGGCATCTGAGTGCGGCACTCGACTTCTTGTACAACAAGGCAGACCAGGTGTCTGGATTCCGGAAGGATGTCACGAACCCCTACGAGCGATTTGTGGCAAGGATGCAAGAAACACACCCCGATTTGCTGGAGCAGGCATGGGAAGAACTGAACAAGAAGAATGAAGGCAAGAAGCGCAAATGGGATGAGATTGTCCATGGCAAGACGGAAGAGGAAGGCCCTGGAGAGGCTGAAGGAGGTGGTTTCAGCTTTGGATTTGGTGATGATAGCGATGTGGAGGTTCCTTGAGCATTATCTGAATGGCCATCGTTATGCTATGGATCCGTCAAACGAAACAATGATACCCGACTTGACTCATAACCACCGAATATATCGGTTCTCTCTCACATCGACAAAGATCAATGACAAGCAACAGACTTAGTAGCCGACTCGTCCTGCCCAAACGCCAAATGCCCCACAAAAGCACCCACCGCAACCGCCAACATAACCAACCCGTTATACGTCATGAACAGCAGCCTACCCGCCATCAGCAACTGCCCCTGAACCTCACCAAACACCAGCGACGGAGGTTGACTCACATGATAAAAAAGCTATAAAACACCTGCACCGCATACAACGCAGCCAGCGCAATCCTCCCCCTCCTTTCCGCAACCCGTCTCGGATCCCTGCCTACAAGCAGCGGTGAGCTCTCGTCCGGGTCATCCAGCCCAGCCGTGGCCGTGGTACTGGCACATTCGTCGGCGATCTCAGTGCCTTTTCAAAATGAAAGAGACGGTAATGATCAGCCGGTGCGAATAGCCATACCATCAATACATCCAACCATTCAATGATAACCATGGGTATAAAGAAAATAAGAAAAAAGACTTACTTGTAGAAACACCAACACCGCTCAACCGCTGTACATGTCCTGCCTCATAACGTCTCGTAATCCGTCTCACGCCCTCATAACCAGCTGTCAAAAGCACGATAACGACCAGCGACACGAATAGCGAAAACGGGCCTGTCACGCGCCATTGCGGGAAGATGATGCAGAGGTTCTTGGTCGACCATGTAAAAAGCATCTAACCCACCATATCGTCAGAACTATACAGATAGATATAGATAATGAGGGGAAATAAGAAGGGGACTCACGTTCATGTTACACTGGCCCATATCCATATCGCCGTGTCCGCCGTGTCCGCCGTGGTCCATGCCGCCGTGGCCCATATCCATATCGTGGTGCATGTGGTCCATTTTTGCTTCAGAAGGTGTATTCAGAGATGCATTTGTAGTAAATAATCGGATGGAAGAGCGTTTATAGTGAGGTTGGAGGTAGATAGTGAGGAGTAAACAGGCAAGGAGCACCTCATAATCTCTTGGCATTCCAGATCACCGCTGCAAACAATGCAAACAACTTGATAAGATCGCGCTCCTCTTTTCAATGCGACAGTGACAAGTACCTGTCCTACGAACGCGATCATACATCGCAGCTAACTTACTATATTCGATTAATCCTCACTACATACAGCACCGCCAAATAACACAGAAACGAAAATGGCCGACACAGCACCCCCTCCCACCCAACTATCACCACCATCCAACAACGATGGCGCCGGCGCAACAGCACGACCACCAAGCGCAGGAGCAGCGCCAGAATCTCCAGAGAAACAAGCACAATCACAACAACAGACGCAAGGCTCAGCACAACCAACACAGCAACAACCCCAAAATGCAAACCCTCCTCCCCCGACGACAGCAACAACAACAACAACAGACCAATCCCGCGGCCTCCCCTACTACGAAAAACTCCGACGCGACCTACGCGATACTCTCCAGAAGAAGCGCCTAATGGATAAGAGCATGGTACTCCCCCCTTCTACCTTCTTACCTACAACGCAATCAACTAACAGGGGCATGTGGTGAAGGCCCAACTAGAAGACCAAATCTACCGCTTCGAGCAATCCTACCTCGAAGAAACGACCGCCGGAAACATAATCAAGGGTTTCGATAACTACATCAAGGGTTCTTCATCCGGATCAACACTTACAACTGGTATCGGGCTATCGGGTGCTGGGATGGGCGCTGCAGGGGGTGGAGCGAGACGAAAGGCGCAGGTTATCGAGGCGGATCGGGTGTTTTCGAGGAGTTCGGCGGGATTTATGAGGGTATGTTTTCTTCTGTTAGGTTGAATGGGGCAGGGCTGATTGGTATAGGAATCTCCGACACCTTCGTCTGCGCAGACGACGCCGGCGCCTACGCCGTTGTCGAATGGGGGCGATGCTACGAATGGGAATTCGAAGGCTGGGTCGAAGAATAAGAAGAAGTCTGGGAATAGGAATGTGGACGAGGACGTTGAGGATGGTGACAAACCGTCCGTGAAGCGGTTGAAGATTAGTTATGGGAGGGATTAATTTATCGGTTATGATTAAGGGTTGGTCGTTGGAAGGAGTTAGGCGCTCAAGTCATGCATTGCATTCTGTACATTATGCCTGTTTATGCAATTTATGGATTCTCAAGTCATCAGCCACCACCGTCAGCTACTGTGAACCAATCTGCAACCGATAAGTCGCAACCTCAAAGGCCCTGAGCTCGATACCAATTTCAGCCTTCGAAAGCAGCGTCTGGGATACGGTAAGCTCCTCCTCATCGTCTTCAAGCACGTTGCACTTGAAAGCCTTCTCAACCGGGAACCTGCTCCGAATAGTTCCACGACTCTTGCCACCCAACGACTCATAGATGCGGAGGATGATGCTCTTTCCAGGGCGCACGGGCAATCCGCCCCGAGAAACATCCTCGTCATCCTCGCCTCGCTTGACCACATCAAGAATAAGAGATTTATTACCAATGAGGTCGACAGCTCGGACAGTCATTTCCTCGCCGGATGAAGGCTCAAGAATGAGTGGGTTGTTCAAATTGTACCCTGCGCGAACGGTACGCCAGTCAAGAGGTCCTTCGTGTGGCAGAATGGCATAACGAATATGGTGACGACCCAGGTCTGCATGGGCATCCGGTGCCTTGGGTGCGCGGAGCAGAGAAAGACGCATCAGATTACCACTGGTTGCAAAGCCGTACTTGGAGTCGTTCAAAATTGACACGCCATATCCATATTCGGAGAGGTCGGCCCATTTGTGGCAGCAAACTTCGAATTTGGCCATATCCCAGCTGTTCTTGTCAGTATCAACACGCAAAGTGTTGGATGTCAGCCACATACCTCGTGTTGTAATGAGTCGGCCGTCTGATAATACCATATTGAGTCTCGTACGACGCCTCTGTATTGGTGATGTCCACTGGGAATTCAACCTTGAGGAACTTCATGGTCTCCTGCCACTCCACCTCACTGTCGAATTCAACATAAGATGGTTCATCACCCTGAGATGCAGCAAGGCTGATGGTCGTCTTGACCCAGCTCTTGTCGCTAATCTTGGTATGGGTAACGACACTGGCACGATACGGATCCGCCTCGACAGTGGAAGTCTGGCTAGAGGATAGCTCCCTTCTGGATTCAAGATGGAACACCTCTACATCCCACGCTTGCCAGTAAAGCGGCTTGTCGTCGAAAATCACCAACTGACCAGCCTTGCCTCCCTTCGCGATAATTTCACGGTTCGCCTTGATGTCGAACAAAGATGTGATAACTCCGTTTTCAATAATGACCCGGAATTGCTTGTTCTCCAACCGGAATACGCCTGGCTCGTCTTCTGCCACTATCACGGTGGATATTTCTGTCCGGCTCGCGTCTGTGATTTCATCATCTCTGACCATGACATACTTGGAGATGGGGTTGGAAATTCCGTATGCAGCAGCAAGAGGGTTCCGAACGATCTCCGTGCGAGACCATGGGAGCGTGTTAAGGACCACATTCTCATGTCCATGGCCATACCCAAGCGTCTTGAGGGCATCATTTCTAAGCCTCTGACCGGTCTCGAAGACCTTGGCATAAAGCTCGTCCGAGTCATCATAGCACATCTCAATGCAGCTGCCGGGTAGACAATCGTGGAACTGACATAGAAGCGTAGCCTCCCACATGTCATCTATCTCTTCTTTGGGATACTTGTACTGGCGGTTTCTGTCGGCGAGGGAGGCAACTGTCGCCAGAAGCTCAATATCGCGCAGCAAAAACTCCGCCTTCCGGTTGTTGCGCTTGTTATTCGCCTGGGTGGTGTATGTACCACGGTGCAGCTCGAAATAAAGCTCTCCGTGCCAGGTGACAAACTTGGTCCCTTCAGCAGCCTTCTTCTCAAGCTGAGCAAAGAAGTCGTCGACGGAATTTCCCATCTTTACACGAGGAAGCAAGCCGGTTTTGTCGCTCAATCCACGGCAGCGACGTAGTTTCTCCAGATGCTCAAAGGTAGGGCCACCACCGCCGTCTCCCTTGCCGAAGACAAGAAGGGAGGTGTTGTCCTGATCTAGAGACTTGTGCTGGGTCACACTACGCTTCACGTCGCCAAAGTTAGCGCTAGCCGTGTACGTTTCAGCCGGTGTCATATGACACATGACTTGACTGCCATCGAGCGCAACCCATTGGAAGGTAGTGTGAGGAAAATTGTTGATATTGTTCCAGCTGAGCTTCTGCGTAAAGAAGCGGCTCATACCGGCCAATCTGCAGATCTGGGGAATCTGGGTGGAGTAGCCAAAGGTATCTGGAAGCCAGAAGGTGGTGCACCGCTCACCAAAGTTGCTCTGGAAGAAGCGCTGTCCGTAAAGGAACTGGCGCACCAGAGACTCTCCACTAGGCAAATTGGTGTCATGCTCGACCCAACTGCCACCGACTGGCTGGAAATGACCCTTCTTCACCCACTCTCTGACCCGCTCGAAAACCGAGGGATAGTACTGCTTCAACCATTTGAACTGCTGTGCTTGAGAGCAGGTAAACCGGTGTTCAGGGTAGCGATCCATCAAGTCACACTGGTTCGACCAGGAACGAGCAACTTTACGCTTAGTCTCAGCCCATGGCCACAACCAACAGGTATCGATGTGACAGTGTCCGATGGCGTAGACAATAGGTTGCGTGTTGGTATCATAGACTTCAGAGAAGTCAACCTTGTCACCGAGATACTTCTTGGCAATCAGACGTCCTTCCTTGATGGACTCCTGACTTCCGTTGCCAGCAATAAAAACATCCATAATGGCATTGGCAACCATATTGGCTTCGTGGGATTCCCACGAGTCACTCGGGAACTCCCGTGCCGCATCTGTCATCGGTAAGCCCTACCATCCTTTCAAAGAAAGCAAAGGGAACGAACGTACCACCAATAATCCAAAAATCATAATTCAGCCCCCTCGCCTCCAAATTAACCACCACAATCCTCGCCGTCTCCAACCTGTAATACCTCTCCTCACTCGGCGGCTGAATACTATCACCCCCCGGCGCATTCCCAAACATCCCATTACACGCCATCTCAATATAAAACACATGTTCCTCTCCATCTCTCCACGCATCCGGAATAACCCACTCAATCCGTTCCCCTCCACCAGTGAGTCCCTGCAACGGCCGCCCGTCCTCGCTCCACACGAGGCCCTCGTTGTTCGCGTCCCAGTGGAATTCGAGGTGCTCTTTGTCGCGCATGTCCTGTGGGACGGTAAGACGGATGCGGAACCAGTGCGTGGACCAGCTTGGGCCGAAGGAGGCGCCGGTGTGGGTGGGGGTGAAGGGATGGGAGGTTGCGTCGGCGAAGGATGGGCGGGCGAGGTTGGGGACGGAGTAGACGGAGAGGTTTATGTGGTCGGGATCTGAGGTGATGGCTTCGAAGAATTTGCTATCGTTCTGTTAGTATAGTACTGGATGAAAGTATGGTGAACGTACGAAACAAGATTCTGCCCCTCATACTGCCCCGTCGCTGTGAACTGGCGCAGACGATCGGTGTAGATGCCCTTGATACGCTGACCGACGGGGTGACTGGGCGTCCGGGGAAGCGAGCTGGGAGCTCCCAGCGGTGCACCTCCACCCATATTGCTCTGGGAATCCACAGTGGCTGATCTTGATGAGAGATTGAGATAAAGATGGAATAGTGATAAATCAGAGATGGAAGTGATGAGGATTGATGCAGAGGATGGAAAACAGGAGTGGTATGATGATGGTTGTCAGGTCAGAGAATGGGGAAGCACATGATCTGCGGCTGCCAGGAACGGAATGACGTTCTGTTTGCGGGGAAGCTCATAGTAAAAGTACTACATAGAGTGCATAATTCCGTACAGTACACGAGCATTGAATAAGGCAAAGTATTCCAGATCTGAATACCCGAATAATTAAATTGCCTGACAGCTCACATCGACTGCAGCTCTGCTTGATCCGGAATCGTATTCCAATACGCAAGGGGCTCTACTGTAGTAGAGGTACCACACTGCTCGAATTATCGGTAGAAATATCGATTATCTAAATACTTCATAGAAATAATCAATTAATCTTTAGCCATAACCTCATTCATAACCATAATCCCAACACCCTGCAGTAGTACCAAAAAAAAAAAAAAACAGTCTACTTGCATACAACACCAATAATATAAAAATGCACAGATAAGACCCATCACATCAAACACAATCCCAAGGATCAACCCTCCCATACGTCGTATACGGATTCACCGGTCCAATCAACCTAATCTGCGCCTTCAACTGCGCCCTCCTCCGATCCATCCTCGCATCAACAATCCTCCTCTTCGCCCCGTCCAACGCATCCCGCATATAACTCGTCCCATCATGCAGCGCTTTCGTCCCGCGCTGCAGCTGTGACCGCAACAGTGGTGAGGTGGGTAGTTCGGAGTACGATTGTGTTGCTGTGAGATTGGGGGTTGAGCTGTTGTTGGTTATGTACGAGGTTGTACTCGTGCTTGTGTATGATGTTGTGGGGTTTGAGAGGGACCAGCTGCGGGTTCGGAGTTGGGTTTGGTAGAAGCGGTTGTTATTGTGGGGTTGGGTGCTTGTGCTTGCGGGTGTGCTTGGGGTGGATGGGGTGGATGGTTTGTCGAAGATGGCAGTACCAAATTTTTGATACGGCGATAAGGGCACGGCGAGTTGCTTGGGGTATGCCGGGCCGTGATGTGGGGGGGTGGACCGTGGGCTACCCATGGCACCGCTGGATCTGGTGGACATGGACAGCGATCTGAGCCGGGTGGCGATGGAGACGTTTTCCTCGTAAGGCGGCTGCGGCTTTTGGATGGCGTATAGGTAGTCGCTGCGCTCAGGCTGCTGCTTGCTCTTGCTGTTGCTGCTAGTGGTGCTATCAGAGAAATCACTCATACTAGTAGCCGCTCTCTTCGCCGTCGAAGGCCTTGGCTGTCGTCTCCGCTTCTCCTTCTCCTTCTCCAGCGACGACTTCATCGTCTTCTGCACAACAGACCGAATAGAATCACGAACATTGCTCGCCAGCGCCGGCGCCCCGGTGAATGTATTTGCGCGCGTCCGCCGGAAGTCAAACGCAGATGTATTCCGTTTCTTAGCCTCGACAGCCTGACAATAGGGTCTCTTCGACATGCCCGCCACAGGAGCCAACTCGGGGAAGAAATCCCACTTCTTCTCTCGGAAGTAATGGCTGTTATCATTGCGAGCTTGCGTGAAGTCCGTGGCCGTATGACGGATCTGAGACCACCGTGCGTCAAGATGGTGATCGTTATAGTCATCCTCGTCATTCCATGCCTCCAGATCCTCCAGATCCCCCAATACATCATTCTCCTCGTTATCATTAGCCAGAAACGCCTCCAACGGACCCTGACTATGCCTCGTCACAAGCGGAGCAGGGACAGTCGGCGACAATAACTCGCCCTTCCCAACATCCCCACTGGCACCCGAATACGGCCGCTCAACACCATACTCACTCCCCGTCTTGACGAAAATCGGATAACTATCCGATGAATACCGTGACGACTCCCGCCCCGAGTATCTTGACCCACTATCCAGCGTACTAGTCTCGTTGCTGTTACTCCACGACATTGAATCCGAGTAGCCCATGGGGGGTGGTGTGTTGGGGAGCGGTTTCTCAGGTAGCGGCTTGTCGAGTTGGAGATAGTAGGGCCGGCCGGTGAGAGATAACGGTGAAGAAAGTACTAACGGTGACGTGGGTGGGATGACTTGTTCTAGGCCTTCAAGGGATTGGGATGGTTTCATGGGTGGTGCTGGTCTGTAGACGTGGGTGTGGGTGTAGGGTACTGCGAGCATTTCTTCTTGATTGGAGGGGTAGTGTCGGTACCGGACCGTTTAGAATATACGCTGTATGTATCCGACACTGGCGAAAGACAAACGAACAACGATGGTTCACAGAATGAAGGAAGAGAGGGTTTGTATATATACAAAAACGGCTTATACCCTCCCCTCCCTTCAAGGCTCCGAGCAGAAAGAGAGAGAGAGAGAGAGACACAAGCCTTGCGTGGGATGGTTTCTGGCACCGTTTGGGGCAGTTCTTCAAAGCGCCAGAACCAGCCGGGACAAAGACAACTGCACGGATGAGTGCATGTTTAGAAAAAATTAAGACGAAAATAGGAAAAGGAGATAGAACAAAGAAAAAATAAATGAAAAATTGCAATCAAAGAAGGAAGAAGTCTCGACAAAGAAAACGAAAAGCGCGGAAAAAGGAATTCTAGACGATCAGCAAAGAGTTGCATGGGGATACGCAAGGAGTTCTTTATTATTTCCAGCCGGGACTCTATTGATGATAATCTGTCGAAGGATTCAGAACATTCAGTTCTTGAATATTAGTAGTTACTGGTAGTTACTGGTGGATGTATTCTCCGATAGACATATAGACATCTTGGTTCACCTACAGATTCCCCTTCCGGCAATTGTCTGGTATCCCTGCACTCGACATAGCACCGCATGTGCAATCCAACTGGCGCCTCCACATGGGATCAGACGCCCCGGACCGGAGCATTGTATGTAGATGGAAAAATCGCCGCGATGGCGTTGCTAGGATCACGTATATGTATGCGACATGCAGACACTCCGGAGTGTACTCTGTGTACCCTGATACTGAACTGGACTATGTAGATAGCTAGCGGTGATCTGATCTTCCGCTATCATTCGTATACACCCGTAAAAAGTAACTATATGCCCATAGCCTAGACAGCAATGAAAGAATACTAACTCAGCTTCGCCGCCCGCTGCATATCCTCCCTCGTCAACTTATCCCCCTTCTTCCTCACAGCACTCAACCTCCCCATCCGCATCAATCTCGTGATCATCTCCTCATCCCCGAAATCGCTATTATGCTCAAACTCCGGTTCCTCAGCATACGCCACCCGCGCCGCATCCACGAGCATCCGGGCCGTCATTCCATGAACCCTGAATCGCGTGGTCGACTGACCCGCCTTTTCGCGCTCGTGTTCGTCCTGCGAAAGTTTGTCGACTGCGTGCTTTTGCGTGGGTGTTTGGTTGCGCGGTTTGGGTTTGGTGACGGATTTGTCCCGCACGGGGACAAAGAACTGGTGCACTGGGTTAGTGTTAGCCGGACCGGAGGTATGGTATGGATTGAGAATAAGGTGAAAAGCCACAAAGGCAGAACCATTACAACTTGTCATGTGGAAACACAAATGACAAATGACAAACTTACTCCTCCAATTAGATTGATGCCACTCCGTCCACGCCCCCGAATACCACTCCCCGGGACTTGCGCTGCCAGCCTCTACAGCTTCCCCATCAGAACTAGGCAAAAACTCATCTTCCTGTTTTAGGAAATTATGAAATGGCGCCGTAAACACCGCCGCAACCTCCCGGGCATCCAATCTGGGAATCAACGACACCTCTGGATCCTCATTGACACCCGTCTTTTCGTCGTAGGAGTGCAGTAGCGCCACACAAGGGCGTACCACCAGCTCCGTCCAGGCGAGATTCGCCGGTAACTCGCAGAGATGCTCGACGGTAAACGGGGAAGGGATGGAGGCGTTTGTTTCTGGGAGGCCGATTTCTTCACGCGCTTCGCGGCGGGAGGTTTGGAGGGGGGTTTCTTCTAGTGCGTCTGCGCGGCCTGTTTTGTTCAACTTATGTTCGTGTACATGGTGATTGCTCGTACGGAGTACATACCACCTGGTAGAGCAGCGTGTCCGGCATCTAAAACACATTAGCCTATAATCACCATGTATAGTAAACTGACACATACACGAACTCAACGTCTTCGCCCGAATAGTCAAGACAATCCTCAAATCCCCCTTCGCATCTGCATACAGCAGCAATAAAACCGCCGCTCGCCTGGTTAACGGCAACAGATCATAATTTGTCGTCGGGGGTTTGTAAGACCGCAATCGATCAATCGCAGCCTGCTTGCGTCAGCAATTTTCCTACAGAGACAGAGTAAAATGACGGATGTATATGAGACATGGTAATCTTATGCGATGGGTAGTGAAACATAACAATATGACAATAACACATGTTCGATTAAACAATCAAAAGTTTAAGAAATAAAGGATCAATCATAAATAAGTAGGGCGTACCTGAGACCTTGGGTTCAGTCGTGGCATTGTGCTATATTGTTTCTTCGGTATTGCTGTTGCTGGTGATGAAGGTGCTCGGAAGGGTGATCTGCTGGGGGGTAAGTGAGAGATGAAGCTCCGATCGATGGTCGCGATAAGCTGGCGAAGCGACCAGTTCTTCATAGCAATCGACGATCCGAGAGTGTAATTGCCGATGTTAGATTATTATTACCCCGGTGCAGCTATTCTTGATCGTCCTGTTGGTGGAGTGCTAATATGTCATCGGTATATACTGGGTTGGGTTGCCGAGGTTGGGAGCGGAGCGGAGGTTATGTACGCCTATGTTTGTTCTGCCACTACTTCAAAACAATCAATGCCTATTATACAGCTATTTCTTAGAAAACCAACGTCTATAATTCACGTACATGACAGGAGAAAGCCCATGAAAATATATATAAACAAGAGATCATCACCAAAAGGGCCCGACAGCAACAAGCAAAAAGAGTCTATGTATCAACACGAAGCAATAACACAAGGAGATGAGAAAAGAAGGAGACAAGTAAAAAGACAATTCATGAGAAGACAAATTCAAGAAAAATACAAGACATTTATACCACAATCCCAACAGAAAAAGGTTAACTTAAGAGCTCTTCTGCTGTTCCTTTGCCTGGGTTTGCGAGTTGAGATCCGCCTGTTGACCCTCATTGGCAGCCTCCGTGGCCTCAGCGCTCTGCGTTGAACTATCTTCCTTGTCATCAATGTCCTCTGTATCCTTGGGCGCAGCAACACCCTTCTCCTCGCTCTCGCTGTTCTGCTCGTTTTCCTCCTCAATGAGCTCTTCCTGCTCCTTGATGACTTCCAGACGCTGCTTGTTGGTGGCGGCACCTTCGGCGTTGTGCACCTCGAGCTCGATCTCGTGGTACAGCTCCTCGGGGATACTCGAGAGGACGGACTGCAGGGCCTCGATCTGCGAAGACATCTCGGCCTCCTTGCCGCCCTGCGCGTACACGTATGCGTTGCTCAGAACGAGAAGGGTAGAGGGAACGCCCTGCTTGAGACGGAGGTCCAGCCACATCGACATGTCGTCGCGGAGGCGAGCGGGGGAGACGCCGTGGGTGCGGATACCACGGGAAGCAGAAGCCATCTGCAATTCGGGAACGGACAGCGACTCAACGCCCTCGTAGAAGATTGCACGGTCGTCACGCTTGATCTGGCGCATACGGTGGCGAATGTTGTAGCGGAGCATGGCGTCAGTACCGAACGAGTTCAAGTTCATGTACTTGCAAATGCCAACAAGCTGGGGACGAGACAGGTTGTCCAGCGTCAAGTCATCCTTGAAGATCTTGCAGACCTTGATGACATCCTGAGTCGACGGAGACTCTCCGGTGGACCGAATCTTCCTGAAAAAGTCGGCAAACTCCTCGTTTCTGAGTGTCGTCGCAGTCACGGGGAGACCGGTCTCCTTCAATGTGTTCTTCAAGAAACTAGAAACCTCCTTCCGCGTCGAGCTGAGACTAAGCGCCTTGGTCTCGCGCACCTTCGCACCCTCGTAGGTGCTGGGAAGCATGTTGGGGAACAACTTCAGAGCGATGGGCAGAAGCAATTCCGCAAAGGGGATAATAATGAACATCGAGAACGGGACCAACCGACCCAAGTCATTCGTTGTTCTTTGGAGCTGCAACCCGTTAGCCGGAACCGAATGCCAAAAACCAATTCAATCAAACCAACCTGACGGTGCTCTCTCCGAGTCAACTCATATCCCCGCGCCATCTTCAACGCCAACCGCGAGCTAATCCTAACCTCCGTACCCAGCAGCTTCGTTCCATCCCAATAATGCTGAACCTCCTTCTTAATTTTCTGCCCGATCGTCAACTTCTTCTGGTCCTTCTTCTCCGACGCCTTCTTATCCACGTCTCCGGCCTTCACAATCTCCGACTCCTTAGCGTCGCCATTCTTCGCAGGCGCAGTAGTTGTCTTATCCGCCTTCTGCACGTCCTTCGTCTGCGACTCCTTCTGAACCGGCTTCTTGGCCTGTTCCGCGTTGAACCCAGGGGGCGGGAATGACTCCGACGATCTAGAATTGGATGTCGAGTGCTCGGTAGCGTATCCGCGAGTCTGGGGGACTAAGAGAGCTAGGGCTGTGACATGCGAGGGGAGGCCGCGGGCGTTGAATCGGAGGTTTGCAGTCGATGCGGCACCCAATGCACTGCTGGAGAGACGGGTGCGGGCTGTTTTTCATGAAATCGAACAATTAGCCATTGACCAACATAATGTAAAAAGGATTGGAAAAAGCGCCAAGAAACCGCATTTCGATGATAAATAGATTATGGGCCAAGCAACCCCGGGGACACCCACACGCCAGATTCGGCCGTAATACAGCATGGCTGCGGACCAGTCTACTCGACCTCAGGGCGACGGACATAACGGAAGTCCTGGAGATGGGCTGCACGAAAAGGCGAGCTGAAACAGAGGGAAAATAAAACAAAAATATGGGGAGCGATTATAATAAGCAGATTTTCATGAACAACAATTCTGCAAACGCATAAATTTGGGTGAGGTGTCGTAATGTCATCGTCTTCTCCGGGACTGCACGAGGCTTCTAAATCACGTGATCCCCAGCGGAATTCGCGGTCGGAAGAATCATATCGAAGACGGTCATGGCGCCGTTCTAGAAGCCTACGATCGCCCTGCTTATTTTGACGGTTTCATTCTCACAGTACGGAGTACAGAGTAGAGGCTATACAATATGAATTCGTTATAACAGAGCTAGGGCTAGTCCATATCCAAATCGAACTTCAAATGCACTAAGACAAAAAAAAAAAAAAAAAAAAAAAAAAAAAAAACTAAGGGGCAATGCGACGGCATAATTCATAATTCAGTATAGGTCGTGTCAGGTTCACGCTTGCAGAAACCAGGGACAGGTTGACATAATTGACAAAAGAAGGAAAGACTAGAGAGGACACCCAGGAAAAGTGCCCCGGGTATCATCGTTCGACTGAAGTCGAATATATCGCTTGAGCAAAAACCAGATCGTGTATCATTTACTTCCTCTCGCGCACCGTAGAGTCATTGCCATTAACTTCTTGCGCACCAGTCGAAGCAGCAACAGCATCCAAGGGAGGAATGCGGTCAATGTTGGTCTTGTCAGACGCAACCTGTGCGGGGGTGGCCTGTCCATTTCCATTCTCGGGCACCAATGGTGTCATGATTGGACTGTTGAAGGCCTCTGGAGAAGACTGCCAGCGTGCGACGTCTTTCTTCAGTTCTTCGAGCTCCTTCTGGAACCGCTTTCCGAAGACATCGAGATAGTAGGTTGCGCCATTATGGATACTCCAGACGAACACCGCCATCAAGAACCCAGCACTAGCCCACCGGTACCAGAACCAAAGGGGACACGGGAGCATGGTCACGAGCGCATAGGAGTACTGGATCAACATGAAAGCAACCGACTGCAGGGATTCAGGAAGGCTCAAAACGATCTTGCCAATCCAGGCATTTGCATAGGACTTGCGAAGCCAAGTAAAGCTGGTCGGCCGACCTGCAGCAATCTGCTCCGCGCGACGTACTGTGATCAACAAATGATAGGCTATCTGCCAGACGAGATACGGGACAGTAGCCCAGATGACCATAGCACCAAGCGAATAGTGCTCTGGTGAGCCGGGCTCGCTATATTTGATGGCATAGATTGCCGGGAACCTCTCCTTCAGCGTCTCCGCAGAAGTCAAGTGGACGAGACAGTGCAGCGAAACAGGCGGCATGATGTGGATAAAGAGACTGCAAAAGCACCGTTAGAACTGAATTTCCCTGAAATGCAAGTGGTGGAAACCTACCTCACGACCTTGTCCATGCTATGGAAGACAAGCGAGTTCCGCCACATTGCAATTGCAACCACGTTGTTCCCAAACACCAAACAGAACGTGCTGATGAACAGTCGCTTTGACTGTGGGAACACCCAGAAACTCAATATGCACATCAAATTGACGAAGTAGCAGAGATCCGCCAAGAAATAGTGGTATCCCTTCTTGTGATACCGGTAGTATCGAATCGGCATGAAGTAAATCAGTTGGACACTGAACCAGATGTAAAAGTATTCCGGATACGCTCCAACCAGGTAGCCACTAATGAAGATGTTGAGGACACCCGCGATAAACGAAATCTTCTCACGCAGGCTCACCGTCGCCGTCGCGTTCCACTGCTTCCCCAATCGCTCCACGCTAACCTTCATGCGACGGCGGTACTTGTCAAGCTGTTCATCAGCCGTCGGAACGCGCCTCTTCCATTCTTTGACCACTTGGTCTTTCGCGTTCATCGAAGTAGACTTCAGTTTCTCGCGCTGTTTGTTCACCCTTTTCCTTTGCGCATCGATGGCCTGCTGCCATTTCTCCAGCCGGTGCGGCAAAGAGAAGGTATCCAACAGATCAAAGATCGAAAGCTTGTCCAGTGGAGGGAAGGTTTCCCAGTCCTCCTGGTACGAGCTGCTGCCATTCGAGAATGAAGCATTGCGCGACAGTCTGGGCGAGGCAGGTGGCGAAATAGACCTGTTGCTCACAGATGCCAGATCTTCCGTATCAAGAAGGGGGTCATCGTCCATTGCGGTTGCCTCCAACTCCGGGGACAACGCAGCCACCGATGGCTCCGACTGGCGACTTTGGAAATAACCAGTGTCCTCCATGATTAGTTTTTGTTGGAAGGAGAAAATCGTAGGACCGTCCCGGTGGTTCGGATAAGGACGACTGAGAAAGCGGCTGAACGTCAGCATCCCCATTGTCAAAGAATTGATCGCCGTTCTTCTTCACACAAAAGAAAGACAAGAGACATCAGAAGAAGCAAGAAGCCCTCTGGAACGAGGGGACACCAAGGGTATCCCCCTGCCCATTTATCTGTTTGTTCCACCAAACCGACAAGCACACCCTCCAAGAGTCACGCAAGTCACGCACCTTTTTTTGAACCGTCAAAAGATCTCCAACAAAGTTTGGTTTCCAATCGCAAACGGCAGGTGGTCAAACACAATCCTCCAGTTTCATTCAAAACCCAGAACGCATGGCTTGTCGGGGAGCGACCAGAATCAATCAAGTCGACAACGTGCGCTCATCCAAGGCGGTGCGGCGGTCGCTGGCTGCACTGTTGGGGATGCGTGTCTCCATCGGTGTCCCTGATTGGTTAATACAGGGATGATCCGCGACCGGGGTTTTGCCAATTATATTAGTTAGGCAATTATTAGTTATGCCTTAGTGCCTGCGATACGAGGCATTAAGAGGGTGGGGAATAGTTAACTACTGTAGTTACTTGAAGATGTACCTTACTGATGCTACAACAACTATAACCACTAACAAAACAGGAACAATCATGGCATGTACAATTCAGAGTCCTGCATAGGCTGCAAATAATATGAAATACTTAACCGTTCCTTGCCTCCAGGCGTAGGATGTCCATCGCGGCGCACAGAACTCTTCAAATACCCCTCCGTCGCCTTGTGCAGAGAATCGCCCATATTCACAATAACACAGCCATCTTTGGGTTCAATAAACCTCCACTCATTCTCCGACCCGGCGAGCCCTGTTGTATAATCCTCACTGTACCGGAGGGTAAGACTCTCACCATCTGTATGGCCGGATGGAGAGGCGTCTCCCGATGTTTCCCCCGCGGTGAATTATTCCGGATTTAGACGGCATCCCGGATCAATGCAACGTGTTTTATTCTGGTTGGCGAGCTAGAACACAACCAACAGACGACAAATCGACAGCACCGAGTACATATTCGGTTGCAAGATCCTACGCATAACAAGCCATGGCACCTGCAATGGTGATTTTGATAGTGAAGAGGCCACATGGCCTACTTTCTTGCCCAATGAGACTCGCTATGGACCAACTAAGCACAGAGTGCCTGGATGTTACTCATATCAATCGGCGCTGTACAACAAGTAGAGCTGGACGACTGCAGTCAGTGCCGCCTAGTTTCCATGAGCAACGAATATGTCAGGTACACGGGTACAGACTTACCAGTGAACTATCAAAGCCTTCCGCAACCTTGATATCCAATACCCTTCTCTTAGGAGGCTTGGGATACCATGTCTTTGTTTGAGGAGCACACCCCAACGAATCGTTCTTCTCCGTACTCTCCCGTATATCGGCCACCTTCACGTCTCCCACAAGCATCTCCCATATATAGATAGACTCCTTAGACACCTGGCGCACATGAACAGTAGTTTGTTTATCATGTTCATGCTTTGCCGTCTCCACAGCAGCATTCTGCACAATCATGTCAAACTTCCCATAATGCACCGACATGGAAAATTCGACCAGGTTATCTTTCTTCCCATCCGACCTTGGTAATCGTACTCTCAACGGTCGTGAAATCCCAATTACCCTGTACATTTCAAATAAAGGCAGCCCTGAGCCATCGCGAAATTCACGACCCGTCCGCTCGCCGTGTTTCTTCCCTGCCACTGCAAAGATGGTTGAGCCGTCTCTGTCTTTGACGATGTAATCTTCTGGTGAGTGATCATCGCATTTTGGCTCGATGATGAGATTAGTTTCTGTTGTGGCGATGTGTTCTGGTCGGATGGCGATGGGGAATGGGGGTTGTGAAACGGAGGTATTGACTCCAGCCATGATGCAAAAGTGTTGTTCACAGGAGATATATGTAGAGATGATAATTGATATAATCAAAATTGTTTGCTGGCGGTGCTATTGTTATTTAAATAAGGTTGAATTTGCACAGCCACTTGCCCGCATCTAGCCTTAGCATAAACCCCACATTAAATGCCCTATCTCGTATACAACTTTGTGTCCAAGACCGCAACCTGAGGCACTTGAATGTTGAGGCCATGTTGAACCAGATATTTTCCACCATGGCTCCAGGCACCTCCAAAACACCCATCTCAACCTCAATAAACACAAGCTACACACACGCTATGGCCCTCGCAGCCCTCCCTCGGGAGCTAATCGTTTCCATATCTGAACAGCTCGAATAATGCGATATCAACGCTCTTTATCAGACAAATGTGCACTTGTACGATTTGTTAAATGAGGTTTTATACCAGCAGAATGTCAGTAACTTACAGGGCGCGGGCGCATGGCGGGCTGTCGAAAACGGTAATGCGGATGCTCTTATGAAGTTCATCGCATATGGGCTGAATATTCATGCTTGTGGGCAGCCATCGAATTTCACTGTCAACAAGGCGCTCGTTGGTGATGACACTGCAGCGGAGTATGAAGAGCATGATGAGGAGAAAAGAGAAGAAACAAAAGAAGAAGCAGCTGAAAAAGACAAGGAAAAAGAGAAAGAGAAAGAGAAAGAAAAAGAAAAAGAAAAAGAAAAAGAAGAGGAAGAAGAAGACCTTTTTCTTCGATATCATGGTGAGTTATTCGAATCACGCAAAGCAAGTCACTAACCCAATTGTCACTCAAGAAAAGCTAACAAATGCACACAGCCAATGCCCCCGTCCCACGACAACCAACCTCAACCGGAACCGCTACCTCAACCAGAACCGCTTATATGCTACGCTGCGAAAAACAGCAATGTATCTATAATGCAGGTTCTGCTTGCTCACGGCGTATACCCAGACGCTCGCAACGAGAAGGGGGAAACGCCATTAAAAATCGCATCCAGAAAAGGCCATGAGGGTATCGTATGGTTATTGCTATACGAAGGTGCTTATGTGAATGCTCTTGACAACACCCAGAACAGTGCAGCTTCATATGTAGTAGAAAATGATCACTTGGAGATCATTGCGGTTTTGATGGAGCATGGAGGGACCATTCCTTGGGTAGTGTGTGTGTGATTTATGCTAAGAAAGCTTGATCTTTGAAAACGTGTGAAGTATGTTTGCTTTTGGAGGTCCGTTGCTTATCGTTGGATATATCATACAGATACTGGATTTGATATACCAGTGTCACCGTTCTTGCTATCTACACTATTTCACTGACTTGACTTGGTTGCCAATTTGATAAAAGAGACCGATACCGTATACCCCGTAGCAGACGAACTATTAGGGCTAATGGTGTAAGTTGGGTTTTATCACGTACTACACCTTGCATGATACTTGCTATTCCAGATTTGCAGATAACTGAAGAATATAGAAGAAACATGAGAAAGTAACAAGTAAAGAAGAGAAAGATAGAAAAATAACAACAGAAAAACAGTATGTAAAAGCAATAGAAGTAAATTTAAAAAAGAAATTTACAAAAAAAGTCATGGTACCGGTACCGGTTTTGACGTTGGTCTAACCAGCTCACTTATCATAGGCAGCCGTAGCTGCCTTCGCTATCCTGGAGCCACTTCTATAGGCTCAAATTCGTGGTGTCGTGTTGTGTCGTGTGTCGGCGGTAAACGTTAGGCATCCAGGTCTCGTCAGGCGGTCGTTCCTCCTTTCCTTTCCAATTCCTCCCTTTCCTCCAATTTCTCCCATTTTCCTCTAACTCGTGGTCGGCATGGTTGGCGTCAGGGTGTCGGGTCCTGGCAGCTGAGTTAGACCATACGACCAAATGGTACCATGACACGAGGTAGTTCTGGATTGTGGTATATAAAGATTTTCTCGGATTAGTAGATATTGACGAAGTGATATTCCTATCTAAACTAGTGTAGCCATCAACGAGAATATCGAGTCTGGGGAAGAAAAGGAGGAGAAGAGAAATCTGTCTACAGGAAGAGGTTTTATAGGGGCTGTGTGGTGTTTGTCTTGATTGTCTTGGGAGCATCTTTTACCATGTTGATGATGTTTGTCGATGTTGGCGTAGATGCGGCGTTAAGCCGTCACAGATAGCGAACATCATAGGTCGACCTACCGAGCAAAAATCTACAAGCACCCGATCAGCTTGCAACTAGGTGATTAGTCCCGCGCCATCTCATCCTTCGCGTCTTGTAGATTATTTCAGACTGGAATAATGAAATGGCTCCAACAATAGCACTAAAATGGCTCCATTCCCTTAAAACCGGTGCGTTCCATGTATAATAACATCATCCATGAACCTGAGACTTGTGTCTTGCTAAGAACCACAATCAGTGCATGTCTGAGACAGTGGTTGGGCTCTATGTACAGTATCTTCAACTTGCTCACACTTCTTGTTGTTGGGTGTGAATGGGGTTTTCGATTAATTCATGACTTCGTGCAACCATTCTGTATCAAAAAGGTGATGTTGATGTTCTCTAGCAATAGATACCCTCACACATGGAGCTACAGACCACTGCGAACAACCTCGACAGGAGCATTATTCAGAATAATAGAAGGTTGCATCCAAGCGGTTAAATGTCGGTGCCAAAAGGCCCGACAATCGGCATAGCGCATGGGGTAAAGAAGATTTCCACGTTACGGGGAAAGCCCTATCATCTCCCCCAGCCCAACATCGGACATCTTGGCAAAATACGACAAGACGCTCCGTCTAGACATAGTGGGAGCCGGGGCCTCGAGATCCCCACTTCACTCAATCTTGTCTGTACGATAGGACGGACACAGGAAGGAAGTGCTTGGCGCGACTGGCAGCAACAAAAATGTCCTCTTGGCGCGGGGAGCCGCCGGAGTATCTCCGCTCACCAGTGGTATAAAAGACCGTGGTGGCACTGCAGGATGTAACATGAAAACCTCCGTGAGTAGCAACCATGGCATCACTGGCAGCCATGTCCTGGCCGGGCCTTCTCCCCGACTGGTCCAACCTCCACGTTCTCCATCGCAACATCTTGCCCCCCCGCGCACACTTCTACTCTTTCGCGGATGAGGATGCCGCCCTCACGTTCAATCGCGAGAAGAGCTTTTTTCACAGTCTCAACGGGACCTGGAAGTTCCACTACGATGCATCGCCCTTTGAAGCCCCAATCTGGGAGAGGGCCAATGTCACTGACTGGGATAATATTGAAGTGCCGGGCGTCTGGCAGATGCAGGGCTACGGGCGCCCGCAGTATACCAACATTGACTACCCCTTTCCCGTCACCCCGCCAAACGTCTCGTACGTGAACCCCACGGGCTCGTATTGGCGTGAGTTTGAGGTGCCCGCCAACTGGGACGGCCAGCAGATTCGTCTGCGGTACGAGGGTGTGGATAGCGCGTTCCATGTCTGGGTGAACGGCGAGGAGGTCGGCTACAGCCAAGGCAGCCGCAACCCCAGCGAATTTGACATTACGGATTATCTCTCGTCGGAAAAGACAAACACACTCGCGACCCGCGTCTACCAGTGGTCCGACGGCTCCTACATCGAGGACCAGGATCAATGGTGGCTGTCGGGGATCTTCCGGGATGTTTACCTGATCCCATTCCCTCGTGCCTCGATTTCAGATTTCCACGTCGTCCCCGAGGTTGACGACGGCTATAAAAGTGGCACACTACGAGCAAATGTCACTATCCAGGGTGAAGATCGAGACATGAGCATCAAGGTTCTGTCGCCCAGCGGCGAGGTTCTTGACAGGTGGTCCGGGTCTTCGTCTGATCGCTACTCAAAGAAAGTCGAAGGTGATGACTTCCAACTCTGGTCCGCCGAGATACCGAGCCTGTATACCATCTTGATCGAGTTTAATGGCCGCACTATCAGTCAAAAGGTTGGGTTCCGCCGCATCGAGATGAGCGGCTCGAACTTTCATGTCAACGGAAAGCCGGTCATTATCTATGGCGTGAACCGCCACGAGCACAACCATCTCTCTGGTCGGACAGTCCCATACGAGGCGATGCGCGCGGACTTGATTCATATGAAGCGCTCCAACATCAACACGATTCGGACCGCCCATCAGCCCCCTCATCCGGCATTCTTCGATGTCGCCGATGAGCTGGGCTTCTACGTTATTGCCGAAGCGGACTTGGAGTGCCATGGCTTTGGTAATCTCGAAGACACTGAAGAGCAAGCCGCTTCATGGACGTCCGATAATCCTGAGTGGACTGATGCGTACCTGGACCGGGCCAAGCAGCTCGTGGAGCGCTACAAGAACCATGCCTCAGTCATCATCTGGTCGCTCGGAAATGAGTGCTTCTACGGCCAGAACCAGGCGGCCATGTACCAATGGATAAAACAGAGAGATTCGACGCGAATCATCCACTACGAACAGGACCGGGAAGCGGAGTCGGCCGACATCTACAGCCACATGTATTCCTCGCCTGAAGAAATGCGGGAGCACATGGAGAGCCACAAAGATAAGCCTCTCATTTTGTGCGAGTTTGCACAGTAAGTACTCCATTACTCTCTTTGACGAGCGACCCGCTGACGGTACTCAAGCGCCATGGGTAACGGGCCTGGAGGATTAGAAGAATATATTGAGCTGTTTCGGTCAGAGCCACTCTCCCAAGGAGGACTCGTCTGGGAGTGGAGCAACCATGGGCTGTTAAAGAAGGAGGGTGACCTCGAATACTATGCATATGGTGGTGACTTTGGTGACGAGCCCAATGACGCGGACTTCGTCATGGACGGCCTGACACTCTCGGACCATACTCCTATGCCCAGTCTCCTGGAGTACGCGAAACTTATTCAGCCTGTCTCCATGGCCTTGACTGAGGACACGAAGCAGATGATTGTTACCAACCATTACGACTTCGTCGACCTTGGTGGACTGGATGCCTCGTGGCACATTGTTCGGGACGGCGAGACCACAGAGGCCCAGAGGTTGGAGCTCCCCCACATTCCCGCCGGGGAGAACCGCACAGTGGACTTGCCATTGGATAAGGGAACCCTCTCACAGGAGGCGTGGCTCACCGTGGAGTTCCGGCTGAAGGAAGATACGGTGTGGGCAGAAAAGGGCCATGTTGTTGCCTGGGACCAGCTGCACCTGATAGGTGCTCCTGCAAAGCGCTCCATCCACGCCGTGGCTCGCGATGTCGCAGGGCTGGAAGTGCAGCAGGATCGAGCCAAGCTCAGGGTCAGGAACGGCAAATCGACCTTGGGCTTCGACCTGTTGCAGGGAAATGTCACCTGGGAAGTCGATGGCGTAAACCTGTTCCAGCGGGGCCCCGAGCTGTACTTCTACCGGGCCATGACCCAAAACGACGAGTCGAGCGAGGGCGACATGGCGGAGTGGGAGGAGACCAAGGTTGGTACGATGCACACGCAGGTGCGGGATGTGACCTGGAAGACGTCGGATAACGAGGTTGTTATCCATTTCAAGGTTCGCGTTGCGCCCAATGTGCTTGAGTGGGGGGTGGAGGCAGACCTGATATACACCATTGCCGCGGAAGAGGCATTGTTGCGCGTTCAGGCTAGCGGAGAGTTCGTTGGCAAGAACAAACCATCTGTCGTGCCCCGTATCGGACTTTTGACCATCATGCCGGAAGAGTTCAACGAGATGAGGTGGTTCGGGCGCGGTCCAGGGGAGAACTATAAGGACTCGAAGCAGGCGTGCCGCATTGGTCGATACGAGGCTGCGGTCCACGAACTGTACACGCACTACGATTATCCGCAGGAGAACGGGAACCGCGAGGACCTGCGGTGGTTGCAGGCCTCCAACGGCGCCCTGACGCTCGACGTGCGTCGCGTGGGCGAGAGCGCGCCATTCAGTTTCACGGCAGGACGTTATATGCCGTTCGACCTGGATGACGCCAAGCACCCGCACGAGCTTCAGCCGCTGGATATGACAGTGCTCAATCTGGACTACGACAACCACGGGCTAGGATCGGCGAGTGTGGGACCCAGGCCGTTTGAGAAGTACAAGTGCAAAACGGAGCCGTTTGACTTTACGTTCGAGCTGAGCCTTGCCTAGTATAAGAGCGAAAGCGGACATTGGTTCTCTCTGTATATAATCTATAAATAGGTAGAAAGATTCATGTGACATCAAATTGCCCAGCCCAAAGCCTGGCCACCGCGTAGATGGACTGCCCAACCCGGTCAGATGATCTGGAGACTGTCTATAACACGCGAGAATGTCTCTTATTCGGGAAAGGTGGATGTGGCATGAGTAAATGAGGCGTGTCTGTATCGGCTGCCTGTTTTGATTGATCAATGTCGTTCTCGGATTTCGACCAAACCATCGACCGAGAATGATCTTTCCCGTAACATCTTTCAGGTCAGCACAATATCTTCTTCTTGGTCAAATCTGGACTGGAATGGCGAAAAGAGACTTACCGCGTTCTCATTATGATCCATCACAAATAGTCCACAATCATCCTCTGTGAAAATGGTAAATGACGGCGTGTTCCCAAGCTTCCCGAGCACACTACTGTTATAATCATCGTATCTTCCTATTGTGTGACTTTATATATCATTGGCCTCCGTTCTTTGCCGCTCAAACAACCTCTCAACCATTACCTACCATCGACCATAATTACTCCATCCCTTCTTTCCATCTCTAGAAGCTCCAGTAGTCTCATGAAGTGCTTGTTTCTCTTTTCTTTATCATGCAACAAGGAGCCGCACACCATAGAGGTAAAGAAAAAATCTCGAATGCATCACCGACTGGGCGCTATCTAGGTATTCAGCTCATTTGCCGAACACAGCAGATTGTTGGACAATCACGGTCAGCAGAGATATCACACTTGGACTACGAGCTAAAGACCATGAATGCAGAGAGGGAAAAAAACTAAAAAGAGGGGTGAATGAAACTGTTTCTCATCATCTCTTTCAATCCATTCCATCACTGACACATTCCAGGCCTGAACGCAACCCCGATCTACAAGTTCAAAGTTGGAAAAGATCACTGGCATAGCTGATAGTAACATCTGCTACGGTGATGGGCCAAATCAGTGGCCGCTTAGCACCCATTTTATAGGGCTCGTAATTCAGCTTCAAGACTACAACCGGCAATGGTTCATTAGATTGATTAGATCAGTGTGATGAGAAGTTTTGTAGAAGATACAAATCCAAAGATGCTTGATACCATAGAATGCTCATAGTCTAATTACTGTACAACTTCCGATCCTCTCCAAGCGTTGATTAGAAGCTCGACTCGCGATCGATCCGCATAAGACAGCATATTTACATTTGCTCCAACAGCTCACACGAGCTACCATGATCGCTCACGAAAACGAGTACCTTAGTAAGATATCACTTTGTCGGTAGTCTTTCCGCCAGCACGCCGATAATTGTTTCTCGTGCCCTTTGGCGCTCTTAAGTGGGATGAATTGGGAAGTAGGAAAAATAACCGGCCGGAAGGAGATCTGTAAACGAATCCTTCCCCCATAAAGATCGATCTGGTAATTTTCAAACAGTACTTCAGTCGAATTTCTCATTTGATCGAGAGCCTTGGAAAATGGAATCGCATCGCGTAGCGAAACGTGTACATGGTAGTGTGGTTCATCGCCAGTTGGAGGCCCTGTCACGACGTGCCCATCAACAGAAGTTACTGGTATCCCATGCTCTCCAAGGATCCTGTCCAATTCTTGTCTCAAATTGTTGATTCTTTCATCGACTTCCGAGGATGGTTCCGTGAGATGCGAGTCGCCGAGATAAGAATAGTGGACGCTTATTTCACCTTCGACGTTCATAGGGGCCGGAAGTGTGAGTTCCAGTAGCTCCAATGCCATGCTGATAAATCTTTTCGACTTATAACCAGCAATAGCTGTCAATAATCGTGAAGTTGAACAAGACGAGGAGGGAATTTGACGGAGAAATGGAAAAGACGAGATATATTGACAACCCCGCTTGGTATTTATGTACTTTGTACAGTTTGTTTGCTTGTGCGATTGGGCTGCAGGATTATCATTCTACTGTATATCCTTGAATAGAACGATCATGCGCATTAGATAAAATTGATAGGAGATTATCACATAGAGTGCTTCGAATAGTGATATAATAGTATAGCGGCCTAACCTTCCCTTCCTTTCTTCTACTATCTCTACATTTACCATATTTATCATCAAAGCTAAAAGAGCCAGAAAATGACACCCTATACCCTGGAGGAGGCCGTCGAGCCAGGAGACCTCATCATGGTCTGGGCTCCTGGTAAAGCAGAAATGCTCCTCGTCAAGTCCACTGGCAGCGAGGCTACTTCAGCCGCGTCCTCAGTCACGGCGAAGATTATCCCCTGGCACATTCCAATAGAAGAAGGATACTGGACATTGGATGGACCGGTTATAAACTACTGGGAAGAGGACGAGTCGAAGAAGGGTGAAGACAAAGACAAAAACAAAGATGACGACGACGACCCTAGTAACTACCAAGAGACCAACCTGGACTTCTTTCTCCAACAGTATAAGCCCACTGATACAGAGATAAAAGTGTTCGTGCATCCGCATGGACAGTGAGTTTTGCTACCCTTACTCACGCCCTTTGGTATCCGTTCTAATCTCCAATATTGTGGACACTGCAGAGATGTTCTTCAATACTACTTTGGTGACGAGTGCCCTGAATGTTTTGGAGACCCCATTATCTGTCCCGGGTGTGGTGGTGTCAGTATGCGATATCCAGAACACTTTGGTTGCTGTTCACTCAAGATTGCGTGCCCCCATTGCATGGGATACCACTTCTCGCTTGATGACAAGGAGATGAACCAATATCAACAAGAGCTTGCAGACCCAATATTCAAGATAAAAGATGCAGTACCTTCATCCGAGGAGGATCTAGAGCGGCTAAATGAGGATTTAGACTTGGCTACAGAGGAGTATATCGATCACAAGAGATACAGACATGAGCTTGTCAATTCGCGGAGGAATGAAATGGGCTATCCCATTTACAACCTAGACAAAATGACAGAGGGGATGAGAGAGGGGATGGATGAGATTAAGGAGGCATTGTCCAAGAAATTGGATGGCACTAAGTAAATGGCTACAAACTTTCGTAGCTGACAATAGCTGACCATAGCTGACGATTATATACAATAATTCCTTTGCTCAGAAATCCTTTAGAGCAGGCTGGTAGAAGATTATCTTGTAGCAGTTTTCTTGTAGTTAGTAGTTTCAATATTCTGACCAAAACAACAGTAGAAGGCTCATACTCTGATAATTACGGTTGCCTGGATTTCTCCCCCCCTCTTGTTCAAGGTGGAAGCCACTCTCCAGCTTCCCAGGCCCGGAAGATGCAGCGAGAGCCACTTGAATCTGGAGAGAGGAGGAAAGAAAAAGGAAATCATCCGTTTCACGTGTAGTTAATGACTTTACGGCCCCTGGGTTGGTCCAAATACCGAGGGAACAAAGCACCCGTGAAGTCGAGCCACCCCGTCGAGACGACCTACATTAGGCAGCTTGATAGATATAGATTTGACCAGTCAATGCGATACGGAGCTGGCCAGGCAAGTGACGCACCAAAGCACATTTTATCTGTAGCAGCCTACCTGGGAAATATCTCACTGGTTGAGCAACTCCTTGTACAGGGCGTGGATGCGAATGCGAGAAGTAACATCTTTGGCCAGTCATTGCGAAACGCTGCCTTGAAAGGCCATTTGGATATTTTCCGGCTCCTGCTTAACAAAGGAGCTGATGTTGAGGGCGGGAGCTACTCCCAAACTGAAGGGACCTGCAGGCAGTGGAAAGACGATACGACAAGGAATCTCTTGGAGCAACAGTTTTCTGGAATATCCCATGTGGCTAATACTACTGTTGAAGCGGCAGCCCAGAAGGGCCATAAAGAGATATTGCAACTTCTTTTACGACCAGAATTTCGCATTTCACGATCAACTTATAGCTATCGGAGGGCAATTATCTTTGCAGCTGAGGGAGGAGATGCTGAGATTTTAGAAATCCTTACTGCAAGTGCTGATTACAGCAGTATGTCAGAGAGGTCACTTCAAAAGCTCTGGAACCGTGCACTTCGACGTGCCTCATTTTATGGTAAAACAGAAACCATTCCCCCACTGCTGGACAGGGGAGCGCAGATCAATTGACAATAACGAGTATTATGATCTTACAGTTTGTACGCCATTAAGACTTGCCACTTTCAACGGTCATAGCCAAACGATTTTACTGTTACAGCAAAACGGGGCCAATATTAATGGCGGACCCGATCAACCACTTTATATGGCAATCTTGAATGGATTCGCCCAGACCGTGAAGTTGCTCCTAGATTAGGGAGTTAGCGTTCATTCTGTTGTTTCAAGGTTTCTGGAAAGGGCAGCGGAGTATGGAGAAGCAGACGTTGTTCGGGTTTTCATAGAGAGAGGTATACATCAGGTGCCTGGTCGTTCCGATAAAGGAGAATGTGCCTTGTACTGCGCAAAGTCTGCTGGAAATGAGCGTGTTGTGAGAGTACTTGGAGAGTTTGGGATCACTGAAGATACAAGTGCGAATTGATAGAATGCACCCTTTTCAGAGAGTTTCTTTCCTGTCCTTCTGTGATAAATCCTCAAGTCTATCAGTGCGAGCCCTGTTCCCTATAATAAATTAGCAGAGATCTTTTAATAAAATCGGACAACATACAAGATCGACCCTGTTTATCATAAACAGTATAGATAGCCACCAGAAACGACAAAACGACAATTGTCCGACCAAAAAGTTCGGTCACAGCTAGCATCGGCCAACCATCTTGGAAGCCAAATAAAACCGCAAAGACGAATAAACACACATGGACCAATGAATGACAGATCAATTCAAAGGCAGAAGGTTTCGTGGAAATGATCAGGGCTGTGAGCCATATGAGGGAGGCTGACAGTGCACCTTCGAACAGACTGCCCCAGAAGGGGGCCCATTCGGGAGAGGGCGGAAGCGAGTCGAAAAATGCTTCCCAAAAGTCAGACATGATGGGATTCAGGCAGAATTGGGCTGTGGAGTTGAATGGGTTGACTTTGAGGGGGAAAGTTGAGACTTGAGAGGCCGGAAGAAATCAGATCCCCAACAGAGAAGTATTGTCCTGCGCTACTATCTTAAACAGCTTACCTAGGGTTTATGAGAGATGGAGAAGATGATGAATAGCAAGGAATATGTGATATTCTGGAAGAAGAAGAAGAAGAATGAAGAGAAGAGAGGACCTCGGATGATCTCTAAGAGGAAATACAGTCTAGCCTAAAGGGGTAAAGTGGATGGAGTAGTAGCAGAAAAATATACAACAGCTTCACTCACCCATGGCAAGCATTTTGTTCCACACAGTAGGCAACCACATTGGCAGAGTCATGGAGGGCTGCTCCACGCAGCATTTTGTTAAAAGGGGCTGAGTATTCCTCATTGTTGCTGTGGGCATTGACCAGGGTTTCAAGATCCCCGCACCGGTTTTCCCGGCAGGCTGCGAGGGGCTTCGGGGATCGCTTGGGATGTCATTTTTCAGGTTTTGAAAGCACAACTAGAAATAATATAGAATAATAGAAAATAGTAACTAGTTAATCCAAGATATATAGTAAAGTGGCGAGCCAGACAAGGCAGGTGGTTGGCACTAAACCACAATGAGAAACTAGTCATAAGGAAGGAAAAAATCCCTAAGTAGGCTCTCAGTTGCGGGCCAAAATGCTTAGCTATCAGTTTCCATGCTAGCCAGTTTTTTGACTTTGTAATTGTCACTTTTCATTCTTAACATAACAAGGTCATGATAAGGTGACCATCACCTTTTTAACAGAAGCCCTATGATTTGAACAATATTCTAATATCATAGGGACAAGCTTGAATATAAAACGTAAATAAATATTGAGAGCTATAACATAATGAAACGCCAAAGAAACCTATAACAAGACCAGATTGAAAACCACTAACCCAGATATAAACTCGTCACAACACCCTTCTCTAGGTACATTTGCTGAACCCCTCATCACCTTCCCAAGACTGCTTCTTGTCCATATCAGGCTTCTGCTTGACCTGCGTATGGACCATAATGCCACAGTAGACAGGAGTGCCCCCAGCATTTGCGTACACAACACGGATAGGCGTGTGCGCTTGGCCATTAATCTTCGTGTCAGATTTGATCTGCTTCGTGCCCTGCCAGAAGACAGGGTATTCCAGCAAATCGATATTGGTCTTCTTGCAGGCAGCAGGGTCCCATTCAAGCTTTTCCCCGTTTCTGTATGCGTGCGGGTATCCAGTCTTGTCAGCGCCTTTGACGCCGGCCTTTTGGACAAGTTTTTTGGCTTCATCGACGCTGACAGTCCAGGTTTTGGAAGTGTGCTTGGCCTTTGTGGTGTCGGTTGCTGTGCAACGGACGGTTTCCTGGGTGGGTTAATTGTGGTTCATTTCAATTGGTAGGGATTGGATGACTTACACCTGCACGAGCTTCGAGATCAACGGGCGTTGCAAAGATGGGACTTGCAAGGAGAGCAAGAGGGAGGATGACATTGAAAAAATGCATTTTGAGTGATTTCTTTAGCAAAGAGATTGATTAATGTTGGATTGAGTGCAGAGCTTGATGATTGAGATAGTTTGTTCTCAGCGGGAAAGAAGCTCTGCTTTATAGCTTTGCCTTGACTGTGTTACGAAAGTTATCTGAAAACACCTCATTGTCAGCCTCAGGATTCCATCACCAGCACAAGATTCATTACATGGATTTGAAGCATCCCTGTCCCATGGGGCGGTTACTATTAGAAAGACGAAGCGGGAAAGAAATACTACGTACACATCTTGACACGGGGATGGTGATAGATACAACGACACATAAAACGAGATAATACGATTGGTTGATTCAAAGGATTTGTTGGAAATAACAGCAAAGGATGGATATGAAGTAAGCTTGGTTGGAGGCTGTTTAGGGTTACTTACGGGCGGAAGATCGACTGGCGCAGGGGCACCGCCCCGTTCCCGGTCGGCCCCGCAAGGCAGACGCGGCTGACATCTCTTCTCTCGACTCTTTCTATTTAACTCTCTGAGATCCGTCCAGTGGTGGAATTCTGATAACACGCACAAGACTCAAGGAACCCACCATGTCGACACTTTCGACCAACCCAGACTACTCAGAGGAGTTCGAGGACAAACCACTCCCTTTGAACTTGTATGACGAATATGACGACGAAGAAGATCTCTGGGTCAAACCAAGACTAGAAAACTTGGTCAATGGGACGTTGACTCCCAAACAGCTCGCCATCGACGTTGACGCTATGATCACAGAGGATACAAACCGAAAATTTGACGAGTTGATGAAACGACCAGACCCCCGAAATCTGACCGAGGAAGAGGAAGAAAATGAGAGCAGCATAGCGCCCCATCCCAGATCCCATATCTCTCTATTGTTCTCTGTCATTGTGCAACTGTGTACGGCCTTTCCAGCCTATCACCCGGGACAGACTCATATTGTTGAATTTCTTTTCGCACTGCAATCCCTCTCCCGCCATGAAGTCTATACAGGTCTGCCTCCGAAAGACCCTAGCGAGCCGTATCGGACTGTGACACTCTGGCCTCTCGAGGAAGATGGAGGAGACTGGCAGATGCTTTCGTATCTTTTTAAGGAGGCGATGAAAGGTGCCTAGTCCTCCCCTGGCTAGCTAGATTTGTGATCAATGGTCTGACTTACACTGGGGTTTTTAGTATGGCTTGCTCCATATCGCTTGCGGAACCTCAACGCCGCCATGGCCCGATTGGCTTCCTTGAAACTTTGCAACTGCGATAGATATAGCGCTCTTCTATATATAATGCCGTCAAATAATGAATATCTTGATTTGGAGGAGCGTCCCATCGATGGGCCGAACAGACTGGGTAACAATTTGATTGCAGCTGCCCAGTGGATCTTGCCACTGGAAGAAGGCCATTTTGCCTATCAAGAGTGCAAAAAGTTTGAGAGTGAGCCGGAGTGGCCACATATTTGGTGTATGGTGCATTGGAGGGAATGGAAGCGTCAGTTTGCTTTTGTTGCGGGTGATGAGCGATTTGCTGCAAAGTACAGGGAGGTGGCCGAGCGGTCTTATTGTCAGATGCTTGTATACGAGGAGGAAGATTCCAAGGGCCAATAACAATAATCAGTATCAATCTGCTAAAATACATTGTACCTTCCACGACACCTGCACCAAATGAAGCCTTGGTGCATCACACTGATACTTCATCCATTCCTTTTGCAATATTGCCATAACATGTAGAAGAGTATCGTACCTCGGCATACAGAATTGTCAACGAAGTTTTTCCTGACTGGGAACGCGACACCCGGGTTCCCTTTCTCGCCATTGAAGTGTGGGGGGACCGCATCTATATCGCCATTGGCATCAACCATCATGATTACAACTTTGGCACAGCACACAAAACCAAAACCATTCTTCCAGTCTACGTGCTTCGACAGCAAGGGAAAGGGCGGGGCTGGGCTCTCATAAGATGGCCTCAAGAGGATGAGCCCCTTGGTGCGAAACTAGCGGATCTTCACAATGCCAATGGGTTTGACGTCAAAACACCTTTCCTGGAAAACTACAACTCATGAATTGTACACGCCAATCCCCGTGAGCTTCCTATATGAGGTGCTACTGTGTTGAGCTCGAATTCTCAGATGCTTGCTGCTTTGTGTAATTAGCTGGAGGTCATATACTTGCGGTGGTTGGGTGAAGGCGACGCTTGGACTTTATGCGTGGATTAACAGTGCTGTGGGATTACTTTCTATTGCACCGTCATGATTACTATTCCACTAGGGAATCCCATTGAGTCTCTGTTCACTTTTTGGGTGCTTGCTATTATAGGCTTTAATTGTGTATGACCCCAACCCACTCGAATCACGTGGCCCTTTCAAGTCAGCGAACGCGAAGACATAGAGAAATTGGAACAATTGCTGCGGGGTCTTGAAGAAGTGCGGTTGAATGTGCTCAAGCAGCTGGGGAATGTCTACGAGAAGGGTATACCAACCGATCGAATCAAAAAATTTGGCTTACAAATAATGGGATACATAGTTAACTAACTAGTTATGTATCTACCTTCAGGCCCAGCATGTGACCCTGCCCCAGGATATCACCGACTTCCTTTTTTTTTTTGTGCATTCCTGGGCGGACTGGGTCGCCAACCACCATATACTTGAAGAGGAACTGATGTTTCCTGGATTTGAACGAGTCATGGGTAACTCCATGTCCTTGGAACGCAATATGGAGCAACATCATATTTTCCAGCCCGTGCTACAAGAAATCCTGGCTTACAGTGCTGAGACCCGGCCAGTGGACTACCAGGTGGCTGTCTTACAGCATCTGATTGAGGCTATGGCCCCAAGTTTCCATCAGCATCTCAGACAGGAAATTATGAATCTCGTCGCGATGGAGACCTTTAATGGGCCTGCTCTGCTGAAGGTCTACAAATCCTGTGAGGCTGAGGCAGGTAAACAGAACAAGGTAAAGTACCTATCCTAACACATTAGGACTGAGGAATTGACCAAACCGAGCGCAGTATGTGGTGCCGCCAATGGTCCTTGGCCTCCGCGACGTCACGTTCGAGGGGGGTAAGTTTGGAAACATTTCGGATCTTGGCGCTTTCTTCCATGCGACTTTTGGGGAAAGCCTCATCCATTAGCCTATGCGATGATCTCCTAGCAAGGTGGCAGGATTATGGATAACTGTTAGACTAGCATTTCGCCGAGTGGATTGGAATTGAGTGCAAGCGGGTTGACCTTGCTATCTATCCAATCACTGGTGAGAGCTAAATGCTGTGCAATGGTGGGTGTGGGATTTAAGGAAGAGCTCTGCTGGCAGAGCGTCCGGAAAGCACGGTGGTAGTGGGTGCCAGTCAGGCAAGCTTTGCTCAATCATTTCTTTAGAGTGAACCATCTTTGATTTCAAAACTTGTGCCCGGGGAAGTCTGATTGGAAACATGAGGCGCAAATGCATGCATAGCTCGTATATTTTAGCTCTCCCCTTACAGGGGTAGTGTCTTCTTGTCGTGGCGAGATCCCAGAATGGCGTCAACCCTGGCGTGATTCTCAGGGAGCGACTGGTTTGTACCATACAGGCAGGCCATGCAGCGTTGGTATTGGCATAAACAAGGGCTACGATGCTGTCGCCAGGCTCTTGTGCTCCCATTATGAACTGGACCTACAACCACTGTCTGGATTCATGACATACTACGTGCAAAGCATCAGCGCACTGCTGTCGGCGTCCCTAAATCTGGCACTCGAAGCTCCAGGCGCCGCACGTCCTGAGCTCAGCTCACTTGGTATTATTGACGACCGCCTGAGGACCCGGTATACAGGCCCTGGGGCAACAGTGGAGATTGGTGATTGGTGGCTAGCATGATTGGATGATTGCTATTACTCGAATATTATTGGCTATTATCTGTACTTGTATGCTTCGCCTTTATTGACCAATTAGAAGGCTGAATAAGAGAGTGAGCTCTCGACTGGGTTTCTAGCAATAGGAAGAGCAGCCCTAAGTGGTAATTGATAAATGGACTTACTGAAGACCAAGTAATGAGAGCGATCATTTCTTATTATATTCATTCCTTTTCGCATGCTTTCCTCTCAGGTATAGCTACTATTTAGGTCCCCATTAGTCCATACGACATCTCAACATTAACAATGCAAGTCCTAGTACGGTAGCCATACAAATCAAATCCGACTCAAAGCTCCATCACTCATTGGTAACCCCAGTGACCAAAACCTGTACCTTAAAGTTCCCACTCTCCGGATACGGCGTCGTAAAATCGCGCACAAATTCAACATCCTTCTTTGTTGTCTCGTACAGCTCCATATCGAAGCGTCGCATCAGCGTGGCAAGGACTATAAATAATTCCGCATAGGCAAGGCTGCACAATATCAGTCAAAGCTTGTGAAGCAGTAAATGGATGGATGGATGGATGGATGTGCTCACTTCAACCCCTGACATATACGACTTCCCCGTGAGAAAATCACGAGATACCGATCTAATCGCTCTCCGTTGGCAGCGGCTCGGATCCATCGCTCTGGGTCAAAGGCGTGTGGGTCGGGGAAGATGTCGGGGTCCATGAGGATGAAGTTGTTTATTTGGCTGACTGGGGTCTGGTTGCTGTTAGCATATATCTTCGATATCTGTGAAGGACGGGGAGCGTACGCCAGGTGGTATGGTGTAGTCTTTGTACACAAGTGTCTCGGTAGGAGCAATCCTGGGAGATCGACTTGCGAGCCCTGTTGAAAGACGGAGGGTCTCGGTGATGACTGCGGACTGAATTATCGTTAGAATGACCGGGCGTCAAATAAGATAACCGATGCTTACCAGATACGGTAATTTCTCTAAATTATTCCAAGTCGGTCGCACATTCGGCGTGGGCATGAACTGCTTCAGCTCCTCGCGGAGTTTGTTCCGGATATTGTCTCTTGAGAGTAGGTGATATGTTGCAAGAGAAAGCGATCGAGCAGTCGTCTCCGTTCCAGCATTTACTAAACTGAGCTCCTCGTTCATAAGTCGCTCAGGCGTGCGTAGGTGCTGCGGCATTTTCGGTCCAACAAGTGTGCTGAGAATGGTATTCTGCTTGGCACTCGAGGGGTCTTGAATGGCATCGAGACTCAATTGATACATACGATTCTTCTGGTCGACAAGAGCCGCCACAGTGGGACTCAACCAGCGTAGGACATCCGTCGGCAATGCGTTCGTAATATTCCAGAGGAATGGGAAAAAGTACATTATATGGCACACCGTGAAAATACCATTAATGCTGTCCCTCACATGTGCATTGAAACCCTCTTGGTCCAAGTTTCCGAAGTCGTGTCCAAATATATAAGAGTGGATTACGTCGGCGGTCAACCCGGCATATCCAGCGTCGATGTTGACCACGTTGTGTGAAGAATAGGCTTTTTGAAGTTGAGAACAAATTTTATCAAGTCGCTCATAGATCAAATTCTCCATATTTGATATGGCCCGCTTTGAGAAGAACTTTTCCAACGGTGCGCGGCGCTCGCGATGGGCCTCCGGGCTAACACTGGAGAATGCCGATCCGTCTGCTCCATATTGAGCGAGCCAGGAAGCATCTCTTTCGCGTTTTCGGGTGCCCCGGGGGAATGTCTCCTCGTAGTAATCCGGGTCTTTGATGTGTATCTCACGGGGATTGATGCGGATAATAGGTCCTATATGGATTTTGTGTTAATATTAGTGGACAACGGGTGCGATATTACTGACCATATACTTGGTGTAACCGTTCAATCTCCCAGATATACATGCCCCGCTTGATGACATTGTAGTAGAACTCGTAGGCATATGTAATGGCCGCCAGTTTGGGCCCGGGAATTTTTCTCAGCGGATGGAAGTATGGCCGGTATATGCTCCGGAGCAAAATGTAGGCCAGCAGCCCTAAACCCAATGTCGTGAAATGGGCCATCTCGACAATGTAAAATTAGAAGATGAAATTCTACAAATTTATCTTGAGGCATCTTTTATAATGTGGAAATTGACCGTACTTTTTAACACATGAAGACCCCGATCTTCACCATTCGCACAACTAACCCCGCTTTGATTAGCACGAGTCCAGGCGCTTGCAACCGCAATGTTAACGGAATCATTTCAAGGGTGAAATCAATTAGCTATGTGATATACATAGCCGTTCCCTGGTTTCTTATAGGTCCACTCGGGCCTTTTTCCTTTCCTGTTCACCAATCGGCTCATAGTAGCCTCACTTCTGCGCTTCCTTCGCTCGGGCCAGCATTGCCTGCATATTCAAGATAGAGTAACGCCTGATTTGCTAAAGTGACATTCCAGCCCCTCGTAATGATGCTAAGATACAGACCCCGCATTGAACCAATGTCAGAGAGCTTTAACAGATATAATACTATACTATGTCTGGAGAATTATTCTTTCCTTGGCGCTCGATTCAGCCAACCTAACATCAACCGATCGTGCATCCAATTCCATCTTGCTGTTTGTTGCATGTTTATCACCATCCATCAAGGCATTATCTTCCAAGTTATGGTAGATCGTTGCGAAAATAGTCAACTTTCACAAAGCAAGCTTCTCTGTTCTATTCACTAAGGCTGTAGATATGAAGAAGATGAGACTCAGCATGAGGAGTGCAGCAGGTAGACTGAGCCATTCCCACTTGACCGCAACTTGAACTTCAGAGTGAATTACTGTGCCGCTGGCCGTAATATAATCGTCAGCTGGCTCTGCATCCATGTCCAAGTCAACGAAGAGTGACACAGATTGTTTGGCCTCTGCATGACTAGTAGCAATTGGAACCTCTCGGAGGGGATAAGTGAGTATTTGATATATGAACGGGTCAAAAGCAAGAGCTAGGGTGGTTATCGTCGCTCTAAGAGAGACCATCGAGAGCCCTTTGTGTCCGAAAGGGATAGTGAGTGATTCGAGGGGGCCGCGACTGGCATCATCGGTGCGCGGTTTTCCCAGAATGCATTGACACCTTGGAATCGAGGAAAAGCGAGAGCGAGCGGAAGAGCCTTGTGATAGGCAACGGCATGCGGCTGCTTTTAATTTCGCGGGTTCATTCTGAGGGGAGACTAGAAAGAACATCTCCATCTCATGGTCGATCATAATGCCTTTACCGGGTCGGATTCTGTCTGGTTCAATCATCATGGCTGCATCGGAGGTGCTTTGGGGGTGCTTTGTAGCCTCTCAATAGTAGAGCTCGGGGGTTTGGATGACACCTGGTCCAGCAAAAGACCACACAATCCGGTGCGTTCGTTGACTGAGAAAAAAAAAAAAAAAAAAAAAAAAAAAAAACACCTGAAAGGGAGCATGTAAAGCTGTTCAGTACACGGTAGGTCCTTGGGATCATTGCAACGGTTCTCATTCGGCATGTTGTATGGGATGTCGTTGGCTTAGGCTAATACCGACATAGGCACCTGAAATCGATCGCATCAAAATCCGGGGATTGACAGGGGCCGTCTACAAGTAGTAAGTAACGGAGGACGTCATCCATAACTTCGATCATGCCCAGTAAGGAACCGTGAATGGCTGAGCAAATAGAGTTACTAATTCAGAAGGGTGATGACTATTGTAATCTTGGTCGAAAAAGACCCCGAGATTTTAAAAGGCCGGGCACGATCTCGAAATGCACCGCTGGATGATCGGTGGCGATGTTTCGAATTATATTCACAGGATTTCGCTTGCGTATCAATGCATATTCATCTGGTTTCGCGCATTCCTGAAACTTGCAGACATATATTCCTTCGTCCGCCTGCAGCAATTCAACCGCCCTCTAAAAAAATATAGACACCATGGCAGACATTACATCCGGCCCTACCATCCCTATTCCGGAAACCGACTACCTTTCCTACATTTTCGAGGGTCCCTACGATGAAAAGAAAGCATGGCCATCGACAAAGCCTATCCTGGTATCTACTGAGGCGTCAGACCCTTCTTACACCATCGACGACATCAAAGACTTCGTCAAGCGCCTAGGATGCGGTCTTCATCATATCGGAGCACGAGGAAGGCGCGTCATGCTCTATGGCGAGGCAAATATTCATTTCCCCCTCGCCCTCCTGGGAGCAATGGCAGCAGGTTCTGCGTGCGCTGTTATCCCGCCTTCGTCTGTACACCACATCACATTCTATCTGCGACAAATGGAGGCCGGATTCATTCTTTGCAGTCTCAATGACGTAACGCGAGCGCGCGACGCCGCTCGTCAAGTGGGGATCTCTCCGGGGCATATCTTTGTCGTGGATAGATCGGTGTCCGATGTCGGCTTCACCAATGAGCAACAGGTACGGCATTGGAGCTGGCTTCTCAATGTCCCCGGAGGGAGTGAGTACGTCTGGCCACGTCTTCGGGCGGAGAGCAAAGAGGCCGAAGCGATCCTGCTATGTACCTCAGGGTATGTCACCACACTGGCATTTTATCAATGCGCACTGAATGCAAGCTAAACTCGGAGAACTACCACATTAGAACAACAGGAAATCCTAAGCTGGCAGTCCGGACACATTATAACCTCGTTGCCAATGCGGAGTCTGTGTTATACAACCGCAGTCGCGAGTTGAAAAATGTGAGAGATACGCTATTCTGCACTTTCAAATTCTATGGGGTAGGATTCATCACACACGCCGTGCTGCTATCACTTAAAGCACGCACCAGGTCCATTTTCATGCCCACGTTTAACCTGCAAACATGGTTTCTGACAGTACACCGATTCCGTCCTACCTTTTTGATGATTCCAAAGCATGTTTTGAATGAACTGGTGATGTACAAGAATGAAGATAAACCTGATCTTTCCAGTGTGAAGTGTGTTGTCACCGGAGCAGCAACAATTTCTTTGGCATTGCGTAAAGCTTGGGCTGAAAAATATGGACATCCTCTCTTCTCCGTGCTAGGAATGACCGAGTAAGACATCCCGAATACTCTCCAAACTAATCAGCAATTTTCGGAGGCTAACACGAGGAAAGACTTGGATTCGTCACTGGGGAGGAACTTGGCTTACCTCTGAAGAATGATACCGTCGGGAAGCTGCTACCTAACGTACAAGTAAAGATTGTTGACGGCAAAGGCCAATCTCTTGAGCGAGGTCAGCAGGGAGAGCTATGGTATTCGTATCCTGGAACCATGAAATGCTATTGCAACGAACCTGAGAAGACGGCCCTTGCCGTAACGGCGGATGGTTGGCTAAAGTCCGGCGATATTTGCTCTATTGATGCAAAGGGCTATGTGTACGTTGTTGGGCGATCTAAGGTATGCTTTCAGTCCCCCATTCATCCTTGTACATCACTGAATAATTCCGACAGGATATGTTCAAATTGAACGGGTCGGACATCTCTGGTGCGCAAATAGAAGGGGGCATTATACTTCATCCGGATGTGAAGGAGGCTAGTGTTGTTCCTGTCACACTGTCAGTCCACATGTCCACATCAGATCAGTACTCATACTAATGTTTTCTTCTTGATATTTTCAGTCCCGGTGAAGAAGAACCAGCTCCCTACGGGTTCATCGTGAAAAAGCCCGGATCCAAGCTCACCGTCGACGACTTTATGCAGTGGACGGCACAGGAGCTAACCGCAAATATGAAGTTGTACGGCGGTGTCTCATTCATCAGCGCACTTCCTTTATCTACTGTATGTTCTGCAGTGTCTATATCATATATCTGATTTTGTCTGACAAGAGTGACAGTCTGGGAATACGAAGACGGATCAGCAAGCTCTGAAGAAGATGGCACAAGCGAAAGTTGATGCTCGATATCAATCTAAGAAGGATTTTTATATGCGACCAAATAATTAATTAAACAATAAGATCTTCTATTTTGAGTTTTGCAGGCATCCAAGTCAAGGCTACGTATTTACTTCGGGGTTCATAAAAGGTTGCCCGGATAATGAAGTCTTCAAGCATTTTCCTCAATTTCCCCTCCTTCTCTTTGTCTCATTCAGTTAATCATACTCTTGTGCTCCAAGAACCACCACCTCCCTAAACATGCAGACATAGAAGAAGATGACCACGGCAGGAAACATGCCGCATGCTTCGCGGCGGACTCGATCCCAAGCATCCGAGGAATACTATACGTCCGGAAGCATTCGAGTTCCCGGTGATCTGGCCTATAATATCAGTCAGGTTGAAGGAAGAACAAGAACAAGCCATCGATCAAGCGACGACAAAAACCCAGTACACGAAGATGGCTTTTCCAACGAGGCCTTTCGAGCCGGCGGGCCATACCTCTGCACGATGCCGACATCCACCTCCCCCGTTTCTAAAAGTCATCATACGTTCGGGTTTATTGAGAATGAAAAATTCCGACTCGTCGACGAAATCTTTGATCTCCTCTTCAACAGAGGTATTAAGTCTGCCAAGATGGTCGACTTCTTCTATGAGCAGTCTAGACACGAGCCCAAGTCCGAGCCTACTCTAACTCTGAGCGTCTTGGCCACAAAGGAGACTTTCGATGATTTGTGGCTCGATGTAAGCAGGGAAATCTATGACGAAGAGCGTGGCTTCGGGCCTGAAGTATCCTTCCCTGTGCGCACCCAGGATCCAATATGCGCAAAGTGGCCTAGTGCTTTTTTTTTTTTTTTTTTTTTTTGCTCGATCTGGACGCGTTGTGCGGTTGACGAGGTCAGCTCGATTGGGTGTTTTAGAATTGGTACGATTGATAAGCCTGAAGATAATCCACTTACAATCTTTGTAACTGTAAACAGAAACACAGGCCACAATTGGAGAGGTATGAGGGACGAAATAGTCCGCATTCTGGACAGTCATGATTTGTCGATGGTCGCCGTCAAGATACAAGCGGATAAGATCCTTCGAAGAAATCGAGGAAACGCGTTGAGCGATCCGGATGGATTTGTTGCTGACTGGGTCATTTCAGGGCCTGCCCGGGTTGGCCAGAGCCTGGGTAGGCAGGGAGTTCAAGATGGTTCGGGTACATTTGGTGGCTTCCAGGAGCTGAGGTACCCCTCAAGCCAAGATTGGGTAACCTATGGCATTACCTGTTCCCGGTGTGTTCTCCCAGAGGACAATCAGGTCGAAAGTCCGGATGCACACGGTAAGTAATGAACGAATATCCATATATTCTCAGCGCAAGGCTAATGAGTGTAAATACAGTGCTCCAAGAATGGCGCCTAAATGGGTTCGGTCTGGAAAACGAAGTAGCCCGTAATGTGTTGTGCGTCGAACAACCTAGCGCGGCGGATATGCAGCGAACCATTGAGACTTGCGACAAGAATATATAGGAAGTCATCTCAGAGAGGCAGATTGAAATTAACGATGCTGGCGACTTCTTTATGCCAGCAAACGAAAAGAACCCTAACGTCAAGGTCATCCTAGACAACTACCAAGGCATGAAAAGCCGCATGGAGGAGCTCTGGCGCTTGAATAGGCATCACCTGGGTAGTGTTTTTGCTGCCCCGGGGGAGCGTGTCAAAGAATCAGTAACCATGTCTTCAGTTGAGAATCCTGAATGTCATGTCGATTGGGCCTTAATTGATGCCCCAAATCACCGTATTAAGGATAACGAGGTAATCAAATTCATCTGTCTTTCATCATTCAATAGCTGACGCTTTCCAGGTAATGGCATTCGGGCCCAGGGGCGGTTTTCTTTTCAGCGAAGGCAGGAAGCTCTGGGGTCCGTACCAAGGAACCCTTAATCCCGGCCTCACTTTTTATAAATGCGGCCGTGTCACCAAGCACACCGAGGGAAATTATAACGGACTCATGACTGCTCACATTACTCATGATTTGGTAAATGGTATAAAGGTACCAAAGTGCACTTGGGCCTATACAATCACCAATCATTTTCCGGGAGCCATTCTGAGCTCCAGGGGACACTGGTGCTGCTGTTTTTGATCTCATAGGATCCATGGTTGGTCTGTTATTTGCCGGTAATGAGAGGTCTCGGGTGTCGTACTTCACCCACGTTGACGACCTATTTGATAATCTCAAGCAAATAACCAAAGCGGCTAAGATTAAAATAATAGTCACCCTTTAATAAGGAAGAGCTAAAGCGTTCTCTATCGCTATCTAACAAGTAAGACTACGGTGAGGGCTTGAGGTAGATTCTCATTCAAGGATCTAAACTGGACTAGTGGTCTTACATTGCTGGGATATTCCAATCAATTACAAATTTGTCTGCTCCAATCATTGTGATATTACTAGCGCAATGCTTACTGATAAAGAATTTGATGAAGGAATTCTTGATTGAAAATTCTCAGAAAGTCAATATATTATTATATTATCGAGGTTAGATTAAATGCTCAAACAATCCGTCTATACTATAATTACATGTCAATAGCTCTCATGCATGCCTCAGAAACCTCAGAACCCATATGCCGCGAATGCAAAGATAAAACAAAAACCAGAAATGCAACAAATGAAAGGACTTTTCTATAGATAATAAAGCAGAATGTCCTCGTCGCGCGAAATAAGACTTACTAGAAGTCTCAAAAAACCGAACGGTGCAATATAGATATACAAGACAAAGGAAATGTGTAGGAATGACAAGTCGAGTATAATACAAAGGAAAAAAGAAAAATAAACGAGTGTCTTAGGTCTTGGTGTCATGCGAGGAACTCATTAGTAGGAACTCATTAATATCCAGTAGAATACACAGGCGCCGCGTGCGCCTGAGCTGGGTGTCCCCAGTACCCAGCCTGCGTTGATGGCGCCGTTGTCGGGACAAGGAACGGCTGGCTGAAATAGTCCGGCATACATGAGGTAGCACCCGGGTGCGACTCGTCTTTGGAAGTTACGTATGCAGCACTGGCGTGGGCACCGGCGGACATCATGGAAGAAGCCATCTCGGGCGAATAGGACGGGTGTGTCTGCGCAGGACTCCGGGGGCCGTTAGACGGGCAGGACGAGGAGGGAGTGAGAGGAAGGCAGTACTCTGAGCTGCCATCATCCGAGGTGCCGCGCATGGCTGGGACCTTTGGCAGGGTGGTGGGAATCGAGGAGAGTGCGTCGTGATGGTCTGTGGATTGGAAGTCGTGTTGGTCGAGTTCGAAGCTGGCTTCAGGGAGGTGGACGTGGGAGACGTGGAGGATTGTATCGGCGCCTGGGTCACTGTTAGCGTCGAATATAGGGGAGAAGAGTAGCTAGTAACATACCAATATCACCAGCCAAATAGTGCTCTTCCATCTGTCTAACGTAGTAGATCTCGTCCAGGACATCCAGGCGCTCAGAAGGCGAGATTTGGCGTCGCACATCTTGACCAGCCTCTTTGAGCTTCTCTGCGGTGATATCGTGGCTGTTCCTCAATTCGCAAAGGATGTGGATAAGAAGACGGACTCGTTCTGTTGTGAAAGTAGATGTTAGCAAAAATGCCTTCCTTCCTGTTTGGGTTAGACTAACCAGGCTTGGGCAGGTGATCAGGCTCCTTGTGGGTGACACCCGTCGGCCACCACCTTGGCTTTGTCAACTCCGGGTCAACACGCTGCGATGTTCCTCCAACATTCTTCCGTCCATTATAAGGGTGGTTGACCTGCTTGCGCGGCTCAACCAGCTTGATCCATGCCTTGGCAATCATTCTGCAGTTGAGCTGCTGGAAGTTGTCGAACGCCTTCTCGTAGTACCGTCTCAGGATGTCGTGATCTCCCACACGCAGCGCGGTGCGGCGGATGGTGGGACAAGGGGAGGCTGATGCGGAATCAGAGTCGCGACGTCTCTGGCGCTTGCTGCGTTGCGACTGCCATTCGCAGGGAATGAGACCGTCTCGCTTTGTTCGAGAATGGTGGTACCAGGCGAGGGAAGTTGAGCTAGGGAGAATGCCGTCCTGGGTTGGCATCATTGAGTCTGTCATCATCACGGTTAGTATCTTCCCTCTAGTGGGGTTGTCCCTTGGGATATTCACTCACTTGAATAACCCTGCAGGCCATATGGACCTCCCGTCATGGAACGCAAAAACCGCCCTCGAACATCCTGGGTGAAAATGGCCTTTTCTGAACCCTCAATCGAAGGGGAAACCCCGACACCAAGCTTTCCGTCGCCGTCCATATACAAAATAGCATAATGCGAATACGGGATGTTCAGCATTGTTGGCTGGGTTGTTGCGATTTGCTGCTACAATAACGGTTATCAGCACCAGTGATTCTGATAGAAGCCGGATCCATCATGCTTACCGATGATCTCGAGGCCATCCCATCATCATACGACAATGACTGGTGAGGCATCTCGGGCCCCGTTGTCACGGCGGCATATGCTGGGTTCATGGTGTTTGTTCCGCACAACTTGGTACGAGACGTGCAAATAGAGTATAAATAAGGCAATGAATAAGATCAATATGAAATGAAAAGGTGCTGATTGTGATACAGATAGCTGGTCTTATATCCGAAGTATAGGTCACGAGAGTTCGACACTGGATGCGATGGTCAAATTTATCTGAGGAAGCAAGTGAAGAGATATAAGAGAATGATGACCCGAAGGAATGGAACCGGAGGAGCACCCATCATATATCAGATTCTGGCCATGAGGAAAAAGAAAGCTGCATAATCTATTCAGGGGATCAAGAGAAAAAAAAAAAAAAAAAAAAAAAGTACGGTCCAGCGAGCCGTCAGGGATCTGAGGTGTTCTGACACTTGCACACCCACATGACATGCGAATCCATAGTCTTGTGTCTGGTACGGTATGCGGTATGGCTAATGTACGGAAAACAAATACATGCAGGATTGAGGAGCAAAACGCCATCTAGATGGGTCCGCACCTACATTATGCATGAATAGTCATTACTATTACGGGCGTTGGTACTCCTCGTCTTGGGCCGGATTTACGTCTCCGACCCACGTCGACCCTCCCAAGGCACCTTTTGCATGATGACAGAAACCCAATTTTGCCGCTTGTTGCCAGATCAATACGATGACTGGCTAGTCCAACAGGGGAAGGTTAAAACACCGGGACCTACAGACGACTGCCAGGGACCCCCGCCGGGGAATCCACCCCATATTCGATGGGTGAGTGATGACAAAAAGTGAGCATCATTCCGTACTCTGTATTCCACACTTCTCAAGTACTGTTTGAGGATCAGTATGATAACGGCTAATGCGAAAAAACAATAACAATAAAGCCTGTTAGAATCACTTTGCGCGTTGCGTGGCGTGGAGACAGCGAGAGCGAATCGCATAAGCTTGTTAAGAAACGAAAAAGCAAAAGGCAAATACCTTGCCCCATGTGTTTGACATCCTTGTCGTCCTTGTCGCTTTCTGAGGTCATGCAGGCAAAGTGATGATTACATGTCCAAGAACCGGATGCCCACAGGTTAGAGATGCCCTGATCGGCAGAAGCCCTTACCCCTCAAGATTAACAAGGACTCCGCAGTATTCAGCGACGCCTCTCGCTTAGTTAGCTCTCACCGGATAAAAGAGGGTGCTTTGACCGATATACGCATTCGTTTTTCGTGTGCTACGTGGACACGGCTCGGGGCCTTTGGGCAGCGGAGTACGACAACAACACGACTGGAAACTGCAGTCCTAGTCTAAACAGGCGGAAATGAATTGTCTTGATCCGTTCCTGGTGCTGTCCAATCAGTTAATCCATGCATGAAAGAAAGAAAGAAAGAACTTTCTATTGCTCTCCACTTCTTCTACGTCGCAAAAGAAAACAATAGAGATCTTTCAAACGGATCTGACTCTAGCTGACCAGCAAGCGACCTGATTTGTCACCCGAGCTGATTAGTTAGTGGGGAATCTTCCGGTTTGGGAGAATATTAGGACTATACTCGTCAACAATCGCATCTCCTGGATGATGATAGTTCGATGCACCTCGTATCTAGCCTCTCTATTGGTACATCTGTTACATCTGTGTTACCGGAAATGGTGATCGACCACTCGTTTGAATACGGAGTACGGAATATGGCAAGAAAGAAAACGGGCTATGCCGTACTTTGGTGGACCGCTTCGGTTTCTAAAAACACAACAGGAAATTGCCTACGCCAGTAGGATCGACCCCCCTCTCCAGATCGACAAGGGCCTTGGCTTCCTGTGATGATGCTCTTCTTCAACTGACGCGAAATTACGGAGAGAGGGTGTAGACAGTTAACCTCAGGGCCACTAACCGCCGATCCTTTAGCGTTTAGACGGGGAAAGACCGCCTGGTGGCCTCACTATGATAGTGCCCGTTCTCTTGTCTTCTCTTCTCTTCGCATTCACGACTCACACAAGAGATTCTGGACTCTTGGCCGGCCTTTGGCTGACTAGCGTACAGCATAACGGTTGTTGCATGGTATCGACACAATAGTCTTGTTTCTTCCAGCTCAATGAGGCTATGAGACTATGAGATGGCGGTGGTGACCCCATACCTCCACCGGCAATGATCATCAACGGAGGATCCATTTGACATGGATCATCATCTATCGACAGTTGAGCGACAGCGGCCACTAAATCAATTTTGACAGTGCGGTGCCAACAGCCAAAAAGGGACAACGCATACAGAGTACCCCGTACATCAACTGCTGTTTTGGCAGGCTCACCGTTGTCTATTCTGGCGGTGACAATACTACAGTGCAGGAACACTACAGGCCAACTCAGCACTGCACACGCTAAAAACGTTCATTTCCCGCGGGCGATAAGATGGCGACAGAGTAAAACGCCGGCAAAGAGCTAAAAGGGTAAAAAAAGATACATAGACAGTGAGACGCGATATATCTAGTCCCCCTTACATTTTTGCGGGGGAATTAGATTTTCTTTTTCTCAATTTTGCCTTCGGGATCCTTCCCCTTCGAACCTTCTCCGAATTCCGGTCAAATGAGCTGTCAACTCCAAAAGACCCATCGACATACGACGCACTTGCAGCACCGATACTTCCCACAGACTTTATGCATGTGGCTTGCATGACTAAATCCAAGCGGCGGCGGAGTATCGGTGGATGACGATGGGGTCGAAAACAAAAAAAAAAAAAAAAAAAAAAAAAGAAAGAAACGAAATAACGGCCCCCAGTTAGCGCGCGGCGGAATCATTGGCGCGTTCAACACGCAACAAGACCCTTGTCCTTAATACGAATTAGTCTGGCGAGAAAAGGGGGGAACAAACGGGATCTCGCGATCTGACTGGCGAAGAATCATATATCGAAAACCGTATCGCGCAAGTCCGAGGTCATCTGCAGCCATCAAACTCAACTCGCGACGGAATCCACTTTGCAATTGATACTTTGGATACAGAGCACCTGTCACTGAATCCCAGGTGATTGGTCCATGGGAGTGATGAAGTATCACCCCAGCCGACACAGATCCGTTAATTCTGTTTGCATTCTGCGGCATAGTGCATTCGTCTGCTACACCGAGTATCTGACCTCTCAACTCGAGGATCACGATCTACCGCTACAGGGTATACGATAATTATGCATTTTTATTGAATTTGACCGCGATTAAGGTAATTGTGGTCAATCTATAGATCCGCTTCTCAGAAACAAAGATACGGAATCCTGTACTGCCTCTCTCGGACAATACAAATGGGGAACGATTTCAAATCAACCTGTTGACAAAATCCTGGTGCCTCATGAATTTGACTGGCTCAGTTTCTGACTGACAAAAGCAATTATGTACGAAAGCTGTTGCATCAAGGAAGGTCCACTTTGGAGTCCCAGAATAGCAGCAGCCGGTCCCCGATGCGCGCAATGGTCGATAACAGGGCTGACCTTCCTCTATACGGAGTCGATTGCATTGTGACCGATTTCGAGCGTCAGCCATAGGCCCACCGGCTCTCCTACTCTTTGGGGTTCTGTGATCTTCGTTTACTGCAGAAGTCTATCATTTTCAGTCACGGCTGAAGCATTGGTGGCTGTTCTAGCTGTTTCACCAGAGCTGGAGATTCGCCACTTATTGAGACTGAATCATGTTGGCGTAGCTAACAATTGATGACGAATAAGGTGGCCAGCTGAGGCGCCTGTTGGCTACTCCATACTCTACAGCCATCGCCTATTCCTTATGGAATGCAGTGTATTCCTTCTGTTCAGACTATACTTCGTAGAGCACACCTCTCTTCCCTTCCAAATCATCGCATAATGTCCGATCAATCCCAATACCACTGTACTCAGTACATTATTGAACCCATCAGTCTGGTTCGGTTCCTTCGCATCTGCTCGGTCAAGCATGACACCGTACTCTTTCCCGGCTTTGAGCGGTCAAATCCAGCCACCCAGGTACTCGTACTCTGTACAGAGCTCTTTTTCAAGAAGTACGAGCATATCCCTGGATCCCCCAAAACATAAATGACTAATTCCATGACAGAACGAACTATTGAATCCAGATTGGTATGAAACTGCAGAATGCATCCTCGTACAATGCACTCAGATTCGGTCCAGATCCGAACCCAGATCTTCCTACGAACCAAACCATTCCGCACTCCGTATCAGACTTCAATCATACCCAGGAAAAAGAAACAGGACTCAATTGCGGCGTATATGTCCCACCTATCCCATTCACTACTGGAAATTTTTTCCGCAGAGTAGCCGTATGGCTGAATACGATCAACACTACAGCATACTATGGATTTCTGCATGTTCGTAAGATGCGAGATGCTGTTGATCAAAATGCGGCAAGTTCCCTTCCCCGAGCCGGGGCGGAAGGTTTTCCCCGTTCCTGGTTATGTATGAGGGAGATGTACGCTGTGCAGAGGATATGTATGTGTCTGCGGTGTGCTTGCGTCCGTGGAGGGGGGTATGCCACGTACCGCGTAGATTGTATCTTAGTGTACTCCGTATCTTAGATAGGCAGGTACATGTACTTGTACATGGCAGATGCAGAGAGATATGATTTGTCTGCATTTGCAATGCTTTACCGTTACACCAGTGCTGCAAATGCTCACTGGTTGAGGTGCATTGTACACCGTACTTCGGTCCTTATTCTCTCAAAGGCACTATTCGGTCTGGACTTTTCTGCTCGCCCATGTGCACGTACTACTATGTACACTACTGTATGCATGCATTATTTGTAATAGAACGCATTATTGTCAATATGTTCGTGGGGGTTTGGTTGAGTGTCGGATATGGTCACATCGTCACATGAGACAGCTCAGTTTGTCAGCTCAGTTCGTTGATGCTGATACTGAGGCTCTATTGAGGTTGCTGTCGGCAGTTATTCGGTATAGATAGAATATGACGTACAGCGTATAAGAAAGGGAAAATTCGAAATAATAGCTGCATACTGGTGTTATTAGGGGCTACCTTATGGTGCCATAATCTCTTGAATGGCGTGAATTGCATTTGTAGACATTTTGATACTAGTGTCAATGAGCTGTGAACAGGTCGTAGTCTGGTCAAAGTACATAGATTCCCTAACTACATGGGTTTTGGATTGAGTTGACTGAGGGGGTTGCTTGACGTTGATATATATCTGTCAGTAATGCGAATAAGATATATATCCATGGAGACCACGATCTCAATCAGAATCAAAAGAGAATAATCAAATTGCTCAAGGTATAAAACCGAACTCGTTACCATTCCATGGTCTCATTGCAAAGCGAATAACTTTCCCGAGTAGGGCTAATGCAAGAAAGATAAAACCACTACTAATCTACAAACCGCATATTAAGAAAGAAAAAGAGACTCCATGACACTATCAACATAAACAACCGAGAGCTCATTGATACTTGCGCAGCTGTGGTAGAGAAAAAAAAAAAAAAAAAAGGTTAGCACATGATCTATAACCATGAATCATGATAGTAAAGGGAAAACTCACATCAAGCGTCAAAGACTTGCTACTATTCTCCGCCTGATCACGGTAAACACCAACCAGCGCCTCACTGTTCTGGAACAACCCCGTCTTCAAACTAATCACGATGAACTGCATACCAGGCGCAGCGTGGTCGTGGATGTAGTTCGCGATACGGGCGACGTTGGTGTTGTCCAGAGCAGCGTCGACTTCATCAAGCACGAAGAAGGGGGATGGCTGGTAGGAGTGGATTGCGAAGAGTAGGGCGAGAGCGGCCATTGTCTTTTCGCCTCCGGAGAGGTGCTCCATGTCGCGGAATCGTTTGAGGGGTGGCATGGCGTGGTATTTGATACCGTCGAGGTAGGGCTCGTCGGAGTCTTCGATGTCCAGGTACCTATATCATTATTAGACGTTTCTTCGTGAGAGGTGAAGATAATGGGCGACTTACGCTTGTCCACCCAACGGGTAATTGGAACTCCGCGTCAACTCCCGGTAGATAGGGCCGATCTGCTCAGAAATATGCGTAAAGGCTTTGTTGAACAGATCTGAACGCTTGCGCATAACCTCTTCGAAGTCATCCTTCGCCTTGCGCGAGTGTTTCCGAGAATCTTCAAAATCCTTTTCAGTACCCCGAAGTTTGTTCTCGACGCTCTCGAGACGCTCCATTGCGCGGGTGTTCGGTGCCATCTTATCGAGGTCGCTGTTAAGTGTCCTGACCTTCTCCAGCAGCTCCTCTTCGAGCTTCTCATCGGATTCCTATTTTTGTATAAGCATGGATTTTCTATGGGAGATTTCTTTGACTTATCACTTACCTCCTTGAGGGAGTCTCCTAGAGAGTCAAAGTCAACTTCAACACCGTAGTCTTGCACGATAGCCTGACCACTGCCAGTGGCATCCTCGTCAACGTCCATGGCATCCGGATCAGCCGTCTGGACGAGTTCATCAATGGGAAGATGGTCGAGTGAGTTGGAGCTCTCAGCCAGAGGAATGTCGATATCTTCAAGCTTGCAACGCCGGAGAAGAGTGTAACGGCTTGACGAATTCCGTTGCACCTCAGCCTCTAGACCGCTAATATTCTTCAAGGACCCTTCGACGTTCTTGCTGCGCTTCTGGAGTTCCCGTCGTTGCTGGTTAAGGTTCTCTGCCGATTGTCCATACACCTCTTTTTGCTCTCCCAGACGTTCGCGGAGGATCTCAAGCTCAGCCTCGAATTCATCGAGCTGGTTGCGGATATTTTGCTGTTCGGCCTTGAGTTCCTCGATCAGGCCCTCGTCACGCTGGTGCTGTGCTTCGAGACCGCTGATACGGTCAACTGTAGCTTGCAGACGCTGCTTCTCGAAGCTGAGCTGGTTCTCGATTCGGCTCTTTTGTGTTGTGAACTCGAGTTTCTTCTGAGAAGCCTCTTCCTGCAGCGAACCTTGTTGTGCTTCGTATTCACGGATGTTATCGTAGCCCAGGCGCTTGCAGAACTTGCGGTAGATGTCATCCTCGACACCGCTGACCGAATCTTGCGTCTCTGTGATCGACTGATCCAGTTCGTCCAGCGTTTCCTTTCGCTCCGCGTACTTCGGCCGAAGGTCTTCGAGCTGGCGCTTGACGAAGTCAAACTCGCTGTGCTTGCTCTTGAGATTCTTCCCCAAGGCCTTCAGTTCATCGCGAGCATAAGCGAGACGCTGTTCAAGACCAACCAATTCGCCTTGCAGAGTCTCCTCTTCGGTACCCCTGCGGTGGCCCTTGGGCAGGTTGGAAAGGTCTGCCATGAGCTTGTCCTTGAGCTTGTGAAGGTTCTCCACTTCCGAGTCCTCCCAGCGCTTGGAGCTTTGCTGAGGACCGCGACCACCAGTCATCAGACCACCCTTGTGAATTACTGTGCCATCGAGAGTGACTGTCTTGGCATCCAGGTTTCTTTCGTAGCAGAGGTACTTAGCTGTCGCGAGGTCATCGCAAACCACGGCGTTTCCGCAAGCATAGATGATAGCGCGGGAAACAGAGTCTTCGTAGTCTACTGTCTCGATTGCAGGACGCATTCCACGGTGCACACCCTTGAGGTTGGAGTTGAAGGCCTTCACCTGGATCGTCTCGAGCGGAATGAAAGTCGCCTGTCCGGCTCTCTGGTCACGGAGGTGCTGAATACACTCCTTGGCAGTCTTCTCATTGTCGACAACGATGGCATCGAAGTGTCGTCCGAGGACCGTACTGACAGCTTCGTTATACTTCTTCTGCTTGGGTTTGCAAAGATCACTGACTCGACCCTTGACACTCGGGAAGATGCGCTTCAGTGTCGAGATCAACTCCCTTGTCCGGATCTCCTTTTCAGACTGCTTCCTGCCGTCATCAGCTTCGAGCAGCTTCTTCAAGACAACCTGGAGTTTCTCTTCTAATTCCGTCCTCATCTGAGACACCCGTAACCGCTCGGAAGTAAGGGTATTCAACTCCTTTTTCTTGCGCTCGATGTCCTTGGAAGCGGTGGCGACGACCTCGGTGATCGACTCCTGACGCTCTTCCAGAGACTGTTTATCTGATTCCAGACTATGCAGCTGCCACTCGGTGCCCTCGAATTTGCTCTTAAGACTGTTCACAGCTTCAGCTTCCGTCTTCCGCTGGCGTCGTATGTTGTCCAGGTTGAGCTGCTCCGCGGATGACCGTTTATTCAGCTCCTCCTTGAGTTTTTTGTATTCTTGCTGGTCGGCGTCGCTAAGCTGGATACCCTGCTTGCTCATGGACTTCTGCCATTCAGCTTCCCACTGGGCCTGTGCCTTTTCGACAACCTTGAGGTCCTTCTCCAATTGCTTGGTGTTGGCCAACTGTGCCTCGCGCTCCTTGCCAATCTCAGCGATCCGCGAAGCGAACCTTTCGACTTTTTTCACGGTAATGTCGACCTTTTCGTCCACGGGGACCAAGGAAGTATTAGCCTCCTCGATCTGCTTCTCTTTGTTCGTGATGTTCTTCTCGGCTTTCGCGACATCTCGCCCGACTTTAGCGTGGTCTTTCTTCGCATTTTCGACGTCCTTCTCGTACTTCTCGACACCGCGGCGGTATTCTTTGAGCTCATCCTGGTACTTCTGGATCTCTTCGCTGGAGTCGTCGATCAAGCGTTGGAAATGGAACAGCTTCCATAAGATATGGGTAATGATAGCTTGGTCGCGTTCCTCTGCTTTTCTAGAATAGCTATCGGCCTCGCGCTTCTGTTCCTGGTATTGCTTGATCTCCGAGTTGATACCTCTCCGACGGTGAAGCTGGACAGTTTGCTGCTCAGCAGCCTCCTCAGCTTCCACCTTCAATTTCTCGTACTCCGCTTTGTATTCCAAGCTACCCGAGATCTGCTCAATCAACCGCGTAAGGTCCTTCGGAGACTGCGCCGCAATCGCTTCAACATCACCCTGGAAGACAAGGAAGTTGCGCGCCTTGATAAGAATGTTCTCCGTCTCCAGCGCCTCGTTGTATTGCTGTGCAGATACGACCTGGTTGTTTATCCGGTATTCGCTAACGCCCTGGCTCGTAATGGACCGCCGCCATTGTTGCTCCTCGCCGGCATCGTCTTCGTAAACCGCCATAACCCATGCCGTTCTCGGGTCTTGTGTTCCGTTTGGATCTTGCGATGCGTTCGGGTCTTGCGAATCGATTCCGTCGATTCCATCTTCGGCCTCGTCGTCGCCATTTGTAGGTTGTTCGATCGCATTACCCTCGGCGTCGAGCTTGGCGGTTCGTAGGACGCGGCCACGGTAGACCAGATCGCGGAGGTTCGTGGATCGCAGGTGGGATGATTTGATACCTAGAACGAAGGAAATCGCATCCATCCTGGTGTCATATTAGCGTAACCGGCTTTCCAACATCCGGGGAAAGAAAAAGGCGACGAACGAATTCGACTTGCCAGACCCGTTGGGTCCGATAATCGATGTGAAATAGGCATCACCAAAGAGGAGCACATGGTGACCCTTGTATGATTTAAAGTCTAGACAGTGGTCAGCAACTTATGAATGCGCATTGTTGCGGGCCGCAACATACTGAAAAGCTCGAGGCGGATGAGTTTCCCCATCTTGTCTCAACGCTGCCGTTATCCAGCAAACGCAGCACCAAATCAGACAATGGAAATAAAGGACGCAAACAGCGTGCACCAGCAAGTCGACAACGAGCTGTCAACCCAACCGGCCATAGATGTCGTTGTTGGAGGGGCTCGCGATGGTTATCGAGAGCGCGTCACGGAGTCGATAGGACGCGCCGGTCACGTGGGGCAGAACCGCCGATAGAGCAAATAAAAAGATAGAATAGTTTACAATTTTATATTTTATTTCTGCTCGTAAAAAGCGTCAAGTTTGACAGTATATACAGGTGTCATTGAGTACAGAGGCAGCTTTTGATAGGCCGCATATAAAGTAGATAGTAAAACAGCATATGAAGGTATCAATCATAGAAAGTAATCAGAAGAGACGAATCCTCACGATCGACGTTTGATATCGAGCGGATTCCCAATCATCAAGAAATCCTCCGACACGAAACCAGCAGAGTCCATTCTGAAGACACCCTTCTGGCCCTCAACCTCCAAGAGAATAACGCCCTCTTGAGTGAAGAGTTTCCGCACATTCGCAAATATCGTCCAGATCACAACGCTGATCTTCTTTGCCGGTGCTTTGAGGATTTCCATTTCCGATAGCTTCGTGTTTCGCGGGGCTTCAGGCTGCTGCGTCCGGTTCCCATCCGGAGTGACCACAAGCCGACGAGAGAAAACAATCTGGCGAGGGAGGGCATCGAACTCAAACGGCTTCTTGAAGGGAACCATAGACCGGACCCTGAAACGGATATGTGTCTGGCCATTCGAGCTGACCGCATTGACGGACTTGATCAAACGTCCGGTCTTGGTCAGAAACACCGTGCCCATAACGCTCATCGCAATACAGACACCTCCAAATAGAGTCTGCTGCCACATGGGGATGCCAACGGCAATTGGGTCCCGGAAGATCATGTTGGAGTTGTATACTGAGTAGGCGAAGCAGAATGCTGCAAGACTGTAGGCTCCGAAGATATAGCTGCGGTGGGATGGTGCATTGAACAGGACGACATTCCCTTCTTTCGCGACCTTGCGCTCCAGCTTTCCAAATCCTTCTGGTCGTCTCCCGGCGAACTTGAGGGTCTCTTCGGGGGTTGCGACTTTACGTGATTGGGGTTGGGGTTTCACGGCGGCTTTTGTCCGGGGGATACTCGACGAGAAATATCTCCATGTTGGACGCGAGGCCGTAGCCTGTAAGCTAGGTAACCGGGAGAATCTGGGATATTGTTGCGAGAGCCTTTGGAAGGCGAAGCACCTGGGAAACATTGTGCCGTCTATACTACAGTTAGCATGCACTCAATTGCAACCATGAGACTATATAATGAGGAGTCTTGACCCCTCTAGTCAAACAAAAGAACAATCCCGGCAGAATGAGTGGAATAAACTTACCTATCCTAATTCCTGGTATCTCACCCGATTGTCCAAAGAACTCGGCCAATCCTCCGTCCTCCGCGGCAGAAAAATATTCCTGTCCCGGCCGCCGGTGAAGCTCCCAACAACCTCAACGTCAAGCTCTACATGCCGGAGATAAGAGCGCCATACACGCCCAGGCCAGCTTCAAAAACATCGTCCAGTTAATCGCGGACATCGACATCTCACTCTACTACCCCAGAAGGTCCGTGTGGATTCATCGTGGAGGTAGACCGATCCAGTCGCCGAATCCGGACAATCCAGCCGTTGAGATAGCATACGCGACGACGAAAGAATAATTCTCGTCAATCGGAAGGACGTGAAGAAATCTAGGTCGCAAATTACACGTGTGATCGTTTATTTACAAAATGGCATCCAGCTTCTCTGCGCGCCAAATCCCGGCCATGTTCGCCAGACGGCAACAGCCCACCAGAGTATACAGCGCCGCCAGACGTGAGTTTACAGGATATACCCCAGGATACAGACTGCGCAGACCTACTATACGAATATACCGCATGCTAACAAGACACACCGATAGGCTTCGCATCCACCACCGTCCAGACCCAGAACCCCGCCTACCCCCTCTACCCATCCGTCACCCAACTCCTCCACGAAAAGGGCATCCCCGACTCCGAAATCTCCAAGATCCCCGCCTCCGGCCCTAAGGGCCGTCTCCTAAAGGGCGACGTCCTCGCCTACCTCGGCTCCATTCCAGCAGACTACCCCTCCACCCAAGCCGCCCGCATCGACAAGCTCGCCCACCTCGACCTTAGCAACATCAAGATCGCAGCACCCCCAGCACCCAAGCCGGAGCCCGTCCCCGAGAAGGTGGAAGCGCCTGCCCCGCCACCGACGACCTCCGTCGCGCTGTCGATTTCGCTCTCGACTGTCTTGTCCGTGCAGAGGAAGATTAAGGAGAGTTTGGGGATTACGGTGCCGTTGTCGGAGTTTTTGGCGAGGGCTGCGGATCTTGCGAATGAAGAACTGCCGCGTTCGGCTGCGCAGAAGGTCTCTGCTGATGAGCTTTTTGATGAGATTCTCGGTGGGGAGCCGGTTACTACCTCTCGAGGTGACTATATCCCCGAGTTGAATGAGGTGGATGCCCCGGTTGCGCGGGCCCAGCCTGTCCAAGAGGATCTTATTGATTTCCTTGCTGGAAAAGTGTCTAAGAAGGCTTCTTCGCGGGTAGTATCGCCTGTCGAGGAGCCGGCTGCGAATGTATTCAGCTTGACGGTTCCGGTTAGCGAGGAGAAGAGGGCGAAGGCTTTCTTGGACCGGGTTGAGACGCTCTTGACGATTGAGCCCGGTCGTTTGGTTATTTAAGCATCTTTTTTGTTATGTTTTATTTCTTTTTTTCTGGTCATTGATTATGTATATGTAAGTTTAGCAGCAGAAAAGCTAGAATGATTCATCAAGGATTCATACAGAGAGCATAGATTACAGGATTTCCACTCAACTCTATTACCTCTTCTATTGAAACCAATTCATGTTTACAATGAGAGTATATCTCAGGCAAAGCAATCCTCAACATCTTGTACATCCCATTCTCCATTACCACTAAATAATACAACAAAAAGCTACCTACTCGCCTATCTGTCTAAATCCTAGGGCAAAGAGAAACAAACAAAAGAAGAAACACAAGGTCATGCAATCATCAATTATAGTCAACGAAGCGAAGCGAAAACACAAAAGTAGAGACACAACAATAAAGCCCTCTGACCGAATGAATCTCAAGGCCAGAAACAAATCGCCAACCGCCTATCAATCAAGTCAAGCCCATGAATTAACGCCTGTTTTTTCTGGCCACCCGTTTAAAACACCGTATCCATGGACAAAATTTGGGAATTGGGAGAGAGAAGGACCATTAAAGGTTGCAAGGCGCCTTGATAAACAGAAAGGGAAAGAAGGAGAATACAAATGAGAGCGCAATGCTGTGAAGAAAAGAACCCGGTAAATCAACGCGCCTGGTAGTCTCCTGTAAATGCTGTGAAAAACCCGCAAAAGATGCAATAGATGCCCAAGATAGAAAGAACAGAAAATGAAAGAAAACAACTCAGCCGATTCCCGCCTGAACCCCCAACCCGTGAGAATCCGAGGATTCAATTGAACCAACGCCGAAGATCAAATAAACGCCGTGTTGAATGCACATCACGTCCAGGGCTATTTGAAGCCACGGACACCGCGGAACACTTTTTAATCGGTTCACCGGATCGTGCCCATTTCTGCTAGTTTACTGCCTTCTCGTCCGTGTTCTCTCCCGGGTCTCTTGTTGAAGATCTTCCAGAATCGGAGGGTTTCGTCGCCTGCACCTGTGACAACTGTTTGTCCGTCAGGGCTCATGGCGAGATAAAGAACACGGAACGTGTGACCTGTTAATGACACGACCTGCTCCATACGCGGATATTTCCAGACGACAATCTGGTTTTGGCTGTAACCATGTGTGCTGATGATCTCGTCCGAGTTTTTCGACCACGACAGGTTACACACTTGGCTGCCCGTGTCGACTTCCTTGATCATGGATCCGGTCGATGTGTTCCAGAACTTGATGGTTCGATCAGCCGTACCTCCACCGGAAGCGAGGAGATGATGTTGATGAGGCGACCAGGCAATAGCCTTAACGGCGGCGACGTGGTCCGAGAAGCGGTATAGCGGCGTCTCATTCAGCTTATCCCACACCATCAGTTTATTATCGTTGCCACCTGATGCCAACTGCCCGTCTTCCGTGTTCCATTTTAGACCGCAGACCTCTTGTTTATGTCCTGCAAGGCGGCGTATATGTTGATCCGGAGAACGGACATCACGATGAAAGATGATTTTATCTCGAGACCCAGAGGTAAGGATGTGGTCGTTCCACGCCAGAGCACCGACTCGATTTGTGTGACCAATCATTGTTCGTAGACGACGACAATGCTCGGCGTCCCATATTTGAACGAGACCTTTCCCTGTTCCAATTGAAAGATGTGTCCCCTATAACAAGCAAGATACGCGTTAGCCTTCCATCAAAATGTGAAAACAGAACTCGTCTTAAGCTTACCCTTTGGATCCAGTTAACACTGGTAACAGTATCATCCTTAAGTTCGCAAAGCTTCGTAACTTGCCCTGAATGCGAGTTCCACATATAAACCGAATTACCTAACCCAACTCCCAGGACATTACTGCTACCCCAATCCACCAAGTTCAGGTAGAAGTCATCTTGTAAGTCTGGGGCATCCAGAACCTTGTATGGGACCTTGTTCACGTAACGAGGTTGTTTCCGTGGGGTCTCCAGGATACGCTGGCTATCGTAACGTATTGGAGACAGACTGTACAATTCTGACCGGGCATTCAGGTTTGGGGCATGGTGGCTTCTAGGTGTTTTCGACGGGGTTTGCTGGTTCGATCCGACCCGCGGGGAGGCGTATGTGAAAAGGTTTTTGTGGGGTGTGGATGGTGTGATGCTGGCGGGAGGAAGGTTGGAGACGTGCGATGGTGGTGTATGTGAACGGGTTTTATCGTTGATGCCGGAAAATGGGTCTGCTGCTAAAGAGTCCAAATCGGCTTGGGGGATGGTGTTTCCGAACAGTTCACTCCGCAACACTCGCGAGTACATCCGGTTCGCTTCTTCGGCTAAATTCAATGTCAACTGCTGCTCAAGTCAAGGTAAATGGACAAATGAGTAGGGCTTACTCTTTTGAAAGTGGAGTTCTGAGTGTGGGGTACGCTTTTTCGTTTTAGAAGGGGTCGAGGGGCAACCATCCTCATGAAGCAAGCTATATGTCGCCTGAAAATCTTGCCCATCGCGATTCGGAATGAACCTGTCAATAGAGAAATCAATGTCGTCAGTAAAAACCCCGCATGGGCACTATAGCCAAACGCGCAGCGCTACTCAGCCCTGGATGGTAGAGGGAACTAACCTATCCCCGTAAACTCTCTGCCTCTTTCGACTTGGACTAGTCCCGGGTGTCCTCTCACGACGATGTCCAGCGTCCTCATAATCCCTCAATGCCTTCGTGAGAGCGTCCGGATCGATAAGGTCCTGTCCATTTTGGCTCTTTTTCCGACTACTCATCGTCTCGGGAAAGAAGAGCGTCTTCTTGGACGGCATGCTCGGCGGTGTCCTTGTTCCCGGCGGGGAAGCGATGTTCAATACGTTGGTTCCGGTCCGTGACGACTTGCCGTTTGATCTGGCGGCTGTAACGGTCTCTGAATCTTTCTTGTTGCCGCCCATGTCTATCAAGAAAGGGCAATATGTCGTTTTGGGATGTAATCCGTAGCAGTCTCAGGAAACAATCGAACTCCGGTTTGACAAAGGGATAGCCCAGTTCATGCGACGGGTTTTCGGGTGGATCGACCGGTCGTGATGGCGCTATCGACCGGCTCGAGCTCGATATGCGCAAAATAGTTCAACAGATAGAGACGATTGGGTATTCAAGGCGACTAGGGATTGATTGTGGCTAAGAAAGTGATCCTTCGTTTCGTGCTCCGGAATAACAAGGCGATCAAGCGACCCGGCGACGGGCAAAACAGACGACGACGATGAGGTACGAGCGCTAACGGAACGCAAAGCTGATAATTGGAAGAGCGCAGTCAACTGTCGAAGGGCATTAGAGATAGTTTTGACCAGCGTCTGGAGAGAAAAAGCAGATCGACAGCGCAGCAAAAAGCGAACCAAGGGCTGGCGATGGTCTTTCTTGGGGTTGACGGAGTTCGAAGGGAGACGCCCTCCGGTCACGCGTCGGGGACGCTAAGCCGCATTGGGAAAACATGCTGACCATGGATACGCCTTTGTTCTTGGAGGAGAGAAACATCTCTTTAGACTGGTTGGACATGCTTTTTTTCTTATGGCCTTTCTTGATTGCTCTTCTTTTCTTTCAATTAATTCAATGCGGTGTGTGGTTTGTCAGTGCGCTTTGTACTTGTTCTATGTTTTGCATGGTTGCTGGGCACAGAGCGCTCTATTTATGGAGTAGTTACTGACACGGGTCTCTAGACATTTCTTGGTTTGGATAGAGGCTGGTAGTATTTATTCTATACCAATCAATTGACACATATCACCCTCTATAATGTGGGATCAATAATAAATACCGAATGCTATGCTCTCCTACTGTGTACTCTGTACTGCCCCTCCTGATAACACCCACGCGCCCCGACGCGACCAAAGAAAGCTTGGGCCATCCACAAGCACTCCAGTGTCAATCCATCCGAAGTCCACTGCAGAGTGACGGCAGATCCAACGGTTTCCGCTTCAGCTGGAAATCCTCCGCGGCGTATCTTTATTTACCGTATGATTGGCATCGCGTTTTAACGCGCGCGTGGTCGTTTCTTACTTACAGTAGTAGTACTTTGTCGACCCCTGTTTCTGTGTTGTTTCTGAATACTGACAAGAGGTACTCTTTTTGGTTCTCATCGAGGTCTTGTCTTTGTCTATATTGATAGTACGCGAAAGTCATGAGACTACTCCGTACGGCTAAATAGAGTAACTTTTTGGTTATTGTTTCCAGGAATATGGACAAGAAGAACGAGCCAAAGCAATGACAGACACCATAAAATGCAAACCAGACCCAATCATTAGTCTATGCGTATCGACATAAGAACCGTAAATAACATGATTTCGTGTATATACCGCAGAGAAAAGAAAGCCATGTTCATGCCGCGACCGCTTGCTGTGCGGACTGTGATGGCAAGGAAAGATCGACCTCTTCGGGCTCCTGTTTCTGGATGGGAGCACTATTCTTGAAGACTGACTTGTGCGTCAGGTTCATGTTTTCATCAACCTGGAGGGCAGCAGGCACGAGGTCATCAAACTCGAGTGCGTGGCAAAAATCATAGTAGGACTTGGAGGACTTTGAGTGCTGAAATTCCTTGCTTGGGACGAGCATGTTTAAGAGATACTTCGTATTGCCGAGCCGGTTCTCTACCTCCATACAGGTCCGCAAATAAGCATGTACGACGTCTTTCCAAGGAAGCAAACTGCCTTCTGGGCGGAAACATGAAGAATTGGCTTCTGCTGATGTCGCAATCATGGCCCCGTCTGCACCATACTCTTTCATCAACTCCAGCCCTTCATTGCGCGAGGTAACGTCACCGTTCATGACACAAGCAACCCCAGCTTCATGACACACATCAGCAACCATCCTCAGTTGATCGCGAATTGCTCGTTCCCTAGGCCGCATTGGCGTTGTACGGCAATGAACTGTTAATCCTGTGATTCCAGTTTTGACCAGTCGTGTCACTAGTGCCTTGGTCTCTTCAGGGGTCTCTAGAATGCGAATCTTGACTGAGATCCCAATCTGGAATGGCTTCCCAACTTCATCAACCAGGGCTATAAGGATGGAGACTAGCTTATCAGGGGTCCGCAGCAGAGCTGCCCCCATACCACCACTTGTGCTGAACGGCTTAGGGCACCCTGAGTTAACGTCAATACCAGACACATCAGGTGCAATTATTTTGGCCGCTTCCACCGCGAGTTCTGGTGACGCCGTGCCAATTTGGAAGACTAGTCTGCCTTTCTCGCGAACCGGATCGATGCGATAGATGATGGATCCCTGACCGCGGGTGAACTCGATGATCCCATTTCGAGGGTTTACGCGACGAGACGTGCCAATGAGCGCGCGATCGATTGTTTCGGGGCCCCAAACCAGATCAGCCCCATAATGCAGAGCAAGAAGACGAGATGGCAGTTCTCCGGACCGAACCATCGGGGCCAGGACAATTTTGCCACGGTAGTCCACCCCATTAGTGGGGATAGGAACGCGAGGGGTAGTCATAGCAGCCATTGCAGAGCGAAGGAATCTTAGCATGTCAAAGCGAGAAAGGAGGCAACGAGTGTGACTGTTGGTGGGCTTAACATTTTTGCTTCAAGGCGGAGATAAGAAAGATTTGGCACGTGAAGATAACGATAAGCTTTCTACTATGAACCATTCCCGATGTCGGTTCAGTACTGTCGGTCTGCTATCCGCCATAAAGCGTAGGAGTCCATTTTGCCCATAGAAGAACCGCGGACGGCCATCAATAATGGACGCCCAGAACATGGGTGGAACAGTCCACTAGTGGAGCGGGCGATTCACCGAGAGTTGTAGACTGGGAGTACGGAGTACAGAGTAAAGCTGAAGCATCCTGCACAACCATCTACGAAGGGTGCAGGTATAAATCCGGCATGACTGCACTACTCTGTCAAATGGCGTATCCGAGGAGAAAAGAGAAAGAGGACAAGGGTCAAGGATACCAATTGGACATGAATATCCAGCAATTCCATACTCTAGATTAACCTCGGAGCTGCCAGGGCAACATTCCCGACGCCGATTTTCCATCCCGAGGCGAGATTGGCGGGCCGCCACTAATAACCCGCCTGGTTTTGTCTTTTCGTATGTCTTTGTAAACTAAAAGTAGGAATGAAGCATATGCTGAAAGTTCGGGAAGAACAATAAGATTGTTACCTCCTCTTTTCCGCCCCCTATATACACCGTCTCTCTTCCCTTCTTCCCTTCTTCCTTTCTTTTTTTCTTTCTTTCTTCTTCTCCATATGCTGCTTTCTGCTCCATTCGCCCAGCAACGGATTGTGGCATCGCCAACTCCCTTGACCCGTTTCCCCACCGCCTTCCGTTCGTGGTTGTTTCGCTCGCCCGTCCGGCGCACATCCGCAACAGTGGCTCCCCCCACTAACCACGCCGCCCCTCCTCTCACCTTTTCTTCTTCTTCTCCTCCTTCTCACCTCTCAGCTTCATCCCCTTCTCCATCAAGGATAAATACCAAGGTGTCGTCCGCTTCAGATCGAGCGACTCTTGTCTCTAGACACATATCTTCTACCCCTCCGCAGCATCCAAAACAACCACAAAACACCAACACCATGTCCTACACCGTCCGCAAGATCGGCCAGCCCAACACTTTGGAGCACCGTGTCTACATCGAGAAGGATGGCGTCCCCGTCTCCCCCTTCCATGACATCCCTCTCTACGCCAACGAGCAGCAGAACATCCTGAACATGGTTGTTGAGATCCCCCGCTGGACCAACGCCAAGCAGGAGGTGTGTTTAGTCCAATTCAAAACGACGTTGGTCCAATTGAATATTAACACGAATCTTTTTCCCATAGATCTCCAAGGAGGAGTTCCTCAACCCCATCAAGCAGGATGTCAAGAAGGGCAAGCTCCGTTACGTCCGTAACTGCTTCCCCCACAAGGGTTACCTCTGGAACTACGGTGCCTTCCCCCAGGTATGTTCCATCTTCAGATCTCGATAACAACAATGTGTTCAATTCCTCCTAACTAATGCAATTGTAGACCTGGGAAGACCCCAACAACGTCCACCCCGAGACCAAGGCCAAGGGTGACAACGACCCGCTCGACGTCTGCGAGATCGGTGAAGTCGTCGGCTACCCCGGTCAGGTCAAGCAGGTCAAGGTCCTCGGTGTGATGGCTCTCCTTGACGAGGAGGAGACCGACTGGAAGATCATTGTCGTCGACATCAACGACCCTCTTGCTGCTAAGCTCAATGACGTTGAGGATGTTGAGCGCCAGCTCCCTGGTCTCCTCCGCGCCACCAATGAGTGGTTCCGTATCTACAAGATCCCCGATGGAAAGCCCGAGAACCAGTTCGCTTTCTCTGGCGAGTGCAAGAACAAGAAGTGAGCCCTCCGTTTCTAGCTATTGGAATGTTCCGTATTCTAACCACTCAATCTCAAGGTACGCTCTTGACGTTGTCCGCGAGTGCGCCGACGCTTGGGAGAAGCTCATCTCTGGCAAGTCCCCCAAGGGTGACATCAGCGTGTAAGTTGCTTTTATTCTGAATGTTTTGGGTTGGATGGCAGCTAATTAAAAGCAACAGTACCAACACTACCGTCGAGGCCTCTGGTGACCGTGCCGACCAGGGTGCTCTTGCCAGCATCCCCAAGGGCCAGGACCTTCCCCCGGCTCCTGTTGACAGCACTGTTGACAAGTGGTTCTTCATCTCTGGTGCTGCCGTTTAAATGTATTCTTGAACAATATCCCAAAAATCTAATGACATTGACTATGCCCGCATGGGTGAATGATAAGATGATGTGTTTCAACTGTTTAACATGTACTGCAATGATGAGTTTCACAGAGTAACTGCTTCATGCAATCTCCTAGATGCCATGTTCGACAATCGTAAGCTACAACTCCCTAAGTAGAGAGTAGGAGTCACCGGACCATAAAAATTCTTATGCTACATGGTATATACAAGCATGTCATCCTCCACCGAAAAACTGAATCTGTCTCAAAGACAACCCAGTCTTCCAAGCGCCGTGAGTAAGAACTAGGCAAAGAAAAATCCATAATAATACAGCAATCACACATAACCCATAAACAACAAAACATATCTTAACTCTTCAACGTCTGCTCCCTCTCAATGACCCGTCCCACCCGCGCAACCTCCTCAATCACATCTCCAATCTTCATCTCCCTCTTCCCAACATCCAGCTGAATCTCCTTCCCGCCCTTAAACCCTATTGTCATCTCGGGTAGCTGTGTCGAGTTTCGCGGGAGCTGCGTGACTTTGATGTCGATGTGGTTGGGGCTCGAGGCGGAGATCGTGGAGGGTTGGCGGATTAGGTTGAGGAAGAGGCGGCAGGGGCGCGAGATGGAGGAGAAGGGATTGAAGGTTGTGCGGAAGGAGGTGATTGTTCGGACTGGGACAGACATTCTGGCTGTTGTAGTTGTGGGTTGGGTTTTCGGAGTGGTGGGTGGTAGATTTGGGTGGTAGATGGAGTGGATGAGGTCTGTAGTCTAGAAGTTAGCTTCTACTGTTTTCTTTAGATATTTCAAATGCTCATTTCTCTTTGCGAGAGGATCGCATGCATATGCGTTCTTCCGAGGCGTTGTAGAAACTAGAAAGTGGGCGTACCTGATCTGAGGATTGCAATCGTTGGTAGTGCTCACTTCGGGTCCGAAGCAGTAATTGAAGAGTGCGGTATATTCGAAGTCAGAGCAGCTCCGGCACAGGGCTCGACAGGAGACGGGACAGAATGAATTGCTGGGATATCAGTCGGCTCTCCACGAATTCACAATCGCGAAACCTTTCGGAGAGAGCAGTGTTTGCATACGATGCAAACTTCTGCCTCAGGAATATAGGTGTATTGAATGACGCTGGCCGATCAGTTATCGGACAGATTGATGCAACTTTTATGACAGAACTAAGGATATTCAATTTAATTGCGCTCGTTGATTGAGACAAAGTACTTTGAGCCTCTGCCTTGCTATCACGCAAATAACTCGCGCGACACCGAATACACACTAACGAGCCATCGACCTACAACACCACCTGCGCAGTCGCAGCGCCATCCTGCATAGAAACCACCAACCATGTCCCCAACAACCCTCCACTCACGCTTAAAAGACCTCTCCGCATCTCTCGGCCAAATCCACCCACTCGTAAACCGCCTGCGCAACTTCACCACAGCCGTCGGCCAAGGCGATGAAGCGCGCCTCGAACTCGGGACGGAGATCCACACCCTCCTCAAGGAGGCGGAGGAGCAGATGGAGCTGTTGAGGGTTGAAGTTGAGGCTCTGGAGAGCAGTATGGAGAATAGGAGGAAGGGAATGGATAGTGAGAAGGAGGCGGAGAAGGAGAGGGTTGTTGTGTTGGCGGGGAGGTTGGTGGGGGATTTGAAGCGGTGGGTTTGAACTTGATCCTACGTCTACATCTATATGGGTGAGAATTTTTGTCTGACTGATTGGGTTGTGTGTAGGACGAGAGGGGATTTTAGGAACGCGCAGCTTCAGGCGAAGAGAAATGCGGAACTTGCGAAACGGAAGGAGAGGGAGTTGTTGTTTTCGAGATCGCAGGGTAGTGAGGCAAGGAAGCAGCCGTCTGAGAAGTTGACGCAGGATGATTTGATGATGAATACGTCTAATGATGTGACTTTGGCGTTGAGGAGGACGCATCAGTTGATGCAGGCTGAGCTGTCGCGGAGTCATTTTGCGCAGCAGACATTAGGTCGGTGTCCTCCATCATCAAGCGAGTATCTGATCTAACAAGTGAACAGAACAATCGACAGCCGCCATATCCTCCCTCTCAGAATCTTACACTAGCCTTGACACCCTTCTATCGTCCTCCCGCAAACTTGCCAGCTCTCTCCTTCGCTCGCAGAAATCCGATACTTGGTACCTGGAAACGGCATTCTACATAATCGTCGGTACCATTTCCTGGCTGCTATTCCGTCGCATGCTCTACGGGCCATTATGGTGGCTTGTTTGGATGCCATTCCGGTTGATGTTTAGAACCCTCTTTGCGATCCTCGGAACTGCTGGTGTTACAAGTTCGGCTGTACAATCATCACAAGCAGCCGATACAGTCACAGAAGCCCCGGCATTAGTACATGAAACACAACGGGCTGTTCCTGAAGGTGGCGCTGGCGACACTGCCTGGGAAAGGGAGGCTCGTGAAGAAACAGATCAAGACCGCATGATTGACAAGATTGGGCGTATGGCTGAGGAGGGGGATGAGCATGAGGGAACGCATATTGATGATATCTCGCCGGAAGAACGGGAACGACAGGACGAGACACCCCGAAATCCTAAGAAGAGGATGTACGAAGAAGGGCCGGTTAAGGATGAGCTTTAGTTATATTAACTCAAGAACAATAAAACCTGAAATAGGTTGGTGTTACCTTTGGTATCATTAGTCTGTATTTTGTTTATCCATTGCTCTATACTATACATACTGGGTCTCTATATGCGATGGTGAAGTCCAGTTCTAAGCTACGGCAGTGATTCAAGGAAAAGATCCGTGATTCAGTAACCCCAACCAGAGTTATCCACTGGCTTACGGCGCGAGCTTACTCTTCCCTCTCAACCAAGGCCCATAAGCCCGAAAAACAAAAGGAACGGGGATCATAATCGCAGCCAAACAGCCCAGCAAGGTGCCCGCCCACTGCACGCCTAGATTAGCGAACATCTGCTTGGAGAAAAGTGGGAACCCAGCAGCTATGCTCGATCGGAGTATAATGTTTGCAGCAACGGTTGATGCTGTTCTTCAAGATTGATGGTACGTCAGTTTGAGCCAATGGAATCGTAAGACAAGAACAAAGACTTACAGAGGTAGGTATGAATCGACGAGGTAGTTGAAGCATGGAAGGAAGATACACAGAACCCCGAAGCCGATGAATACGCCTGCAGCAATTGGTGCCATCCAGTGAATCGAAGCAGTGAACCCAGTCCAACCGAACCTAATCAGCATGGTCAGCTTCCAAGTCCAAGCGGAATATGCATTTAACTTACCAGAAAATACCAACAGTGAACACCGGAGCACCAATAGTTGCCGGAAGCAGGCGCCACTCTGGAACCGGCACATTATTATTCGCAGCCAACTTCGTATAAACCGAATGCTGAGAGAGAATGAATCCGCATGCCAACACTTGACCAATAATAAGACCAATGAATGCAAGCCCAGCGGTCCCAGGGCTCATGCCGTAAACCGTCTCGAAAACGTATGGATATGCCTCCAGAAGTGCGTACACAATGCCATAGATGAAGGACATGTAGAGTGAGATCAGCAGGATAATCGGCTCGGTTACGAGCATCTGCAGAGGACGGGTGAAGTATTTTCTCGTCAATTCCCCGAAGTTTACCTCCAATCCATCCTGTTTGGCATGGATGCCCCAGTTCAGAGTCTGCCGGCGCATAGCGGCTGCTTTTGAAACCAGCAGTACCGGCGTGTATGTCTCTTTAAGGGAAAGGATGAACAGCGAACCACTTGCTAAACCCATAAAAGCCGGAATATAAAGAGTCCATCGCCATCCGAGAAAATTAGTCGTGATAAACCCACCAATAAACGGCGCACTGAACGGACCAACGAAAACCGTAAGCGAGTAGAGCGCAATAGCGATACCACGATGATTATTATTATAGATATCCGACAGCACTGCCGGGACCACAGACAGTTGACTGGCACCGAACATCCCCGCGAAGAAGCGGCATATAATCAACGTCTGAATATCTTTGGCCACAGCCGATGCAATGGTGAAGATGGCGCATCCGAACATGCCAATGGCCAGTGGCAACCGTCTTCCTACCAGCTCCGAAGCAGGAGCCCAGATCAACGGACCGGATGCGAAGCCCAGGACATAGAGGATTGTGCCGAGTGTTCCCACTTCTGAGCTAACCCCGAAGGCTTTACTCGCGCCGGAAGTACCTGGGGCGAAGATTGCGCTGGTGAATGATGCTGTGAGGGTTCCGAGGCAAGCAATGGATGAGATGTAGAGCCTGTGGTAATCACAGTGAGCATTTGTCCGTTTGTACTAATTTTAGACAAGATAGGCATACTTGACCGTGAGACTCCAATTAAGAGGATGATCCGGGTCATCGGGCCCATCGAACTCGACAATATATTCTTTTGAGTCGGGTAAAGGAGGCGGAATAGGCTTTCCTGCTCCCATTGACAAGGCTCCCTGGCGCTTTTCGACAATGTCATAAACCTGGCCGAGTTCCGATGCATCTAGATCATTATATTCATTGTCTATCTGGCCAGTTCGACTGGGCCGTGAAGACTCCATCTTGTGCTGCACGTCGTGTTCATTGAGTCTTGACGCTAGGTTCTGAGCAACATCATTCCTTTTTAGTAGATCTTGGGATGACGATGACAAACCATGTGAGTCAATTAGACCGTTTCTGGACCCTAATCAATAGAACCTAAACTTTGCTTCTCCTTTTGTCACGATGCGGGTATTGCGGACTTCCGAGCCCTACAATCTTACATGACCGAGATGGGTATTGCGGGTATAGCGGAATCGCATAGTACTTTGCCTCCATGCGTCACACTCAGCTCACGGCGAAAGAGTGTTGCCAGAATGGTAATGCCTTGCTGGAGCTAATCACGGTTTCATGATTCGAAAATGCCTTTAAGGGTATCTACTGGTCTGCTTGCACGGCGTCTGGCTCGCCCATCGACTACAGCTATGCGAGTATTTACTACTCGGGTGCTTCTCAAACCTGCTGAACCACCAATATCAACCAACTTTCCCAGCGATGCCTACCAGCTCCTATCGACGCCAGAAAAGGCAGGCTCTTTTGAAGATGCCTTCTATGGACAGCAAATCCGAGACGTAGAAGTATGGTGGGCAAGCGAACGCTTTGACGGGGTTAAGCGGCCCTATTCGGCGGCCGATATTGTGAGCAAGCGAGGATCGTTGCAGCAAGCATACCCTAGCTCCTTGATGGCACGGAAACTGTTCAATTTGTTGAACGAACGGGCGATGGAGGGATTGCCGGTGCATACTAGTAAGTTCTGTGCCTGGGGCAACATGTCAATTCATTCAGTTTGCTAAGTCCAGGACAGTGGGTGCAATCGATCCCGTGCAAATGACACAGCAAGCACAGAACCAAGAGGTCTTATATGTCTCAGGGTGGGCATGCTCTTCCCTGCTAACGAGCACCAATGAGGTCTCACCAGACATGGGCGACTATCCATACAACACTGTGCCGAACCAGGTGCAACGATTGATGAATGCACAGAAGATGCATGACCGGAAACACTGGGATGAGCGCAGGCAGCTAACCGCTGACTAACGGAAGGATACGCCATATGTTGATTTCTTGCGTCCGATTATTGCTGATGGTGACACTGGGTATGTACAATACCAATAAGGAGAAGACTATGCTAACCGTCATACCTAAGACACGGAGGCATAACAGCAGTAATGAAACTAGCCAAGCTATTTGCCGAATACGGCGCAGCAGCAGTTCACTTTGAAGACCAACTGCACGGAGGCAAAAAATGCGGCCATTTATCTGGAAAAGTGCTTGTTCCCATGAGCGAGCATATCAAGCGGCTGGTAGCAGCTCGGTTTCAGTGGGATATGATGGGGACGGAGAACCTTCTCATTGCTCGGACAGATTCGCAAAGCGGTACCCTCATCTCCAGCACAGTGGACAGTCGTGACCATGAGTTTATCTTGGGCGTGATGATGAATGAAGCGGAAGCAGAACCTTTGGCAGAAACCCTTCAGGCGATGGAGAGGAAAGGGGCTGCGCCAGGGGAGATTGATGCTCTTGAAGCTGATTGGGTTCGAGGGCATAGACTTGTTACGTTTGATGAAGGTACGTTTTTTGTCTGGATTTTGGGGCTTTTTGTTTCGATCTTATACTGATGCAATTCGACCATTATAGCTGCCGACGCCCATTTCGAAGCCCAGGGAACATCACCAGCCATTCGACAAGAATACCACCGCCAAGTGCAAGAGAACCCCGACACACCGTTATCCCAAAGACGAGAACTAGCCGAAGCGTACGCCAAATCGCCAGTCAAATGGTCCTACGATATTTCTCGCACCCGAGAGGGCTACTACCACTACCGTGCTGGCTTTCCGGCAGCAATAAAGCGATCCAGAGAGTATGCACCATACGCCGATCTCCTCTGGGTCGAGACGAGAACCCCGAGTCTAGACGAAGCAGCACAGGTAGCTAGCAACATATACGCAGTGTATCCTAGAAAGAAGCTCGTGTACAATCTGAGCCCATCGTTCAATTGGTTAGGGCAGGGGTTTACGAATGAGTCCTTGAGATCTTTTGTCTGGGACCTTGGGAAACTTGGGTATTCTTTTCTCCTTTACCCCATGATAATGCTCTGTTTTAAATGCTGATTGCTCCGCAGATTTGTCTTGCAGTTAGTTTCCCTGGCTGGATTGCATTCTACAGCAACTATCACTACTGAGCTCTCACGTGCATTCAAGGACGAGGGTATGTTGGCATACGTCCGCTTGGTCCAGGCGCAGGAGAAAGAGCTCGGTGTGGAAGTTCTTACGCATCAGAAATGGAGCGGTGCTGCTTATATGGATGGGATCTTGGGGATGATTCAGAGTGGGAGTAGTAGCAACAGGGGTATGGGAGAGGGGAATACAGAAGCAGGTGAGTTGTCTATCTGATGTTCAGTTTAGGGTTGCTACTTATGCAGGATTACACATTTTAGGATTCTAGTATGGCACAAGACTCCGGGATTTAGAATTATGTTTATCAACTGTAATGCCAATTTCATGCACTCTTCAGAAATAGTAGCTATATCAAGTAGTCTTGAAACCAGCTACATTATGTCAATTCTCACCTCTATAGCTTCAGTTCCTTCTTCAAAGAACTAGCCCTCTCAACAATATACCTCCGAATACCAGTAACAATAGCCCCAGCATCCTGCACATCATGAATCAACCCAATCGACGCCCCCGCATACGTCGCAAGCCTCCCCTCCGGCCCCCAGCCAGAATCCCCTTTCTTAAGAGCCTGGTCATGAAGCTCCTTAAGTTCCTCAAACACTTTCCCCGCCTGATGCTCAATAAAAGACTGATTAATAATTGTCCGCGGACTATACTCCTCAGGCCACCCATAAGTACCCCGCAGATGGTTATACAACAGCGTGCGAGTCGTCGATACCGCGCCGTCGCTAGCACGCACGACTTCCCGCTGATATCCACGGGAAATCCGCGCTTCTGTCGCAGCGAGAAACCGCGTCCCCATTGCAATCCCAGATGCTCCCAGACACATCGCTGCCGTTGCGCCTCGTCCATCTGCAATTCCTCCCGCGGCGACTAGAGGGATCTGAGATCCTTTGTTCGCCAGCGCGTCTGACACTTCGGGTAGTAGTGAGATGAGGCCCAGACCGTCCCGGACACGTCCGTGACCGCCTGCTTCGGCGCCCTGAATCACAATTACGTCTGGATGCTCAGAACCCTCGATTAGTCCCTGCACCTCAGCTATGGTACCGATTTGGACCCAGATCTGGGTACGTGGTGAGGCATTGCGGATCCGGCGTGACCACTGATCTAAGTCTGTTTGCCCTTGTCGAGGAGCATAGAGCCAGGCAGCGCACGGCTTGAACTTCTGAATAGCAGATACTGCAGTTTCAATATCGTCGCTCCAGAGCTGGAAGCCCACTCCGACAGGGAGGGCTGGCGACGATGATGTTGTAGCATATCGGAGTGCTTTTTCCTTCTCAATGAGAGACGAGGCTTCTTTGAGATTTGATATCGTGTCTTGTGTTTTTGCACCGGGTCCGATGAAGCCTAGTCCGCCGGCGCGGAATACTGCAACGGCCAGGGCTGGGCCGGACATTACCCGCATTGGGGCGCTGATGACCATGGGGTTGGAGGCCCATGGATAGAGCGAGGAGAGCTTTTTCGCGAGTTGGAGTGATCGGGACATTGTTCTTTTTGTTAGGATTGGGCTGCCATAAGTAGCGGGGCAGATGCTCTTATATTTACTATCGCATTTGGTGGTGATGCAACTCGTGGGAACGGAGCGGGTATTGCGGAAAGAACCCCAGAATATGCCATATTTTACATACTATTCATACAATATCTAAGCTCAAGGAAATGAGTTATGTACAAGAGATCTAGTCTACAGTATCCTAATAATGAGAAAATCAACCACCCTCCCCCAACGATCCCATATCCATGCCCTGCGCCGACCGAAACATATCCATATTCAAGAATTGATCAAAGTCAAATCCCTGCAGACTAGGCATATCGGCAACCAATTCCTCCAACAAAGGCATTTCTTCCAAATTAGGACTAACGCGCGGTATTTGTGCCTTTGAGCCAGCTGAGCCGGGCTCTGGCTGGGAATCAACATCAAGCACATTGCCCAACAGCTGAGCATCGTGGTATCGCCGTTGTTGATAGAGGAAGACAAGGAGTCTAGCAGTAGCGTATGCCTCGCGCATTGTAGCGGTGTTGTATATAGATGCAGCCAGTTTCAGGGTCTGCATGGCCTCGGGGAGTTGAGCAAGGGAAGCGCATGTGTCCATTTCGAGGAGTATGGTGATGATGTGGAATGGTACGTTGGCAACATGTTGCCATGGACAGCAGTTCGTGAGCATGCTGCGCGCGGACTGTAGTGCTCTCTGGATTAAGTCCAGAACACGATCTGCGATTGCGGGCGACGTGTTTATGTTCAATAGATGAAGTCGTCGCAGGATACACAGGACCAGATTTGTTTGTGCGAGCACGGATGGTGGTTGTGTGTGCACCCTGTCTAGGGTTTGCACTAGAGACCATTGCAGGTCACAGTCATCCTGCGCTTCTTCGGGGTCCAGACTGGCAGAAATCGGCAGCAGACCTAGGAGCTCTGCCGTGTAGTCCCCGGGCCGCGGTGACAAGGGCAGAGACAGGTCGGCTTTCAAAGACACCCTTGACAGGCCAAGGTCATAGGATGGCCACATGTTCTGATGCTGGGCCACGCCGACCAAGCGTCGTCGAATGCCTAGATCACATCTCGCGTTAGAGAGGGCCATTCCGTCGGAAGCTTCATGATGAAGACCCGCCGCCTCGATGAGGTGCATTAACGTAGAACTAGCAAGCCAAGTCGAGTATGGCGGCGCAGTCATCCGCATGTAGATGACACGCAGCATCCAGCCCGTAACGAGGTCCACAGAGGGTGCAGTACTTCCATCATAACTTTCAAGGATGGACCTAGCAGACTCCATAAGCTGTAGCTCAGTGGCCTTGACCGTTCGCTCCGAGAACAGCAGCCCCAGCGCCGCAACTCCTGCCAGTACACTATCGTAAATGCTGCTGCCGCTGTTGGACCGCCACCGCACATTGAGACGATCGAAGAAAGCTTGTTTATCAATAAAGCCATAGCACGGGTCAACCTTGCTGAAGTAGACATGGGCCAGCTGCGCCATATCCCCCAGGGCGATGATATCAACAATCGGCAAGCTAGCGGCCGTCGCCAGCCCCGAGGACAGCTGTCGAGCACCCACATTCCACCCGAAGAGATTCAACCGAGGCGCGTTGGCCGGATCGACTTTCAGGCTCATTTTGCGCACAAAGGCAGCGCCGGAATTTGCAGCGAGACTGCGAACCACGCCTTGCGGATTGGTTGAGTGATTGTGTTCCGTGCTGGCAGCGCTACCACCGCTACCACTGGGTGGAGCACCAGTCGATAAGGGCTCCGCAGAAGGTGCCAGGTCCTTGTATTTCGAATTTCGACTGGCTGGATAGTAGCACTCATATCCCCAGTTGCTGCATGTATCACACGGGTTGTCTCCGTCGCATTTCCTCTTTCGTTCACGGCAGGGCTCGCAGGCCACGCGCGCACGCTTGCGTTTGAGCTGGCCTGTTGTTTGCACCATTTTGACGCGGGGCTGTTTCACTGTATCCGTAGACAATCGTCACGATGTATGTGAGTGGAAGTTGCGGGAAAGTGGTTGTTACGGGTATTGCGGGATCTGCGGATGTGGTAATGTCGTCAGAGCCGCCACAAGGGTAAGTCGGAATACTGTGGATTGTGAGTACAGGGGTTATTCGCTAGATAGCGGAGTGCATTTTAATGCCATTGATAGTAAATGACTCACACTGATTATCGGGATGTCATCGGCGCACACAATATATCGTTCGGTTGAGCTCCGAAGTCAAATCAAACATCATTTCATAGTTAGCATCAGAATTCAAACAGCTTCATATCATTGAATATGTCTTCCCGACCCTTGAATCCCCTTCCTGACAACCATCCATTGGAAGATGTCCCAGCGCACACGCTCTCGTTGCTCAACCGGCTCCACGCTGAGTCCGCAGCCCAGGAAGCCGAGCTAGACGCATCCGCCTACAAGCCAGATACCGTCGACGCGAATATGCGCGACAAATTCATCGCTCTTGACCAGGACAAGTGCCACTTCATTTACCAACTTTGTCTTGCGACAGGCGCCAAAACGATCATCGAGGCTGGCACCTCTTATGGAGTCAGTACCATCTACCTTGCGCTTGCTGTTGCGTCCAACATCGCAACGTTTGGCGGTGCTGGGAAGGTTATTGGCACGGAGCATGAGCCGGAGAAAGCAACTCAAGCCAGGAAATATTGGGAGGAGTGTGGTAGCTCCGTCAGTGAGGTGATTGACTTGAGAGAAGGAGACTTGCTGGAGACGTTGAAGCACGGCCTAGGAACGGTTGACATGCTCCTGCTGGACAGTAAGTACACTGCTTTTATTCCGGTCCCTTTACTTCAACTGGCTAATTCACTCCAGTCTGGGCCCCGTTGGCTCTTCCGGTACTGAAACTAGTACAGCCGGCAATGAGGCCTGGCGCAGTCGTAATCACCGACAATACTTCCGGTGCTTCTGTTCGGTATAAGGATCTCCTTGATTATCTGCGTGCCCCGAATAGTGGGTTCAGAAATTTCACGCTGCCGTACAGCAAGGGTCTTGAAATGAGTGTGTATCTACCAGACCAGAAGCAGTGATTGCCCGGAGACGGGATTTGTAATAGATTGTCATCTTTGAGGGTGGAATGTATTTTCCTGTCATGTTGTTCGTGGATAGTGTTTTGCTTTGTATGTCTTATCAGCCACACTTTGATATCTGTAGATGTAGATGTGGCTGGGCACTACCACTGCGCCACAGCTAATTACAGTGGTGTCGCGTATCAACGCGTCTCCGACACGGCCTGCATCGGAGGTCCGCAAGAGCTCACGTCGGGTTACCAGTATACTTTTTCAGGTCAAATTCTACCTCTAATTTCTCATATCCCAGATACCCGCAGCAATGGCTGCCAATTTCTTCAACAACAAAGCCCGCGCAGCGGCAGCAGCGGCATCAAGCAGTACCAAGCAGAAGCCAACAGATCCGAGAGAAGAACAGCTCCAGCCATGGGTTGAGAAATAGTATGTCGTGGCTACTTCCCCGGACATGCTTTGAAAATATATGGCTGACAAAAGGCAGTCGGCCAAAGACATTAGACGATGTCGCTGCGCAAGATCACACGACGAAAGTGCTTTCACGGACATTAAACGCTTCTAATGTATGCTCAATTCTTTCGCGAATGATATCGACTATACCATAGAGCAAATAGCTAATGAACCAAGCTACCCCATATGCTCTTCTACGGCCCCCCAGGAACCGGAAAGACATCTACCATCCTCGCCCTCGCAAAATCCCTCTTCGGTCCCGCCGTCTACCGCTCCCGTATCCTCGAACTAAACGCCTCCGACGAACGAGGTATCGCTATCGTCCGTGAAAAAGTCAAGGGCTTCGCCCGGACACAACTCTCACAGCCCACAGGCCTAGACGCAGAATACCTCTCCAAGCACCCCTGCCCGCCGTTCAAGATTATCATCCTCGATGAAGCAGATAGCATGACGCAAGATGCGCAGTCGGCCCTTCGTCGGACGATGGAGCAATATAGTCGAATCACCCGTTTCTGTCTGGTTTGCAATTATGTCACTCGCATTATCGAGCCGTTGGCGAGTCGGTGCAGCAAGTTCCGTTTCAAGGCGTTGGACAATAGCGCTGCGGGGACAAGAGTAGGGTATATTGCTGAGAAGGAGGGGTTAAACCTTGAGAATGGGGTGATTGATAAGTTGATTACTTGTGGGGAGGGAGATCTGCGACGTTCTATCACTTATATGCAGAGTGCTGCTCGGTTGGTAGGGGCTCGGGCGGCTGGCAAGAAGGACGGGGACGAGGATTCAGAGATGACAGACGACAATTCGAAAATAATCACCGTGAGGATGGTGGAGGAGATTGCGGGTGTTATCCCGGAGAGTGTATTGGACAGCTTGACTCAGGCTATGCAGCCGAAGAAGATTGGTTCATCATACGGGGCTGTTTCTGCTGTTATCACGGATATTGTGGCAGATGGGTGGAGTGCGACTCAATTGTTGACACAGGTTAGTCATATCGACGTTGGATTGATTGTGAATTCGTTGCTAACAGTTACAGTTGTATCGACGAGTTGTCTATAACGACGCCATACCGGATATTCAGAAGAATAAGATTGTCACGGCTTTCTCTGAGATGGATAAACGTCTGGCAGACGGTGCAGATGAGCATCTTTCGATTTTGGATCTGTCACTTCAGATCTCTGGGATTCTTGGTGGTTCATAGGTTTAGCTCCCGGTGGCTGCGCTCTACTCTATTTGCATAAATCCCTTTGGGTCGCGGCGCCGTTGCACTTGCATTCATAGCAGCACCAGCCCGCTCCAATTGAGGAACTACACCATACCGCGTCCGTGTCATTCGCTCCGATCTGGACAGAAGAAACGGATAAGCTACGATTGCATGAAGTGTAATAGGAAATCAATGCTATTTCAGACATATAGACTAATTCAATCCTATTCTGGAGCAATCAAATAATGTTCTTCCCTATCCGGCATAGTAGTTGATATGAAGTTATCTCTACTTGTAGTCCTCCGACATCAAGCGGCGGAGCTGTTCGTCTTTTTCTCCGAAATCCAGTCCGCTCACCGGCCAACGTGACTCACTTTCCACTTATTCTGGTCTCGCTGCTCACGTTAGAAGCTTGCTTATACGTTTCCATACCGGAAGAAAGAAGAAAAGGTGTTTCAAAACAACAAAAACCATGGCTGCTTCGAGCGAGTACCCCGCGATGACTACCAAACCCCGCTATCTGACGGGCGACAAGCCTGGTCTGCAGGAATTCCTGGATAAGTTTGATGTGTGTGGAGTGAATCTATTCAAATTATTGCGCTTCTCATGACGATGACGAGAAATTGCCTGTGCTAACGCTTTGTTGTCTGTATAGGTCTTCCTGTTCGATTGCGACGGTTCGTGATGCCTCCGCACCCTCTCTTATAGTTATGCGACTTGGGATATGAGATTGGGACATGGGACTATTGGTAATTGGGCGAGCTTGAACTAAATTGAGGTTTTGAATAGGCGTCCTCTGGTCCGGTGACCACCTCTTCCCTGGAACCGTCGAGACGCTTGAGCTGTTGAGGAACAATGGTATACACAATCGCACTGCAGAATGACGGATGAATGCTAATTCAGAGCAGGAAAGCAAGTCGTCTTCGTCACAAACAACAGCACCAAGTCGCGTGCAGACTACAAAAAGAAACTCGAGATCCTAGGAATCCCAAGCTCAACAGAAGAAATCTTCTCCTCCTCCTACAGCTCCTCAATCTACATCTCCCGCATCCTAAATCTCCCCGAAAACAAGCGCAAAGTCTTTGTCATCGGCGAAACTGGCATCGAACAAGAACTCAACTCCGAGAACGTCCCCTTCATCGGCGGCACAGACCCCGCCTTCCTCCGCAACGTTAAGCCAGAGGACTACAAGCGCATTGCGGCTGGTGATCCTTCCATCCTGGATCCTGAGGTTGGCGTCGTGCTGGTTGGTCTGGACTTTCATCTGAACTACCTGAAACTCGCGCTGGCGTACCACTACATCCGGCGCGGGGCGGTGTTCCTCGCGACGAACATTGATTCTACGCTGCCGAATTCGGGGACGCTGTTCCCCGGTGCCGGGTCGATGAGTGCGCCGTTGATCATGATGTTGGGGCAGGAGCCTGTGTCGCTGGGGAAGCCGAACCAGGCGATGATGGATGCTATTGAGGGGAAGTTCCAATTTGATCGGAGTCGCGCTTGTATGGTTGGGGATCGCACTAACACGGATATTCGATTTGGGATGGAAGGGAAGCTTGGGGGGACACTGGCTGTGTTGACTGGGGTTAGTACTAAGGAGGATTTTGTGGCTGGGCCGATCAAGCCGTTGGCGTATTTGGATAAGTTGTCTGATTTGTTGGACGTTCAGTCATAGACAAGACGGTTATTTGGTAGATAGACTTGGTAAATATTGTACAGTTCGGGATATCCATAGAGTATTTGGCGAGAGTTTATAATGCAGGCTAAGGTGTATACTGTGCGTCATGTCGAATGAAGCCTTTCAGCTTCCACAATGCAAGGACCGCATCGACAGAGGTCGTATCATCTGGTCTGAGGAACAGAGCCGTGCTCTGGAAACGCTGGTCATATGCTCTGAGAGCCTCCATGTCACACTCAGACAAAAGGATAGAGAGATCGAATACCGGGACCTTTGACTGGACTTGAGGCAGCGTAACGTAGTCAGGGAAGTTCGAGACCCGTTTCTGGGATTCCTCAAGCCCCTCAGACTGGTTCTGAGTCTGGGGTTTCTGACCCATGACCAACACAGCACCAGAGCCCATACGCTCAACCGGCTCAACGCCCTTCAATGCCTCAACTAGAGCCTCAGAATCCCCATCCAATTCAACAACACTCCAAGCCCGACTGCTGTCATTCATCTCCTGTCCATGTTCACCACACGCCCTCTTCAACTTCTTCAGAGCATCCTTCCTCAACCGCCCAAACACAAAATCCGGCATATCCCCCCTCCAAACCAACAACCTATCCTCCTGACTCGTCATAGGCCCAAACGGATGTTTCCACCGCTGCGGAATCAACTTCACAAGCGGCGACTTCTTTCCACCCGTCGACCGACTCAACGGTTTCGTAAGCTGCTTTAGCAGCGGAAGACGATCAACGATCCGCAATTTGAGGAAATTCAACGGTCCCTTTAATGTCCGCGAAAGTTCATCCTTCAACAGCCCAACTGGCATTATCCATAGTTTCTCTGGGTCCGCGGTGTTGGAGCGTCGGATCATACCCCAATCGCCTAGGAAGGCTTTGGGGAGTCTTGTTCCTGTTACGGTGCACATTCGGAGTGGGGAGGCTAGGGCCATTGCCCATGGGTTTCGCGCGAGTTCTTGGAACTGTTCGGGTGGTGCGCGGAGTTTGCGTTTCTTTTCGGTTGGGATTGATGCTAGGGGCGATTTGGGGAGGAGTTGGGAGGGGCGGATTGAGGGGTCATTGTCGAGGTTGTGATCTTCACTTTCTCGGGGATGTTGTTTGGACGAGAGGTTTCTGTGGGAAGACGGAGAAATGGTGTGCGAATTTGTAGATGTAGGCGCAAATAACCGTTGAAACACTCGTAGGCGCCACGAAGCGTAGGAAATGCGCTGGCGAGAGCACTCCATGACGGTTGTCTTCAATCCGCTTAGAGAGGAAAACGGCCTGCATCGAGATTAGATCGGCGCGATTCTTCCGCGGCGGCATTACGTCGTTCCGCGCCTTTATCGGAGTAGCTATCTTCACTCCTTCCTCCCTTCTTCTCACCTTTGTCATTAATTGCATTGTCATCATGAATACACGCTCCTTATTACGACTGGGCCGGATTGCCCGTCGCAGTCCCAGTGCCCTTCAACCAAGATTGTTGCGGAGCTTCTCGAGCTCCGTTCCTTCGCTATCGAGCAGTCCGCCGCGGGCATGGACTCCGACGCCGTTTGTGACAGAGACAGTGGTTTGTACCCGGTGTATCAATGCTTGCTTTATATGCGCTAATTCGATTATAGGGAGGCGGCTGGCATACATGTATGTTCTTGTGCTATGATGGTGGTAGGAGCTATGTTAACCTTGACCAGATGACATTTTTTCCAGACTGTTGAAGGTACGACCGGTGTCCTGCGATATAATGCTCATAGCTAACCTACCAGGAACGAATCATCTGCCTCAATGGCGAAGTCGAAGAATCCATGTCCGCCTCCATAGTCGCCCAACTCCTCTTCCTCGAAGCCGATAACCCCCAGAAACCAATCCACCTCTACATCAACTCCCCCGGCGGTTCAGTAACAGCCGGTTCGTCCCCTCCCCTTCACCCTTGCACACGCATCCCTAACACAGTGTGACAATGACAGGCCTCGCAATCTACGACACAATGTCCTACATCGCCGCCCCCGTAAGCACCATCTGCGTCGGCCAAGCAGCCTCGATGGGCTCCCTGCTCCTCTGTGGCGGCCACCCCGGCAAACGCTACTGTCTCCCGCACTCCTCGATCATGATTCACCAGCCCTCCGGCGGCTACTTCGGACAAGCGACGGATATTGCGATCCATGCGAAGGAGATCCTGCGCGTGCGCGAGCAGCTGAATAAGATCTATCAGAGGCATTTGACGGGCAATAAGAAGTGGAGTCTTGATGAGATTGAGAAGTTGATGGAGAGGGATTATTTTATGGGGGCGCAGGAGGCGCTGGATATGGGTATTGTTGATGAGGTTTTGGATCGGAGGGTTAAGCCCGAGGAGGGGGGTGAGGGGAAGCCATAGGTTTGAGTATTTAGGTTGTAAAATTAATGACGGTCATGTCCATATCAATTGATGCTTGGGTTACTCGTTAAGTCAGTGAAATCAGTTCTGTGCAGACATTGATTTGTAAAGCGAAATATATGTACTTGTACACCAATAACTCCAATAAAAGCCATATGCAATCATATCTGCGTCCCAGCGCTAAATTGCAACAAAAAGCAAGAATATAGCAAATCAACTCTCTATCCGTTCAACCCTCCCATCAACACTAACCTGCAACCCAAACCGCTCTCTAAGAAACGCAGCCGTTTCCGCCGACGGCGCGTAACGCGAAGTCCGGGAAGTTCTCGAAGATGAAGTAGTCGGTGATCGTCTTGAAGATATTGAAGATACTGAAGAAGGGTTGTAGCGCCACTGGTCGCGGATGATGTCTATTAAGCCGAGGTCCATGAGCATGTATTCGCCGGAGGAGAAGATGTCAAGAGGGTGGGTAGGTTTGGTATTCGCATTGGAGGAGGGTTCTGTTAGGAGGTTGGTCCGTTCGTCGTCATCGGTTGTATTAGGATTATGTGGTTGTGTTGGTGTATGCTCATTGCGCGCGAGTTCATCGAGTTCAATCCCATCGTCTCTGTTCTGACCCCGGAGAACCCCCCTCTCCTCCGAATCATGATCCTGCTGCGCCTCTGCCTCCGCCTCTGCACCCGTCTCCCCCGACTGCGACTGCGACAGTGATTCCGAAATCGAATCCACAGTCCTAACCCTCTCAATAACCAACCCCAACATCACAAAATCAACCACCATAACCAACAAATCAAACGATATCAACCTCCCCACCGAAACCGGCCCCTTCTGTCCAATAAAATCGATAAACAACCCTCCATGCAGATACCCCCGTGTCGTCTCATCTATCTCCGGCTGTGTAAAGAAGGCGTGGAATATCATGCAGATGATGTTGCTTGTGAATATCGCGCCGATGTACGGTTGATTGCGGGTCGGGTCGAAGGGGGAGGCTTTCGGTGTGAAGAAGATAAGCTGGATTATAGCGCGGAGGAGAAATAGCAGGATCGAGCAGCTATATACCTATTAGAACCCCATCTATCAAATAATATGCCAGTGTAGGGTACGCACTCCATGTAATATAGCGCAGACAACTCGCAATAGATCAGTATATCCAAATCGCGAAGCACCCGGTCGATCAACGCAACCTTCGCAGTCGCCTGGACTTTCTTCATGCGCGCATCTTGCCCGAAGTCGTACTCGGAAGCACCAGACGGCGTGGTGAACACGTCAGTGATGTATTCCGCATCTCGATAGATATCCGGGGTTGTCATAGAGGGTCATGGGGACATGGGTCAGAACAATGCGGAATGGACTGGACTGGACTGGTGACTGGTGGGGTCTCTTGGTTTCCCCTTGCTTTAGAGAATCTTCATCGAATTTGTCCCAGTAAAATTCCCCAGATGAGAGTAAACCTGATAACTAGTGACGCTGAGGGTGAGGTCCGACGCCGATGGTGGAGGATGAGGCGGCGGCGGACTTATCTCGGACCGGTTGGCCAATGATATTGCATAAACGGCTATTGCATACAAACAACGGTTTCTGCAGCTACGGTCATTATGCAATTGGTAGTGGCATGATGGTCATTGTATTTTTCTAATGGCAGTTAGTTTACAGCTAATCAACAAAGATATTCTTCGACACGCCAGAATAGTGCTTGAAGAAGCTCGAGAACAACCGAATTGAATGCGCAACATCATGAGTACCCCCAGTCTCCCGAATACTGTGCATGCTCAACTGCGGGTTACCCAAATCCAGAGTCCTAGCGCCCAGGAGTGCAGACAGCATAGGTCCAATGGTACTTCCACAGCTCGAGTCATTGCGGACCACGAACAGCTGGAGCGGCACACCCTCGCCGCCGTCCTCAGCAGCCTTGCGGGCAACTTCCTGCAGAAGAACGATACCGGGGGAGTTAGTCGCGTAGCGGGCGTTGGCATTGACCTTGATCACGGGGCCCTTGTTAATCTGGGGACGGTGATCGGCCTCGTACTTGGCTGTGTAGTTCGGGTGCACGGCGTGAGCCATGTCCGCGGAGAGGAGGAAGGAGCTGGACAGGGTCTGCTCGTAGGCGGTGCTCACGTCGGCGTTGTTGGAGGAGGCAGGGAGGACGGACAGGCGGCGGATGACGGCAGGGAGCATGTCAGAGTCGGCGCCTTGAGCGGAACGGCTTCCAATTTCCTCGTGGTCGAACAGTGCAACCAGGCGGATGGAAGATTCCTCGTCCAGAGCGGAGCTGTCAGCCACGGAGTCGATGAGACCAACAGTAGCACAGTAAGAGCTGTTAAGATTGTCCAGACGCGCGGAGAAAATGAACTCCTCCAGCAGACCACCCAGGCAGGACTTTTGAGTGTCGAACAGGATCATCTCAAAATCAAGCACATCAGCAGGCTTAACACCAGCTTCTGCAGCAATGAGCTCCACAAGGTAAGGGTGGTGACGCTCAGTAATAGCCTTCAGAGGAGAGAATTCACCACTATCAGCCTCAGTATTTGCAGGGGTGCCAGCGGTACGGTTAAGCTCAGCCTCAACAAGACCAGCGATCGGGAAGAGCTGCGTCTCCTTGTTGAAAGAGAAATCAGCCTGGCGGTCAAGATGGATAGCCAACGTCGGAATACGGAGGACTATATAGTTAGCATCATCTCGGACTTATTATATTGAGAGAGGCATACTTGGACGGTCAATCTTCAGCAACTTCTGCACAATAGATCCATCTCCGGTGCGGACCATGGCCCGACCTGCAACACCTAGATCACGGTCGAACCCTAACATCATTAGCACCAATAAAACCATGCACAACACAGACTGCCGGCACGACTCACATGAATGCCAAATACCACCTCCATACGTCTCCACACCAATCTGAACATAACCCGCCTCACGCTTATTGCTGACGGGCTTGATCCTCAGAACAGGAGAGTCTGTATGGGCACCGATCATGGAGATCGGGTTACCGGGCTACCCTCATATTAACCCACCATATGCAGACTTAACATAGAATTAGGAAACATACCTGCCACTTCTTCCCCACAGCAAAAGCGACAAGGGTGGAGTGGTTCCGGGTGAGATAGTACTTCCCGCCGGGACGGCATGTCGAAGCCCAGGAGTCTTTTTCCTGTGTCGTTTTAGCACCAGGTTCAATAACTTAATTTGAGAAGTGCATAGCTACCTTGATCTCCTGAAACCCAGCCTTGCTCAGGAGTTCTTTGGCGGATTGTACCGCGTGGAACGCTGGTATATGGTTAGTGCTTGATTTCTGGGGCCTCCAGGGAGGACGGCATACAAGTTGGAGAGGCATTGACAAAGGACAGGAAGTCCAGAGCCGGCTGCTTGAAGTTCTTTGCGAGAGTAGAAGTCATTGTCGCGGTGTTGTGTTGTGGGGATGGTTAGATGCGGAAGGTGTAGGTCATGATAAGGCAGTTGGTTGGCGGTCAGGGCGGAGAATGAATTCCCGACTATGCATGAAGACCACTACGAGTAAACTTATACTCCAGAGAGACATGTAGCGAGAATCGAGTCAATTGCTCTAATAGTTCCTCGGACTGTTCATTCACTCCACAAAAAACACCCAAAACGAAAGCTATCTAACCGTCTCCAAAAGAAGAACAGTCAAAACACCTCTGGTCCTCTAACCAGTATCCATAAAAGACGCTGCCGTCATACCCTTTAATATGCAAATGAACAAGCAAGTCGCTATTACCAAAAGGAAACAACTATGTAGTTAAGCAAACACCAGCAATTAAGTAAGACAAAACGGCAAACAATAACGACAGAAATATTAAGTAGACTTTTCCCCCTGATCCTTCGTTTCCATATTAGCAAAAACCATGTCCTCAACGACCTTGATACCAGCCTCTTCGCCCTTCTTCGAGTCCACCTCGTCTCCCGCAACAGCCTGGTCAAGCGCCAGTTTCGTCTGGCCCAGAGCATAGATCTGCTCCTCGATGGTGTCCTTGGTCACAAGTCGGATGACTTCGACTTCCCGGGTCTGGCCGACACGGTGCGCGCGGTTCTCCGCTTGAACATCTTCCTGGGGGTTGAAGCTGGAGTCGAAGATGATGACTTTGTTGGCACATGCCAAGTTGATACCTGCACCACCAGCTTTGGTCGAGAGGAGGAAGACGGGGATGTCGGTCCGTTCGTGGAACGCGTCAAGGATAGACTGGCGGTCTTCGACGTTCGTCCGACCGTCCAGTCGAACGAAGCCAACGTGCTGGTTTTCAAGCACGTGCTCAAGGATATCCATAACCATGGTGAACTGGGAGAAGACCAGAATGCGGTCATCCTTGAACCGTTCAAGAAGCTCGCACAGCTTGGATACTTTGCCCGAATTCATCCATTCGCCATTCTTCAGAGCGAATTTACCAAGCGATTTCGGATACGTTGTGCACATGTTATGGCATTCAAAGTCATTGTAAGGCTGCAGCTCCTCGAAGATGATGTTTGGGTCAGAAAGAGACCATTGCGGTTCCTTCAGGCACGCCTTGGACATCTGCTTCAGGACCGAATCGTTGTAGTGCCGTCTGTACAGAAGAGAATGAATAGCTGCTTGTCGCAGCTTCATCAAGATGTTGGCAGACTTGCTGCCCGTCTTCTTACCGGCGGCTCGATCAGCAACAAGCTTGCGCACCTCTTCCTTTTCATGCTCGTAGATCTCTTTTTGCGCCGGGTTCAGCTCACACCACTCGACGTGCGAAACCTTCGCTGGCAAGTCAATGACCTGATGCTTCTTACGGCGCAAGACAAAGGGCTTCAGCATCGACTTTGCGCGCTCGATCCTCTGTGCAGAAAGAAGGGTGGTATGCGATTCGTTGGTCTTCGCCTTGTTGGAGAAGATGTACTGCAGCTGATCTTTGCGCTCGTGGAAAACCTTGGGCAAGATAAAACCTAAGAGAGAGGCCAGCTCTTGGAGATTGTTTTGCAACGGTGTACCCGTAAGAAGAAGCTTGAACTGGGCTGGGATCCGGATAAGCTTCTCGTACAGAACAGACGTGCTGCTCTTGAGCATGTGTCCTTCATCGTAGACACAAGCGCAGAAATCCATGCTGCGAAGGAACGATGCGTCGACCTTGGCCTTGGCGATGGTATAGGTAGTGATGATAACGTTGATGCTGTCACGGTTGTCCTCAATAGTCTCTCGGATGACCGCTCGCTCCGCCTGGCCGGCATAGTACGGCATGACTGACAAAGTCGGGCAGAACTTCTGGAACTCCCGAAGCCAGTTCTCAATCGTAGACGACGGGACAACCACAAGATGCGGTCCCTTGATGCCCTTCTCGTACAAATGAGCCAAGAACGCGATGACCTGGCACGTCTTTCCCAGACCCATGTCATCTGCCAGAATACAACTCAGCTCCTTTTCAAAGAGCAGAGACAACCAATTGATCCCGACGACCTGGTAATCCTTCATCTTCAAATCCTCGGCCATGATTCCAGGCTGACCGATAAATCGGCCCTTGCGTGATTTCGACGGACCATCTTCATCATCTTCAGAGCGTTGGCTGGCCGGTGTCCCAATGCCGGAATCGTGCGACGCTGCCGGATCGAGAGAGGTCAACTCGAAATCTCCATCCTTCTTGCCGTAGATATCCACACCCCATTTCTTCATTTCGGTTGCAAGTGGCTTTCCAAGCTCCTCGCACTTGGCGCAAAGAGAGTCGACTGCCTCGTAGCCGACCCACATGTCCAGACACTTGTCGACGATCTTGTCTCCAATGGGCTTTGGCGTTTTACGGCCTCTGGTGCCCTTGGGTTTCGCAGTTTGCTCAGCCGTAGGCGCAGGGACAACGCGCACTTCATCCAAGGACCTGAACGGCCGTTTGGCGATGACCGCATTTGCAAGTTCTTCCGTGGTCGCAGCAATATCTGCAAGCTCCAGGGTCTGGCAAGTGTTGAAAAAACGGAGAACCTTCAATTCCAGCTCGCTGTTCCCCTGCGTCTCCTCCACACCAGAGTCCGAGTCATCCTCAGTCATGGCCACTGGCTCTTCAGGAGATTCCGAGCGAGCAGGCGATGGTTGCCTGCGTCCCTTGACCAATCGTCCAGTCTTCTTGGGAGGTGTAGCCTCGGACCGAATAGGGCTCGTGGGAGAAGGTTCGCGGTTCTTGGGACCTCTCACCAAGCGCCTTCGGGGTTTGTCATCTTGCGGCGACGAGGGTCGTGGGATAGCGTTCGGCATGCGCATCGAAGACCATTTGTCCTGAATTGTACCACGCGCCTTGATCTGCTGCTTCGCCGGCGCTGCGCCGGAAGCCTTGGCGCTCAATTCATCGTCCGATTCTTTGCCTCCTTGTTCCTCCGCAGCGACCAGATATTCCAGCGCATCGTTGAAGATACCACGTCTGACAACCACAGCCTCAAAGCACTGTTGTATAGATTTGTTTGTCATGATTTTCATCATGCGCTCGACCTTGGAGCGGGTGGGATAATCGGAAATCTCATCAAGGGAAGAGATTTGAGCGACGAGCGGTTGAGCGCGAGCTGGGCCGTCTTGTCGTTGTTTCTTCATAGCCATTCCCTTCATGCTGCCTCCCATTTCGGAAGCGGGACGTTTTGCGCCATGGCTGTTGTTGGGGTCGTAAACGGACGAAGAAGTAATCTGCTTGAATCGATCGTTTGGCGCGTCGCCCGCGCTTTTGTTAACAGGCGATTCCATGACTTGTTCGGGACTGCGCGAGTTCTTAGTAAACTGGGCCGGTTTGATATCCGTGGTTTCGTCGTCTTCTTCCTCGTCGGACGAGCCGCCACGATACGTCGGTCCGTCGTCAACCACAGGAGCCCGTTTAGCAGGACCGGCAGATGTCGGGGGACGGAATTGGGTTCCAGCAGGAGCCAAGGAGTAGGAGAGAGGACCGCCTTCTTGTGGGGTAGGACGAAAAGGTGAAGAGGATAAGATGGCGGTAGTGGTCGAGGTCGGACCTAGTGGAGAGGAAGCGGCGACCTGGACTACAGCACGGGGATCGTCGACCAACTGGGTAGGCTGAGTGAAACGCTGCGTGGCGGGAGTCAAGGATTGTGTCTCTCCGGGTTTTTGCGTTGTGACTGGTTGTGGTTGGTCTGACAGAGGGAGAGTTGCGGGTAGTGGGTTGTCGGTCGGAGGAGTGCTGCGTACGACTTTTTTGCTGACGGGGCTGTCGGGGACGGAATCGTCCATGGTCGACGATGGCGAAAAGAGTGTGCAGTCAGTAAGAATAGGGTATTATAGTGAAAGACTCATGCAGTAGAATACAGTCTAAGTACTCTGGAGTAGTATTAAAGCGACGGTCTGCCAGTATCAACCACTTTGCTCTTAATCCTTCCTTTCCTTTCAATTCTTTTTCCTGGACGCGACGCGCCAGGTCACGTGTTATACCGACAAGGAAGGAGCCATAGTCTACAGATTATACATGGCTAAGCATACATAACTATTATATAAAAGTTATATAGAAATCAGACCAACTCCAGTGTAAGCTACAGTCAATGCCAACGTAACTGTGCTTGTCCTCCATGAGAAATGCAACGGACCAATTAGAAGGTCATCGGACATCCCCAGATGGATTTCTCCGGACGACATTCCATCTTCATTAGAACAAGAATACTAGTCAACCTTTCATTCACTTCTAACAGTTCAGAAAATACTCTTAATCGCAAAGCTTGTCTTTATCTAACACCGGGACCTTGTGTGGTCTGCCAGTTTTTGAGTCTACCCAAACTCTTGACGTCCCTCTTGTCGCATAGTGTCCATTCCGATTTACACCAACACCACCACAAACATGTCCAGCCGTCGTCCTGAAAAGTCGTATGCAGACGCTGTGGCCTCTGCGCCGAAAGAAGCTTCAGCCAACTCTGATGTCACTCCCGCTGTTCCTGCGTATGCTTTTCCCCAGAGATGGGATCAACTATATCTGCTCATTTTGAAAACTGACTATCTCTAGCAATGTCATCTTCAAACTCCTGGCCTTCACTCTCGCCATGGTCGCTGCTCCGATTGGCATATACTTCTTGACTGTGAACTCCATTTTCAGCGGTACGCTATTCTAGAATATCTGGACTTGAGCAGCATATACTAAACGCTTACAGGAAACTCGACATGGGCCGGGGTTACAGCGGCAGTGACTGCGAACGTTGTCCTATTTGCTTATATCTTTGTGGCATGGCAGGAGGACCAAGGAGAGAGAGCTGCGGAGAATGAAAAGAAAGCCCAGTGAGGTGCTGGTATGTATCAGTATGGCCTTGGGATGACTATGGCAACGGCGTTATGGGTATTCTTTCTTGACTAGTGTGTTGAATTCCAGCCTCATATTTACAATAAGTTTGCCATAACCGTAGCAGTGCATACCTGTAAAATACCCGATTATGTAGGCCTCCTCTTAACAAACTCCTCCAAATCCGCCTTCGTCGCAACACCCAACACAAACTTTCTAGTACCATCTGTAACAACCGCAAAGCCCTGTTTCTCCCGCTTTTCTCCATTCCCCCCAATCTCACTCTCAAAGAACTCCTCCAATTCCTCCAATGGCGTCTCCATAGTGATGACTCGATATATTCCCCGCTTGCGGTTGAAGCGCTGCATAGCCGACGAAACTGTCTCTGATTCCTTCACTGTTCCATCTTGGAGTAGTTTCTTGAGATGCGGGATGCTGAGGTATCCGATGAGAGAGCGGGTTGAGGAAATGACGGTAAGGTGGGTGTAGTCGCGTTCGTAAGCGGCGAGGAGGGCGGAGGAGATAGAGTCCTTAGGGGAGATGGAGAGGGCTGGCGGGGGGTCTAGGTCTTCAACTGTGGCCTATCGATATCCCGTTAGTATGTCTTTAATTTTTCGCATGTGTCAGTGCAGAGGGGCATACCCCGCGGTACTTGTCCGCCCAGCATCCCTGGGGAACCTTTGCAGTATCGGCAGATTGCTGCTGGGCGAGCGCCTCGCTTGCAACATACGAGGCCATATTGTCGTGTGTGTAGTGTAGTGTACTAATATGCGTACAGAGTCAGAGTGGTTGACAGGTGACAGTTGAGTTTGCCATTTTTGGATCAGGTCCACCGGATCGGGATCGGCGTGCTCATCGGATAAACGACCCACCGTCAGTGATCTTTCTACTTTGTACGTACTCTTTCAATACTACTGGGATATCAATGGCAGATAGGGTCAATTGAAGGGTTGCTCTTTATATATGTTCAATTGCTATGGTACTTGTTATGTGCTTGTCGGCGTTTAACATAAATAGCAAAATGTCAGGACCGCCGGAGAGTCGCCAGATATATTTCTTACATGAGCACTAGTCTCAGAGCTGGCACATGATCAGAAAAGCACAGCTAATCAAATGACTCAATCAATGGTCCCCATTATCGTCCCTTGTTCTTCTCGGAAAAGAATCCAGGTACATACGTCATGCATTTTTAAATACGAGGCTTACTCGGATGGGGCGGCATGCATGCCCCGTCACCTCTCAATTATAACTATCAACACTCACGCAGATACATCTCTATACTCACTACCAGGTATTCAAGATGTTACCATCCGAGAATACAGTTACTACTATCTTCCCCAATCCTCTGCAGCACAAGATGCAACCATCAGACCCCGCCCCCACGAAGCGTCAACCCTTCCCAGCCTGGAGCGCGATTGAAGAAACCAAGAAAGCCACCAACGCCGTAGCCTCCGAAGCAGCCCGGGAATTTGACCTCGCCAGCCAAAAAGCGCAATCCAAGACCGGGCATATCGAGCCATGGAGTGGGAAGTATTATGCGGCGTGTACGTTTGGTGGATTGTTGGCTTGCGTGAGCACCTCCCTACACCCTGTCGGGACGGAAAGGAAAAGGCTAATTGAGTAGGGCTTGACACATACCGCCGTGACGCCGTTGGATTTGATCAAGTGTCGACGACAGGTTGATGCGAAGCTGTATAAGAGTAACTTGGAGGCTTTTAGCAAGATTCGTGCTGTGGAGGGCATGAGGGGTGTGTTTACGGGTTGGAGTCCGACATTTTTTGGATATAGCGTGCGTGAAATCATTCTATCTAATTGTCTATGCTGACGAGAACAGGCCCAAGGTGCTTTCAAATACGGCGGATACGAGTACTTCAAGAAATTCTACAGTGATCTCGTCGGTCCCGAGAAAGCTGCACAGTGGAAGACGTCATTGTACCTTGCCGCTAGTGCATCAGCTGAATTGATCGCGGATGTTGCGCTGTGTCCATTCGAAGCTGTCAAGGTGCGCACGCAGACGACGATTCCGCCGGACATTCGTGGAACCTTTACTGGTCTGGCAGATGTCATCTCAAAAGAGGGTTATGGCGGGTATGTCACCATCCCCCGGTATTTTAACCAGATACTAATAACACCAGTCTGTACAAGGGTCTATACCCCCTCTGGGGCCGCCAAATCCCCTACACAATGATGAAATTCGCCTCGTTTGAAACCATCGTCGAGAAAATCTACTCCTACCTCCCGGGCCAGAAATCCGACTACAACAAAGGCGCGCAAACCGCAGTCGCTTTCGGCGGTGGTTACCTGGCTGGTATTCTCTGCGCGGTGATCTCGCACCCGGCGGATGTAATGGTGAGTAAATTGAACGCGGGCCGGAAGCCGGGCGAGGCGTTTGGGGCTGCCATGGGCCGGATCTACAAGGACATCGGGTTCGGGGGGTTGTGGAATGGATTGTTTGTGCGAATAGTTATGGTTGGAACTCTGGTATGTCCCCCATCCCCCAATCCCAAACATCGAGGGAGCTAACGAGTACTCCGTAGACCGGCCTTCAATGGATGATCTACGACTCATTCAAAATCTTCATGGGCCTCCCGACAACCGGTGGCGGCCAAGAAAAGCAGGCAAAATAGACACGTATAACTAGAGGGGGGATAAAACAGTATACTCTACCCTACCCTGAGTACGGAATTGTAGTTAGTCGATACATTCATGTCACTTTCAATCTAAAGTAGGGGATAAACACTCCCGTTCCTATCAGTAAACCTAAAGTACATGCTCCGAACCAATCATACCGCTTTATCAGATCCCTATCTTATCAGTTCCGGAGTCGACGTCATACGTATCCTCGTGATTGCTGCTCGTATAAATAGTTATCGTTGTCGCATTCCTGTGTGTAGAGGTTTCTTACTTGGAGTGGTATATATTCGAACTTGCTGCATCTTGTTCATATACTTATATACAGTGCAACCGAGCACAGAAACGAACAGCATCTTATCAGATACCCCATACCCACACCCAGAACTACTAACTATACACAGCGATAACAATGGGCGAACGCGACAACGTAAAAACCCACACCCACATCCCATCCCTCGACTCACGACCTCATAACGAGCGGAATGAGCCGATTGTTTCGCATGGCCGAGGAGGTATGGAGTACTCCATACAAGATCCCCAAATAAAATACCACATGCAAGGAGGACTAACGATGAGCAGGGAAAGGAAATATAGCACCGGATCCAACGCCGTACGTCCTCCCCGGATACCCCTCTAGAATATGGAGAATACTGATAAGAGGGAATGCAAGATACGTCGACGCCGCTATCGTCCGCGAAGGACCGTATGGTGATCAAGGCGATGGTGCTTATTCCGCTGGTGTACGTCCCTGTCCCTACCCTCTGTACCCGGATTGCGCTACCCTTTCTACATTCTTCATACATACCCTGCGCATTCTCACTAACGGTGCCGAAACGATAGCGCGGCGGAGCAGGAAACATCAACTCCCAACACGTCCCCCCAACATCCAACGTCCCGCACGATGCCGTCGTCGTCCCCGAGCCCGCGATTGTACCGGCTTCCGGTGAGGGGGATTTTCATGTTGGCGTACGTTCCCTTCCTTCTACTCCCCTTGATCAGGACTGGTGAAGTTAATGGTGAGCAGCGCGGAGGCCAAGGAAACGTGTACCTGGACAAGGAACACGCCAAGGAGAAAGAGGAGAAAAAGGAGGAGAGGAAACGGGTTGGGATGAGCTTGTTGGATAAGGTGAAGCATTTGTTTGGGTTTGGGAAGTAGACTTCGATTATTCCAAGTTAACGATTACGAGTATGCGTGATGACGAGCAAAACTCATGACATATACTATTCGGTGCTATTAACAGTAAAGCAGAACTAAACTATCCGTATATCGATCGTAACCTCGTAAGCATAACAATAAGTGATAAAATAGCCATATATCCCGTGTCCATCCTAACCATACCAGACGCATAACCATGACAGAAAGAAATATTAAATCCGCGAGTATTAAACATAAACAAGAATGAGATTAGCAGTACAATCAAATCAAGACTTGCTGAATTTCCGCTTAAACCAGCTCTTGCGCTTACCGCTGCCCGCACTGGCTTCCGAGTCATTCGTCGCCTTGCGCAGATGCCGCCGGTTACCCATAGCCGCAGCTTGCTGACCACCAACCGGTCCTCCAGCGCTGGGATCTGACGCTGGTGCCGAACCAAAGACGTGTCGCGGAGCCGGTGGTGCCATTGGTTGTCCAATTGGCTGGTCATACCCAGGTCCTCCCTTGCCCTGTTGCTGTTGCTGTATTTGTTGTTGCTGCTGCTGGAGCTGGTCGATAGAACTGTTCACAGAGCTGGGATCGGTACCATTGTACGGTTCAGAGTGGCTTCCTGACCCGGATCCTGAGCCCGTCGGGGTGATGTTATCGTACGACCCGTTTTGATGGCCGTTCTGGTAGCTGTTTTGGTGGCCATTCTGTGCGTAGGCGTTGCGCGGGGTGCCGTAGGACTGGTTGGAGGTCATGCGGGGATGGCGCGGACGAGGAGGATGGGTGTTCTGGTGGTAGGGGTAGTAGTTGTTGGGTTGGTTGTGGTCATTGTAGCTGCCGCGACGGGAAGGGTGTGCGTTGGCTCCGAAGTAACTCGTGCGACGGCTGAAATCACCTGGTGATGGCTCGTCGCCTGTATTCGTTAGCGATTGGTCAGGCTGTCATGGGGCATGGCAGTGTACTTACCAGTTCTCACAAACGAGGTAGGTCGGCTGGCGTTGGCGTTGGCGTTGGCGTTGTTGCTGGCGTAGGTTCCATCGATGGCGATTTCGAAGGATCGAATAGTATCCAGAGGACGTTCGAGCCGAGGACGAGTGGGATTGGAGTGGTCAGGGTCGGCTGTAGAGTCACAGAGTTAGTTGAGTCGCTAAGCAGTCAAAACGAAAAATATACCGATGAGATTCCCATGCTGATCCTTGTGCACCATGCCGCGCAAATTCCCCAGATTCGACTTTTCAAGCGCGACCGCCACTGAAGAATTTATTAGCGACTAAAAAGATAGTGTGGTTGTGTTGAGTGAAGAAAGGCGTACTTGGCTGCAATTCACTCATGGCCAGCGTCGGATCAGCCTTGGTCTGTAAATTCCGCCTCTGCTTTTCCTCGGGACTTTCCGCAAGAGCGACTCTGTTGGCAGAAATGCTGGAGCGATTCGACTTGGAAGATTTGCTCCCGAAACTGAAACCGCGATTTTGTTTAGACATTTTGGCACTTCTTTAGGGGACCCTTATTTATTTATTGTTGTTTCGGCAAACGCCCTGTTGGTCTTAGTGTCCGATAGCGTGTTCGGCCGTTGGGGAACCAGGATGAACTAGTCGGAAGGTCTTAGTTACGGCGAAGTTTATGTTGAAAACGAGAGCAAGTGTGGATGCCAGTGTGACGAGCTGAGAGAAAGTGACTGTCACCGCAAAAACATTCGAGTTGGCAGAGACTATGATAATCCTGCAAGACGGCAGCGATCGACAGTAGACGGGATGCTGTACTATGCAGGTAGTAAGTAGTAGACAACGAGAGACTGTACAGTGTACACAATGCCAGAGAAAGATGAAAGAAAAAAGACAAAGAGATGGCAGATCCGAGGTAGATATCAGATGAATAAAAATTCAATTGTATTCGGCGTTCGTCCAGTTGACGCCATGTGCCACGCAATGAGGGGCGGTTCATCAAGGACAGCGCATTTACTACAGCCCGCGATGTTGATCAGATATTGATCATTTCTCTTATCTCTCTAGTTGTCTATTGATATATTACTCCATATACTACCCCGTGTAAAGTATTATATTCTATTTTATCATGGCTATAATTCTCTCTTCATCTCTATATACAAATACTGGAACGAGAGTAAAAAAAAAAAAAAAAAAAAAAAACTAAAAATACCTTTATGTGTAAGACAGTCTCAGCTCTGATTGGCTGACTGCCCATCCGCCCGGTCCAGCCACAAATAGACTATACTATGATTGGTCCGGGGGCCCCGGCCGATCCGTGGGTCGTGTCGAAGTGCTGACTAACTCGGTATTCACTGGTCACTTTACGGAGGTGATACTGTGATTATAGGAGAATTAGAACAGATTAGTAGAGTAGAGTAGAGTACAGAGTAGAATGTACTATTTTCTTGATTGATTGGCTGATACATAGGAAAATTCGCCGTTGAGCTGTACGAAAAGTGTGAAGTGCAAGTGCCGAAGTATTTTGCATACGCCTGCATAACTTTATGCGCGGTCAGGTACAATCTATTGTTGCATCGATCGATTCACGAAGGTACTGATGGTATCCGTATATAGTAGTACTATGTCTGCAAATACAGTGTCTGTACTCACATACACCAACTCCATACTTTATATCAGATCAACCATATCAATGGAAAGATCTACTCCATACTGTGGGTCAGCACTTAATTAATCCAGAGTCAGAACTCAATCCAGCTTACGCTTGGCAGTAGCTGATCCTCTGTCAACTTCTCCCGGTCCCAGTACAGAATCATCCGGCTTTCTCTGGACCTTCTTTGCTGCTCGACGACGGAACACATGTCGACTGTCCAGAAAGATATTATCAATCGTCTCTAGATGGAATGCTCTCGTCCCGGGAAAGAGAAAATATACCATTGAGTAGCTGTAATCTGCGTCCGGACGGCGAATGGGGCAATTTCTGAGCAGTATAGATAAGTGAGGCCAATGTAGCCCGTCACGTAGAAGAAGGCGTAAAAAAATATGAATGCCACAGCTGCATGCACGGCGATATGGTTGTCTGGCTGCGAGATGCAGCCGTCCATTACGGCCATGCAAATGCCCATGCCGGCGAAGGAGGGGATGAGGAGTTTGCGTCGGCCGGCTTTGGCGACAGTTAGGGCTCCAAAATGGCTGATTGGGATTTTCCTGTGCACTCATTAGCTCGGTTAAGCACGGGCGTGAGACACAGGGGGAAAGGGGTACCAAGAAAAGAGAACTGCAGACATGAGCAACACCATCTTCCTGTTCATCCCCAGAAACTGCTTGGATATAGTTGACTGGTAGAACGTGATGGCATTTTGTCCACACATCTGCTGCGCCATTTGCGTTGCAATCGCAATAAACGCCTGACTTCCAAACCGCGCTGGTCCACTATGGAAGATATCCCAAAACAATCCCCGTCCGGTTTCTTGTAGGGAGGTTTCGATTTCCTCGATTTGATGCAAAACCCGTTCACTCGTGGTAAGCTCATCTAGGAAGATGGAAAGGATGTCGCGCGCCTGGATGATCCGGTCTTGTTTTAATTAACCATCGAGGCTGCAGTCAGCCATTGCAGATATGTGACCGGTGGTCACTTTTTTGCCTCAGAGGCCGAATTCTGGTTTCATTTTGGTTGTTGTCGGAGGAAGAGCTTGGATCAACTGCTGTGAGGACTCGAGTCAAGAGAGGTAGATATACTACCCCATACCGACTACCCCTCTCAATACCCCGGACTTCACGTACCCCAGCATTCATCCCGGGACATACCTATTATATGCGAAAGCAGAGCACTAGCAGGGAGAATACGGAGTGCGGAGTCCACATCAGCATCTCTGCATCTGCTCCGTACATATCACATCTGTATACCGGACACGAGTTAAGCTTTAGCTTTATGCATTCTGTACGGCGCATATCATTGAAGCTTGATTTTGCATGTCGTTCTCCGCCAGGTACAGGCATATCCGATGCAACCCCGCAATACTAAGCGGAGGATATCTGTAGCACTCATATAGGCCGGGTCTGCATCGTTGTATATGCATCGAGATAGTCCATGGCCAGAACTTGTGGTCGAGGAGGATGTAGGGTTTGCTCCAAGAGCTCTAGTCGGAGCTCCATAGGGTGCTAGCCAGAAATGATATCAGATATTCATCGTTGGTGTTGTATTCTTTTCAGTCCTGGCTAGACTGCTTTATACAAGTCACGCCACTTCAATGACGCCTTCAATTGTTTTCTCATTGACCGCGCTGGACCCCTTCGCATGTGTCCTCACCTGTCCCGGATGTACTTGTAGTGCATAGTCAGGGCTTACTGATCGATGGACCAATTGGCCGACAACTCGAGTCTCGCTTATAGCAAGTAGATCGTCCATTCTGCGGGAAACAACCGTAGCCAAGGCAGTAATTGACCCGGTTTGCATAAGACACCGTTGCAGACGCGTGTGTGCAGTGCTGTTGACTCATAGCACGGCCAGCAGCGAGCTAGACTAACCACGCTCGTTTATTCATTCTGCAGTTAAATGGCATAAGAGGTACATCGACAAAGCAAAACAGGGCTCAGCTGCCTTTTGACCGCTACATCCCGTCCATACAGAGTCCATTCTGAGTGGTCTATTCTCCCAGCGATATTAGGGGAATCCGTTTGGCGAAATCATGATGCCATGTTGTCTGATATGCTCTGATCTGTGTCGAATTGGTTGCTTTTCTGCGTTGCAGATATGTCGTCTTTGGTTATCCGATGGGATGTAGATCGCTTTCTGATGTGTCAGTTATATGAAGAAAGAATAATGATGGCAGTGATGATGTTCAAAGTAAAAGTAGAGGTATATTTTGTGAGGGGAAGAGGTGGTTTCAATTATTGTGTTCGGCCTGGATCAAGATATATATGTTGCGGGTTAGGGTCAGGGCATTTTATAACACAAACCCTGAACAAGCTAATAAGTTTCATTGACAATAAACATTAATATATCTTGTATCCCTCGCTATCTGCTTATTTGTTCAATGTCCACTGTCGAGTCGTAGGACCTGGTCAGTCCCATGATCCTACGGGGCGTTCGTTCCCCGGAGAAGTGGAGAACGGGCTTGGTCTGGGGTATCGCTTAGCGACAGACGCTGAGTGGGCACATGGTGGCTACGTAGAATGCCAGAGGTACCGGCTTATGCGCATGGTGCGGGTTCGAGTTGTGTTGTGCTACTTTTGTGGGTGCATGCGAGGCCTTGTTCTACGACAGAATATGCGTATTCCAACCATGGGTTCTGGGCAATTCGGTGCATCAGGAAAATGGGTTGAACGATGGGGACGTAGGACGTATAATGGTAGCCTCAAGCGCAGGTGTTGAGTCGCTTCGAGAATGTAGTCGGAGTGATTCGACTGGCGCAGGCGGTGCTTATCGAAATATACTTCATAGGATACGCCTGGACAGTTGATGGACGGATTGGTTGTAAATCGTCAAATACACATGGGGAGGAAGCCATGTTTGTCAGACAGACCCAATAGAGTCCATCCAAACAAGCCCTTCTCGAGCTGACATTGCTGACATTATAAAAAACACCATAAATGAAAGGGTCAAGGGGGATCAATCAAGTTCAGAAAAAAGAAGAAAAGAAGTTTGCTTTTTCTTTTATTCGTTAGGCTTTGACGGCCCTGCCTCTCCCACGAACGTAGTAATAGTAGATATCAACCCGCCAAACTCCATCGCCTCAACATTTTGGTCGGAATTCGTACCGTTCGACTCCTTGGCCCGACTGTCTGCGCGAAGTTTCTCGGAGTGCCCACTGATACATAAAACCGTAGAATTTGTTTAGATGTTGGAGGGGTAGAGCATGACGCGGACGGAGGCACCGAACGACTGGGGAGGGAGGTTGTGGCGGAACTGAGCGCGGACAACACCGGAGTTACCTGTACATTGTTAGTTCTGCCCGTTATATCCTTCTCTTCTGCCAGTTATGGCGCTAGACATACCGTGCGACCGAGTAACCTTGCCCCAGACCACCCGGATGTTGGAGCCCCGAACCTCACGCTTTGCCCGGTAGACGAAAGCAACCTTCTTGCCCAAGTAGAAGCTATCCATCGTTTAGCCATATGTTCCCTTCGAAAGAGTCCTCCGCGGTACTCACTTGGCGGCGTCAGTGTTGTCAACACCGTCGATCTTGATCAGACTTGTGTTAGGGTTGACCTGGTGCTTCGAGCGCTGGTAGCTCAGGTGACGACCCCTGGTGAAAGAATCGCGTTAATCGTTGTTCTCGTAGTTTCGTTTCGATGTTCTCGTTTCCCCCAAATGACTCCAATCCGTGTGATATCCACCGTTTGTGCGCGACATTGAGCGACGTAAAACAATCAGGAATAACTTACTTAACGTAAACTGCAATCGAAAAAGAAAAACGAGTTAGCACATTCTGACAATAATCCAGTTCCCATCGCGCGCTTTTCAAATTCCCAAATGTTCCTTCTTTATAGTTCCCAGGTTCTCCGACCGCGCCATAACCACCATATCCAAATCAAATATCAGGATCTCACTCACGTCTGTGACCGTGTTCCGAAGGCATTTTGACGGCTTTTCTCTGAGCAACAGCGGGCAACAAGGGAGAAAAAGAGAGGCAGAAATGACCCGCAAAAAGTCGTCCGGGTTGTCGTGGTTGTCGTCTCGCTTCTGATTCGGAGTATTGAGGTACGACCGCACAATGTTCAATTTGCGAGGGTGTGTTCGGGCGCGGCTCGCCCTAACCCCAAACGGGTTGCTTAGCGAGCGGATCAGTAAGGGCTAGTTGAGGTCCCGTGATGGGCTCCAGGCTATTCCGCTTATGGTTAGCGGCGGAGAATTTAATTATCCCCTTCCGGATTGATTCTTCAGGTCTTATCGTTATCGCTGATTTCCCCGCCCTGATATCGAAGCTTATCGGATTGATATTCGGAATTGTTCCCGCTGTGCAGATGGCTTTAAGGTTTCTACGGAGTATGTACACGAATTACCCCTGGGGTAGGTACCAAATCCTTGAAAATTAAAACAAAATACAGCGCACTCTGCAGTCGAACCTGAGTATGCAGGTAGCTGTCTTTAGCGGTAATCCTGCCAGTTTAAAATAAGCATGCCGGCCATCAATTAGCCGCAATGGCTGGATTGCCAACTTTTCCTGCATTTAGCCGCGAGTATCAATAAGCGTTGGTTTGGCCCCTCAACCATAGTGATCTGCGGACAGAGGATTGCCATTTGTCGGGGAGATCTTGAAACATTCCGAAATGCCATACACCGAGTAGAGCACGGTCAATGGATGACAACCAAGTGACAACCGCTTTCATGAAGCAGAACATCGTGGTCAAGACCCTGTTCAAAGTAGTACTCGGAACATGTACCGCTGCGTATGATACCAGGGTCCCTGGTCTTTGGTCGGACAAAGTGCGATTCTCCTGCTCGGGACAGGCAAAGTGCTTCCAGCTACCAAGTTGGGATAACTGCATCGCTGCACTTAGGATCTGCCGGTTAATTCCAGGAATCCTTCCCTGGCGCTAAGCTAGGAATGCTGGATAATTTCATCCTATGCACGGGGTGGTGTAACTGATTGCAACGGTGTACATGACACCAGTGTAAATTGGAGAAACAGGTTCTGCTCACTACGAGAAAGGGAGAAAGATTCTTCGCTTCGATCCGAGCGTTACTGCAGAGTCCAAGTGATGGCGGAATGACGTATCCAGAATGTACACCTAAGGCTCCGCCACGTGACCCCTCCGGCAAATCAGAGTGGGTGGCGGAGGACAGTCGACCGACTGGCAACGGCGGCAAATGGACTCTCAGACCGAAAGCCTTGATTGGGAAGCCCGTTTTCTTCTTCTTTTTTTCTGCTGCCCCACTATATGATTATCCGTACGGTATGTATCGTTGATGACAGGTTTGTACGGCGGACGGTCCAGGGAAACGGTATAGGATAGAGTACGGAAGAGTAGGGCAAGCGTCTTATCGGTGGCATGCCCGCCATAGGGTCCTCCGGTACGGAGTACAGAGCAATCAGTTGACTCCGATCGACCCAGGCCCGAATGCTGACAGTCCACGGGAAAATAGAATCCGTATGGTGTCGTTGGGGCCGATGACAAATGCCCGTCCATCTCCATTGCCTACTCTGGGTTTCGGAGGGGTTATCGGCATGAGAGCAGAGGCCGCAGAACGGAGGGGAGAAGAAAGTGCCCGGAGCTGGCGAGTCCGTCTTTATATACAAAGGAGAGTGTCTTATGAGAACGGGATGATCTCCGTGTATCAGGATACGTATGTATGTATCTGTATGCAATTCAGTCATGTAGAGTGGTGTATTATTAGTGAAGCCGTGTGTTCCGCATAGGAGGGAGTGTTGTCCTCCGATACTGACTCTGCTCTGTACTTGCAGGGTACGGACAATACTTCTACATTTATTTTTGCTACGGGGTACGGTAAGCATAATGCTTTTCTCGTCCGAATCATCCCTGCAATAATCTAGAAGCGGCGACAGCTGAATATGCGCGGGGTCAGCAAACACCTACAGCATACAGATACGGATACTCCGTACATAGGAGGACAGGTCAATACTGGACATTCTCAGTACGTATAGAGATAGCGTCACTTCTGGTCCCGGTGGAGTATCCGCTGGAACCTTTGAAATCAGTATGACTGTGTCAGTATTGGCAGTATTGAACTGAAATTCATGTATTCTGGGAGTAGAGTTGAGAAAAGATAAAGCAGTGAGCATCTACTTTTGAATATCTTTTACAACATTCTCATAGAACTAGATAAATACAAAATGATATACTTGTAGGAGACAATAAGAGACCTCCGTAAGCGGCCCCACCCCTGCTCTTCGGCGTTAAAAAGTACACTTGCTCCGCCGGAACTGGTGGGAGACGCTCAACCTCTCTTCATTTCTTCATTTCCTCTCCTGATTTATTCTCTCTATCTGTTATCCCATTTTCTGTTGTTGTTTCTTTTCTTCCATTGTCGATATACATACCAAAATGGCCAGCACAATCACACGGTCTGACGAGCGCCAGAATGCTGGGTGAGTTTTTCTTTCCCTCTGCTCTCTCTCTGACATCACTGCCCGCGGTGCACCTTCCTCCCTATCGCCAGAAATCTGCGACTCGAGTGCGATTCCTCGAGGACATTCAATCATGAACGTCGTCGCTGCTGCCTTGTTGCTTTAGGGTTCTTGTTGAATTTTCTTCTATTATTGTTTTCTTGCTGCTGCGTCGACTCGATATCCCATCAAATTTCCTCATCGTCTGCCCCGCTGTTGAATCACCACTTCGTCCATTCAACCGCGCATCATGGCTAACCAGTGGATTGCCAACATCAGCACCATTGAGCTCAAGGACAACACCGTCATTGTCGTCCTAGGTGCCTCGGGTGATCTGGCGAAGAAGAAGACTGTATGTTCATCCCCTACCCCTCATCCCCGCATGGGAGACAATCAGATTGAAGATCACTAACCATATCCACAGTTCCCTGCTCTCTTTGGTCTCGTATGTGATTGAGATACCTATACCTAAAGGAAACCGACCTGACAGCCATTAACCTATTCGCAGTACCGCAACAAATTCCTTCCCAAGGACATCAAAATCGTTGGATATGCCCGGACAAAGATGGACCAGGAGGAATACCTTAAGCGTGTGCGATCCTACATCAAGGTCCCGACCAAGGAAATCGAAGAGCAGCTCGACAGCTTCTGCAAGCTCTGCACCTACGTTTCCGGCCAATATGACCAGGACGACTCTTTCATCAACCTCAACAACCACCTCGATGAGGTCGAGAAGGGCCAGAAGGAGCAGCACAGAGTCTTCTACATGGCTCTGCCCCCCAGTGTTTTCATCACCGTCTCCGACCAATTGAAGCGCAACTGCTACCCTAAGAACGGTCTCGCCCGTATCATCGTACGTCGCCTTGTCTCTCCCCTTCGCAGGATACGGTGGAAACGGTTACTCATGATTCGTTTCCAATAGGTCGAGAAGCCCTTCGGTAAGGACCTGCAGAGCTCGCGCGACCTCCAAAAGGCCCTCGAGCCCAACTGGAAGGAAGAGGAAATCTTCCGTATCGACCACTACCTGGGTAAGGAGATGGTCAAGAACATCCTCATCATGCGCTTTGGCAACGAGTTCTTCAACGCTACCTGGAACCGTCACCACATCGACAACGTTCAGGTATGTTTGCAATGAGTGCCGCAAGTCAAGTGTGCATGCGCTAATTCGTCAATAGATCACATTCAAGGAGCCATTCGGTACTGAGGGCCGTGGTGGTTACTTCGATGAATTCGGTATCATCCGTGATGTTATGCAGAACCGTATGTTTGATGTGCCAGCCTATCGATCAATAATGGAACAGCACTGACTCTAGACCAGACCTTCTGCAGGTGTTGACCTTGCTCGCTATGGAGCGCCCCATCTCTTTCTCCGCTGAGGACATTCGTGACGAGAAGGTCCGTGTCCTGCGTGCGATGGACGCTATTGAGCCCAAGAACGTCATCATCGGTCAGTACGGCAAGTCGCTCGACGGCAGCAAGCCCGCCTACAAGGAGGACGACACTGTCCCCAAGGAGTCTCGTTGCCCGACCTTCTGCGCCATGGCCGCCTACATTAAGAACGAGCGGTGGGATGGCGTTCCCTTCATCATGAAGGCCGGAAAGGGTAAATTCATAGCTTTGTCTCTGATATGATCATCGCTAACTGGCTTCTAGCCCTCAACGAGCAGAAGACCGAGATCCGTATCCAGTTCCGTGACGTGACCTCCGGTATCTTCAAGGACATTCCTCGTAATGAGCTTGTCATCCGTGTGCAGCCCAACGAGTCGATTTACACCAAGATGAACTCCAAGCTGCCTGGTCTCTCCATGCAGACCGTTGTCACCGAGCTTGACCTCACCTACCGCCGCCGCTTCTCCGACCTTAAGATCCCCGAGGCTTACGAGTCGCTGATCCTCGACGCCCTCAAGGGTGACCACTCGAACTTTGTCCGTGACGACGAACTCGATGCCAGCTGGAGAATCTTCAGTCCTCTCCTTCACTACCTCGACGACAACAAGGAGATCATCCCCATGGAATACCCCTACGGTATGTTTCCGCTCCTGTCCTTGGATTTAACTGAACACTGAACTGACAAATTTTTAGGCTCCCGTGGCCCCGCTGTGCTCGACGACTTCACCGCATCATTTGGATACAAGTTCAGCGATGCTGCTGGGTACCAGTGGCCCATGACCTCTGCTCCTAACCGGCTGTAGAGGAAGTGCGACAATTAATGAAAAATGAAAAAAAGTAATGTCGATTACACGTTTTTTTCTCTTATGGCATGACGACGGAATCTGGGTCGATATGACGACAATGAAGGACAGTTCTTTTCGAGGGTGGACGGCCGGGCAATGATATCTCTGTTTCTTGTTTTATAAGCCAGTTTTTAGAAACGAACACGGAAGTTATGAACACCACAATTATTCCATAAATAGATTGTGGCCTGAGGCAGACATGCTCCTTTCGGAAAGACGACGGACAATTTTGACACGGCCAATCGGCAAGTCGGATTTGCTGACATAACCTGGTCAATTCCGAATGCAATTGTATACCAATGTCTGATCTACTCTTAAGTATTGTAGAGAATTGTATGAATTGAAGTGTTAGATGTACTTGTATGTCAACCACATGGCAGCACCCTGTCAATCACCTTCCACGGCGGGTCGGATTGCTGCAGGGCACGAAATTAACAGCATCAAATGACGGCCCGGGGGCCCGCAGTGCTTATGGTGTTGTGTCTCGGCTTGTCCTTTTTTCTCTCCCCTCGATTGTTCTACAGAGCGTCCTTTTATGTCCTCCTGTCCTTCTCTCCCTTCTTTCTTCCCTGACTGATTGTTTTTTTCCTGCGACACCTATTGAAACGGTTGAAACAATAAGTCACTGCCTCTAATCTCCCGCAGACCTCTGCCTTGCGACGCACGTGGATTATTCTCGACCGCGGCTGTGTTTTGCATGGCGATTTCGTCTGCCTGCTGACGTTTGCATCCTTTCAATTGACCCTTTATTCCCTTCTCTCAATACTCGGTTTTTCAAATATCCGAATACAATTCCCCTTCATCGTCGTTGTTCTCCATCGTCGAGCATCGCCCTCAGATCGACCAATATTGGATCTCCACATTCTAGGACCCTGAAACCTCCGCAAAATCTGGAGAAGACCCCTCGTCATAAACGCGAAACGGAAATTGCGCACGAGACCACCACTATACCACGAAATCGAGTGATATACAGTGTTGGAAAACGGTTATTAAGTGCATGCCGGCACCCAGGGAAGCAAGATGCCGCAGGCTGCAAGATGGGTGGGCACGCCGTCAATTAAGGGACGGAATGAGTCCGCGCGTATGGCTCTGTTGACGTTCAGTTTGTTGGGTTTACAGTGCGTATTCTGGCCTTTGATTGTCTTTAGACGGAATTCTGGTGTGTTGATGTGGCAATGCTGACTCCATTGCGACAGATTTACCTGGAGTATTGAGATGACATGTACGTCGCCCATTCCACGCTTCCTAATCTTCAGCTTTTCTAACTGGTGATTTCGCGGGATAGACTGTACCCCGTACCTCCTTCAGCTTGGTCTCACCAAGTCCCGAACGTCGCTTGTGTGGATTGCCGGTCCTCTCTCGGGTTTGGTCATCCAGCCTCTGATTGGAGTTATCGCAGACCGATCTCGATCGAAATTTGGGAGACGCAGGCCATTTATGATTGTGGGTTCGTTTATTGTCGCTGCGTGTTTGCTGTTGCTGGGATGGACGTCGGAGATTGTCAACGCGTTCGTCAAGGATCCGGAGAAGGTATGCTTGGCTGAACTTCTATGATTTGGATGGGATTGACAGTTTGCAGTCCCAGAGTGCCACAATTGCTCTTGCGGTTTTGAGTATTTATGCCGTTGATTTTGCGATCAATATCGGTAGGTCTCCCAAAAATTTCTACTCTGGAACGTTCTGACACCGTACAGTACAAGCATGCTGTCGCAGTTTGATTGTCGACACATTACCCATTCCATTACAGCAATCCGGATCAGCATGGGGTACGTCTTCCTAACAGACACAAGAACTAAGCTAACAACGTGAAGCGGGCAGAATGTCGGCCATTGGACAGCTTGTTGGCTATGGTGTCGGCTCAATCGACACGGTCAGGATACTCGGTTCTTTTATCGGTGATACGCAATTCAAGCAGATGACGGTAATCGCGGCACTCTTTCTGATCGGATCTGTCCTGGTTACGTCGTATTCGGTGAAGGAGAGAATCTTGATCACAGCAAGGTAAGACTTGATGACAAACACGATGTATGGGCGCAGCTGACCCATAACAGGGATAGTGATGGCGAAGCAGGCGCCATGCAGGTAATCTCTCAGCTACTCAAGACCACCATGGAGCTCCCACCCCGCATTCAAGCTATCTGCTGGGCCCAATTTTGGGCTTGGATTGGCTGGTTCCCGTTCCTCTTCTACAGTACGACCTGGGTTGGCGAAACGTACTTCCGGTATGAAGTGCCCAAAGGAACGACTCAATCAGACGATATTCTTGGTGAAGTTGGTCGTATTGGCAGTCTGTCGCTCGTTGTATTTTCGTCAATCACATTTATCGGATCCGTTATCTTGCCGTTCTGCGTCCAATCGCCCGATCACAAACGATCGAGATTTACTCCGCGTCCACCACCAGGAGTCGCAGCGTTGCTAACGAAGATTACGGCAATTCGACCTGATCTCCAGACGACGTGGTGGATGTCGCATTTTGTCTTTGCGGCAACGATGATTATGGCGCCGTTTGCGCGATCTCGCGCCTTTGCAACAGCGTTAGTCGCAGTGTGTGGTGTCCCATGGGCCGTGACCTCCTGGGCGCCATTCGCGTTTATGGGCGTGGAAATCAACAAACTCGCCATGGACCCTTCTTTGACCGCGCGTTATTCCGGTGTCCAAATGATCACCTCATCCAGCATCCGCACAGGCAATTATGCAGACCCAAACACAGACACAGAAATGGACGTACTCCGTCTAAACCACCACCATGACGTGGACAGTGATTCAGACGACGAAGACCCAACCTCCAGCGTCCCGTCCACCGGTGAACTCGCCGGAATCTACCTTGGCGTGCTAAACGTCTACACAACCCTCCCCCAATTCGTCGGCACATTCATCAGTTGGATCGTATTTAGCATCCTAGAACCAGCAAACGCCAAACGCGACGACAACTCTCAGGAAGCAATGTGGATGAATCTGGATAAGAACTCGCCAAACGCTATCTCAGTGTGTTTATTTATCGGCGCGCTAAGTGCGTTGGTGGCTTCTGAAGCTACGAGAAGGATGAGATATGCGAGGTAGTGCATTTCCCTCCTCCCGGTTGAATTTCCTTCTGTTCGTCACGATGCATGTTATTCATCCATGATCTGTTGATACCCGATGAGTACTGCAAGTTATGGATATACGATAGTACTCCATGTATATTACTAGCCCTAATAATATAATCCTTACGTCAGTCTTGTCTCATTCCATAGGAGTACTTATTACTCTCCATCTAGCTAGACTTCACTTATATAACCGATTCAAAGAAGCCAGAAACAGAATGCCCAAGCCAAAATTCCTCATCGTCCTAACCTCCCAGGACATGATCCCAACCAACCGCGCAACAACCGGCTGGTACTTGGTACCCTCCCTCTCCCTCCTCCCTCGCCTTCAACCCAACCCAACCCAAACCACTAATTTTTCTAAATGGAAGTCCGAACTAGCCCACCCCTACACAATCCTCTCCCCCCACCTACATTTAACAATCTCCTCCCCCCAAGGCGGTGAAGCACCCTTAGACGCTGCCTCCGCCAGTCAACAAATCCTAGAAAACGATCCCGTGGCGCGAGAGTTTCTAGAGCAGAATCGTGGTCTTTGGACAAGGACGACTCCGTTACGGGAGGTTGTGTGTGGCGTTACGGAGGGGGAGTTTGTGGGTGTGTTGTTTGTGGGGGGGCATGGGCGTGCGTTTCCCCCCTCCCCCTCCCAGTATCTAGACTGCGTGTACTTCATGGTTATGGAGGGATATGTGCTGATAAATGACGAGAGAAGCAATGTACGATCTCCCCACGCACCCATCTAACCTCGCCATCCTGCAATCACTCGCCTCTACATCCAGTCCCGATCCAAAGGTCATCGCGGCAGTATGCCACGGCCCCGCTGCACTGCTGAACGCAACCACGCCCTCTGGCCTCCCGCTGCTTTCTGGTACCACGCTAACCGGGTTCTCAAACGAAGAGGAGGAAATAGTGGGAATGCATAACGTGTTGCCGTTTGAGTTGCAGACGGAGCTTGAGCGGGTTACTGCTACCGCTGCTGGTGGAGGTGGAGGTAAAGGAGGGTATGTGAAGGCTGACAAGGCGTGGGGGGAGAAGGTGGTTGTGTCGAGGAGTGCGGATACGGGGGCTGGGATGGGAGGGGCATTTGTGGTTACGGGGCAGAATCCGGCGAGTGCGGCTGGGGTTGCGAGGGGGGTTCTTGGGGTTTTGGGGTTGGGGTGATAGTGACTTGATCTAATATAAATATTACTTATATTACTTATTATAAGGTTAATGGAAAGTATAAATAATCAATGAATAAGGTTAAAGAGAAAAAAAACTTGTTAGCTAAATGCGTAAAATAACCACAATGAATCAATTAAATCAGACAACAGAAGGGGAATCAATCAAACAAGACAATTAAATAAAGTGCATCACAGCGTATATCGGGAGTCCTCACACAGTGTATGTGTAACTCGCCACGGGATATCTCGTTGTCACTCGAAGTAAACAAGAAATCAAACAAATAAAGACAAGATAGCGCTTTCGTAGATGGCACGTCGCGTATCTGTACAACATCAAGTAGAATCGAAAAAATGGATATCAGAGAGAAAGTAAGTGTTAAAGAACGGAAGCTAACGCGCAGCTTCCATGTTTCTGGTCAATTCGGCAACTCGTGCTTTGATTCGGGCAGCACGGTGTTGGTAGTCTGGCTACAGTCAGCGACATTCAGTCAGAATTTCAATGGTGTGCGCAACTTACTCTCCTCTTCACTGGTGTCACCATCATCATCAATAGCTCGTCTCGCCGCATTCTCGCGAATCTGCGCCCATCGGTCTTTGATTTCGGGGTTAAACCGGTTGCCATTCGCCGTGCCCTTGGGTGTGGTTTCTTCCTGAGTCTCCCGGGGTTCCTCTGCCTCATCCATCTCGGGCGAAACAGGCTCCCTCTCCGGAATGTTCTTGGAAACGGGCGACACGGGAGATTCTGGGACAAAGGCGGGTTGCTCCATCAAAGGCCCTTGATCAAATCGTGAAAACTCCTGGTCCGCAGCAACCTGCTCCTTTGTGTTCACCCGGGAAAGGCTCTCCTGCTGCTCCGGCTCCGGCTTAGACTCCGGAGAGCCATTCTGCGCAGGACTCTCAGCCTTGGGGGTGGACTCGCGCTCGGTTTCCGTGATCTCCACAACCTCCGGCGTCGCTGGCTTTTCTGGCGCTGCTGGAGTTGTGCCAGGAACGGGCTTCTTCTTCAAAACAGAGGGCCCGTTAGGCACTGGACGATTGGCGGGATCCTGTGATTGCTTGGCTTTGCTTTCCAGAGCTGCACGCGCAGCAGCAACAGCAGAAGTCTCTGCACCGGTTGGCTTCATTGGGGGCTTCGTCTCGGTTTCATTCTTCTTCTTTGCGAACATGCTCTTGAAGCTTGAGGCGACAGGCTTCTTCTTCAGCAGCTTCCTACTAGGATCATCCGTGGAATCCATGGATGCCTTGGGTTGCGATTCAGAACCAGATCGTTCCACTGCAGCGCTGGCGATACTGCCTGGCCGGCTGGCATCAGGTTGGTCTGCAGCGACCGCATTACTCTTGATAGAAGCTGGGGCAGCAGGAGAGCTTGGCGTCGGAGTGGTGTCCTCCTCGGGAATGGGTTCAGGGATCTGGCTAGGGGCCAGCGACACCGGTGTGCTGGGTTCGTCCACTGTCTGAGGATTTAGAGTGTCCGCTGACGCCCCCTTACCGGCATTGTTGTCGCCCAGATAAGCAGTGCGGAAGGCATTCTTATCCGTATGCTTATCGTAGTTCTTGGCCCACTTCATGGCATGAGAGGCCTCGTTCATAATAGAAGGCTGCAGAGTCATAACGGAGTTTGTCTTGGTCGATTTGGCTGCATCGGAACTGTCGACTTTGGTCGTGTTGGCATTTCCCTCCTGTGTCTGATCGCGATGCTTCTTTTGCAAAGCAGCCGCGGCGACCTGGATCCGGGCGTGCTGATCAGGGCCAATACTGGTCTTGCTTTGGGGAGCTGGGTTATCAGTCCGCTTGTAGGGCTCCCCTACCGGGGTCACCTTTTTGGCCGAAGATCTGCGACGGCTGAGTTTGCCCATGCGCGTCGATAGTCCGAAGAACCGTTTCTTCTCCACGATATACGCACCCACATCAGGCTCCGGAGCGGCGCCCCTGACTTGTTCCTCGAGAACGAGCCATTTGGCCCCATGGATGACCGTCTCGATCAACGCACAGCGACCAAAGACGGCCTTGCGGGTGGCCGGTTCCTCGCCTGCCAAGCTGCTGATCCAAACCCACCAGAACGAATCATCCAGTTCCAGACTGGCGATGCTGGCCAGCTCGCCCGGTCCAAGGTCGGGCTCCGACTCTAACGTCCGTCTGTGGGACTGCGAACTCATCCCTCGTCCCGTCGAGAGCGGCGGCAGGACCTTATCCGGGGGCAGGAGCAAAGGTGCCACAGGGGCCTTGAGGATGTTTTCATCTCCCGAGAAACCAGAGGACATGAAATCAGCCCACGAAGGGGTCGTTGGCCGACCGAGGTCTCCTCCGCTGGACTGGGGAGCGGATTTCAGGCCATTGCCAAACTCGTACTGGACCGTGCTGTCTTCGAGATCCGACTCCAGAGTGTTTCCGAATCCGATGTCTTCAAAGCGAGACCACGACTCGTCCTGGTTGGGGGAGGTCTTCTCTTTCGCGACTTCAGCCTGGTTGGTCGAGGCGATGCATTTCAGCACGCGAAAGCACTCGTCTGTGAGGGCCCGAATGGGGTCTTCGAACCCAGAGAACTCCTGCAGATGGCGATCGCTATCCCGATACTCAAAGTTCTTCGCACGTCGCAGGAGAGCAAAGGGGGTAGGGGAGACAGTATCGACGATCATGACAACCTTGGTGGTCGTCACCTGAAGCAGCGTGGGCGCCTCAGGCGGGTACTCGGTCGCCTGAACCAGCGACTGGAGGGCAATTGGCAGTGTTGCAATCCCACCCATACCACGCGGCAGATCGGGGGAGATCGAGCGGAGATAAGCGAAAAACAGATGGCTTGTGGCGTCCGCAGCACTAGACACGAAGTTTAGTATCCGTCTTTGAGATCGGAAAATTTGGGAAGACATACGAAGCCCAGTTCTTGTAGGCAGCTTCAAAGCCATTGCCTGTATCCGTGTGCTCAAAAGCCCACCACCCAGCATATCTCGACAGCTTTCGTCCACCCAATCCATTGGACTTACCGTGTGCTGCAATAGCAGTCAAGAGGTCAAAGAAATCGAAGATGATCTTGCTTCGTGCCTCCGAGTCGATGCTAATAGGGATGAACGTGGAAAAGGCATCTCGGGCAAGTTGTGAATCTAGAGACGAATACATTAGCCCAGTTCCTCACAAATGCTGTGCCTGTAGATGGAGGTATACCTTGTTCGCCAACCTTGAACAATTCGTATGCTTCCCAGGTGACAACTCCGCCAGGGAGTCTGCTCCAGCACCATTTCAACACGCTACAGAGGACCATAGGGTCCGTGAGCCGTAGCTCCTGTGCCAAATCATCACCATTGACGGGCGAGCCTCGAGCCTGAGAATTATTGAAGTAATTGCGAATAAACGAACGAGCGGTAGTGGCATCTGAACTGGGACGGTAGGGCAATAACAGGAACGGAATGTCGAGAGCTGTCAGGCAAGGGAGACCGTTAGTGATCAGCGTATCCGAGGAATGCGCATGTCATGCAGATAACTCTAGGGAAAAAGGGGGAGGGGGGATAACTCCGATGTCAAGCCACCAACATACCTCGTGCCTTCAATTCGTGCGTGCATCCTCGTAGAAGCTCCTGTACTTCCTCAGGAGCAATCTCTGCGCGCTGCCATGCGTCGGTCCAGGTGGGTTTTGCGGGCGTGGTGATATCTTCGGGCACGGAGGTTTTGGCGGCCTTCTTCGCAGCACCGGACTCTTTGCCCCGAAAGACACGAGTAAAAAACGGCATTCTTTCGTGGGAGACCGCAGAGGAGGGATCGATATCTTTTGGTAGGACAAGAAGGAGATTGAACCGAATAGAAAATTAATTATTATGGCTGTTAAAAGGTATTAGATCGAGGGGCGTGGATGGGTTCGACAGTGAACCGTGCGACGAGGCGGTCTTTCCAAGGCAATGATATTGACTGTAATAAAGATGCACACACAAAATAGGTAATAGAAGAGTAGAGGTAGAAAGAAAGAGGCCCTGGTGTCCCACGAGGATCATCTGCAAGGCCTCGAGAGCGCCGAAAAGAAAAAAAAAAAAATCACACAGCAGCAACGGTCCGACGCGGGGTATAGCGGTTGGTATTAAAATGGGTAGTCTTAAGTAGTGAGAGACCACTGATATAACTAAGACATATAATAATGGATAAAATGAAGAGAAAATAGAAGAGAAGAGATGATGGAAGAGGTTGAGGAGGGAAGAAGAATGAAAAAGAAGAGCGCCAGTTGCCCGTTTCAGGGGTAATAATACCTAGTAGACAAACACCCTAAACCGGGCCATGGTTCAAGACGCGATTAGTGCCAATTGACTTGAATTGACAAGATCATTATGATCCGTTGAATGCTGGCATCATTATTATTTCAATCTGATCAAAATTGGATATCTAGTACTATACGGAGTCGGGATGGACAACCACGGCTGTATGCACGATGGGAACTTGCAGTTAGCCTATACAGTACTCAGTGTTATTCTTCTAAGTCCTTGTCTGCCATAATGTATCACTACTATTGTATCGATCTCTGACCGCATCTCATCGAAATCGCTTCACCCGCCTCCAAACGAGACGCATCCAAATCGGTCCGTGATGGGTCACACGCGCTAACCGCGCTAATCCCGAATAGTAACCACGAAAATCAGACTCCACCCGACTAGTTTAGCAGCACTCTGTACAAGTACTCTAAGTACTCTGTACACAGTACTACTACAAAGTGGTACCACGTTCTATCGGGGTTGTACAGGCTCGACAGCTGGACTCGGGGAAAACGCTCAGATTGAAAATGCTGGCCAATTGGACGAGATCAACCAGGATTCCTAGTAATCAAACAGACAGCGTCACACCTGATTGGACGTACAGGTACTCTGCACACCATCAAACAATGAAGCTTCCATTTGTTGTGCTGATGTAGAGTGTCCTTTTTGTGATAAAGAGCTGTGGATCTCCCCTTGTATCCTCTTCAGTCATTTAAAGATTCTCGGATCCCTCAAATTATTAGCGGGATTCCTCGATGATGATGATGATGCTAAGACAAACCCGGATATAAGACACCCTCAAGCACGTTTAACCGTTATCGCACAAATTCCAAAACAAGATGGTGAGCAGCAATGAAATAAGTGAAGAAGAGTGAGTTGATATCCTATTTCTGAAAGGTGCCAGCTAAACTTGTTCTTCTTTCCATAAATTCAAGCAACTCCAGGGAAAGTACATCCCCATATGCTATGGGATTGCTGTCTTACATGGCCAGGTGGGGCTGCTGTTAGAAAAATGTGGCCGGAGGACCCTTGAATATCGACCCCAAAATGATGAGAATGCCAAGTTCATCCTCTACATGCAGGCTATTTATGCTATGGAAAGATGCCTAGCCGCAGGACTTGTGCACCAAGACCCAGATTTTCGAAATCTCGTCTATGATCCTGATACCCTGCGAGTGTGGATCATCAATTTTGATCAAGAGAAACGCGAAGATGAAAAGCCAGAGGATGTATGGGCGTTCATGGATGGAAACTTCTCTGAGCATTTTGATTACCACTATACGCCCTCAGGCTTTCGCTGGGGGTTGTTATGCACATACAAGGCCTTATTAGAACGACCCTTTGAACTGTCCCTGTATATTCTTGTCTTACACCACTGCTTCTGCTTGGTAAAGAAGAAGATGATCGAGAGGTTAACGCATAAGTTTAGTTTCACGAAAGACCCCTATGCTATTCCTGCACTACCTGGTTCGGCATGCTCTGGTTCTTCGCCACCCTCGCAATGATGTCCATCATCAGGATTAATTACCCAGACGTGCGGGGTTTCATTTGGGTCGAGAGGTGCTCCGTTGAATCGGATACGGACCAATGCCCGTCCATCGAAATAGATGACTATTGGTGCGTCGAATGTATAGACAAGCTGTTATTTCTTGGTCTTAACGTACGATAAAAAAGAAGAAAAAAAGGGGGGGGGGGGGGAGAGAAAGAAAAGTTTCACGCACACTCTAGCCTCCTGCGTCATCTTCCACCCCAAAGTAGATCCATTAGATCCATTCTTGCCTGTCCAGAAATAAAAACTGATCGACTTGGGTGGCTTCGCTCTCCTAACGCCAGCAATTTGATTGTCTACAATTCTGTCTGCAATCTTGTTGCTGCCGTAGGCAAAGATGAAGTCGGCCGCAAGCGCTGGAGGCTTCCCAAATTGAAGCTCCCGATTAAGGATTTCGGGAATACCGGGTAGATAATTGAAAACCCCTGATTGGCTTTGGGCGGTCCTGGGGTCAATAGAGGTCCCGAAGACAGTCCTCAACCCAGTTTACCTTGTATTTTTCACATGTAGTGAATACGTCTGGCTGGGACTGATTGCATAGGGTGGCCAACCAAAGCGCGTCCAGCAGGCATAGCGTGTCCATCAGGCAGAATGCGCTCAACAGAAAAAAGGCGTTCAACAGCTGGCATGAGCGGCTGGAAGACAGAATTAAAGACATGGTCTATCAAGAATCTGTGAACTGTCTTCACCGGAATCGATAACCTAGGGTTGAATGCCGGGAAGTTGGCCAACTTTTCATGATAATTTGAACTTAGAGAAGGGGATGTAATACCGCTTGGGACTGTTGGCAAGTTTAACGCAGTATAAAAAGATGTCACAGTCTGGCTGTGTCTAGACATGTTGTAATCGGGGTTATAACCCATGATGAGTTGATTGTGACAGCACGTCAAAATGTGTGATAATCCAGTCTTGTACAGTAGCCATAAGCTAAAGGAAGTCTGGTTTATATAAGTAGAGCAATGATGGTGAGGGGCATTTTGGCACTCCTAACTCACTTCTCATAACTACTATGTTGACCTCATCAAATAAGATGGCCAGGAACTTCTAATTCTTGCAAGACAGCCTCATTGGTTCCCAGCAAGTGTCATCACAATGGGAGTAGCTGGGAACGCTCATGATCCCAGTTCTATATCGCATATGAGCTATATACCAATTGGTAGAGATGTACGGAGTAGCTTTGATTGGTCCTCGATTGGCTTTTGCAGGCTTTAGAGAGAGATGGCATGCTTACGCCGTAATGTCCAAAAACATTTCGGAATGTTCAAGCGAAAAGGATTGGTCAGATTTTGAATTGGACTTAAGGCCGGGAGTAATGTACTTGTATATACAGAATCCTACTATAGAATGTCGGGTGTGATATCGGATGGGTCGGATCGCGTGTGAGCTCACATATGACTGGCTGGTTATTAATAGTTGGTAATATAAGCGAGCGGCAACGGCGGCAGTAGACTTCCCTTTTCCACCTCACTCGATCCTAATATTCCATTTCTCTCGTCCTGTTTTCTTTCTATCTTTAGAACCGTCTAATCGACACTCCCGCGTATCGCCCAAACCGTTGGTTTTCTCTCGCTCGCTTTTCATTCTGTGTTTCCCCATCCAGGATTAACTTTCTTTGGGGGATCTTATCGTTTGTTTGCTCATTGTCTCGTGTCAAGACTTTTTTCCCCTTTACCCTCGTCGAATCGCCTAAAAAAATAATAATAAAATTCCTTATCGGCGCCTTACCTCCCCCACCCCCTTGTCCCTTGTCGTCTCATAACACTACTGTCCTTCTCAACTACGCGCCGACGGTCTCTTCGGAACTTATCGTCCCCAATCAAAACCTGCGAGATCAGGCGAACTGCATTTGTGTTGCATCCCCGCTTGGTCGACGTCTGATTCCGAGTATTTCCCCCTGTTCCTTTGAGCCTCATTCTCCATGGGTCGGAGAAAGATTGAGATCAAGGCGATCAAGGATGATCGCAACCGCTCAGTGTACGTCTTATGCTTTCCCCTGACTGTCTGACATACGCTGATATCCTCTATCTAGTACCTTTCTGAAACGGAAAGGCGGTCTTTTCAAAAAAGCGCACGAACTGGCCGTCCTCTGTTCCGTCGATGTCGCGGTCATCATTTTCGGCCACAACAAGAAGCTGTACGAGTTTTCATCATGTGATATGCGTGAGACTTTAGGCCGTTATCAATATGTGCGTTTGCTCTCTGGTCACAGTTAGACCGTGTACGTGATGTGCTGACCACGATTCTCTTGCAGTTTGGACCTCCCCACGAACACAAAGGACCGGAAGATTTTGCAGGCAAACGCGATGACGATGACGATGAAGACGAGACCACACCCGCCCCTGACGAGATTCAGCAAACACAACAAACCCATCAGGGCCCTCCTCCCATGGCCCCGCCTCACATTCCCAGTCATCCCGGTTTCCAGCACGTAAATCATGCGCCGTCTGCTTCTCCTCCGATTTCGAATGGTATGCCATTTGCCCCTCGTCATGGTACCCCGCAGCCTCAGGTAGTCTCGCGTCCATCATCAAGGAATCATATTCGACGAGTCAGCTCCAATCTCGCGCCTCACCAACATGCGACACCGCCCCCTGCACCACCGCCCGTGTCGCAAAATGGTTTTCCATACATGCCCAACGCGATGTACAATCCCAGCGCGCACCCAAATCTCTCACAACATCCTCACCGTCCCAGTCCATTTCCACATTTTGGCCATCCTCCGCCTGTGACTCACCACCAAACGCCTCCTCCGCAGCCTCCGCATCAATCCTTGACGCCGCAACCCATGCCAACGCATACGATGCCATCCCAGTCAATACCACAACACCCTATGGCCCCTCCCCATACACACCCATTTGCGCAACCGCCTCCTCCAATGACGCTTTCCCATCCGTCAGTGCCGCAGGTTGCGCACGCATATATACATGATCAGGGGAGGAGTTCAATGCCGCCTGCATTTGCGCCAGAACCGCCGCAACCGCAACCTGCTCCGCCTCGTACGGTGTCACTTCCTGATGCATCTGCCGCCGATCAAGTGAAGCCGGAAGAGGACCCCTCACCTCCGACACACCAACGCTCGCTTTCGTCCAAATCTCGCAGTATCTTTACGCCAATTGATGATCGCGGATCGGTGCTTGCTCGCCACTTTGGGGTAGGCCCACCAAACGAGCCGCCGCGCCAAGATACTCATGTGAAATCGGAGTCGACAAAAGAGGATGCAAATAACGAGTCTATGACTCCTGTGATTCCTCCACCGCCTCCACCACGAGTTGTGACAGAGGAATCACGGACCCAGTCAATCTCGTCTGTTTCCAGTGACATCAAGCCACCGACGCGGACAAACAGTGTCCAGTCGAAACGACCCCAGCTCAAGGTGCAAATTCCAAGCGAAAATTCTGATCGGGACACCGCTACGGCAGATTCATCTTCCCGCGACTCAGCTGGTAAAGCTCTAACACCTGCCAAAGCAAACCCAGAGACGAATCATTCTGGTGTTGTTTTACCCCCGCCGTCACCTTCAGCCGGTGCTATTCTCAGCGCCGGGGCACAAGGGCCTCCAAATCCATTTGCAAGGCCGCCGCCGCCTGGGACCGCGACGCAGAATAACAGCGCATACGCAAGTAATAATAATATCGAGACTCCTATTTCCGCCCTACCCAGTCGCTTTGTTTCCGATGCCCTTCTACCGTCGCCGTCCAGCTTCTTCCCCGAATGGGGTTTTGGTCGATCAGGTCCAGATACCAACATGCTACCAAGTCCCCTGACGTTCCCAACTCCTGCTGCCCAGACTGGTCCGGGCTTTGCTCGCGAAGACGAACAGGACAGAAAGCGTAAAACTCCGGACAGTGGACCATCTGGAGAGGGGGCGTCCAAGAAGACAAAAACATGATTCCATCGTTGCCTTGTTTTGATTGCTGTCGCATTATCGTCTTTCGCTTGTCGTGGCATTTGATGGCGTTTCCTGGGCTTGTCTTTTGGGTGTTGCACAGGGTTTGATTTGCAATTTATCACTCTTTGAATTTTCTCTTTGTTTGAACCTTTTTGACTATCAGATTTTATACCCTGATCTCTTTATCGTGTCAATCTATCTCGGTCTTCATCCGTTTGAGATGAACCACCTACACTCTCATTTCTGGTAATTGTCTTTTCTTTTCTCTATCTTTTTCTTCGGGTTTCTTTCTTTTAACCATCGCCTTTCTTTATATACTGATTACTCTTGTTGGCATGACATGCAAGTATCAAGCATGTGAAATCCAGGATCTTTTTTTTCTTTCGTTTCGTTTTGTTTTCTTCGTTTTCTTTCGTTTTATTTCTTCCTGTTGGTACTTTAGAAGACATGGATGTGGTTATCATTACTATGGACATAATGTATATAAGGGTTTTATCCGAGATAGGGTTTAACAATGCATTGCTTGCATAGCAACAAGTGAACTTACATAGTACTGTAATCGACATGAACTTTTGACAATTAAATTTAAATAGCTTATGGGATATCTACAAGAAACAACTTTTCTAACCCAGACCCAACCAATAGTACTACCACGCCAGCGCAGTAACACAACACAACATTACGTTAAGCTCTTCCAAGCTTAAACTTAAGCACCCCCTCCCTTCTCAGCAGCAGACCCATCCTTCCCCTTCTTCGCCCGCTCCGCAGCGAGAATCTCCTGTCTAGCACGCTCTTGCTCCTCCAACCCTGTCTTTGCAAACGTATGCGCCTTGCTCAAAGTCACGGGCCGAATGAAGAAACTAACAATCAGCGCGAACCCGATAACAGCCGTGTAGAAGATCCACAGACGACTAAGCACGTAAGTGAACGTTTCGAGGACAGCGCGGCGCTGTTCCGGTTCCAGACTGGCGACGAGAGACTTGGAGGAACCCGAGAACGAATTTGCGAGTTTCTGCGCGGTCTCGGAGCCTACTTTCCTGGAGAGCGAGGAGGTTTGTTGCCCCAGGATGTTCTGGTAGACGACTGTGCCCAGGACAACGGCCATGGAGGCGGAGGCTTGGCGGATGAAGTTGAAGGTTGCTGTTGCGGTGGCGACGTCTGCGGGGTGGATGTTTGCCTGTAGCCCGACGAGGGGGGATTGGAATATTGGGCCGACACCGATACCCGCGATTATTTGGAAGATGATGATGCGCGGCCAGGAGGCGTAGGGTTGCAGGTTGATGAAGAGGCCGTAGCCGAGGGTCATGAAGATAAGGCCTGCGACAATGAGTTCGCGGTAGCGGCCTGTTATTTTAATGATTGCGCCTGTGGCGATGGAGGTGAATGAGAGAGAGAGGCAGAGGGGGAGAACGTAGACGCCCGATAGGATCGGAGAGGCTTGGAGGACGGTCTGGAAGTAGAGCGGGAGATAGTAGTTTCCTGCGATGAAGGAGAAGGCGTGGCAGAAGTTGACGGCGAAGATGCAGACGTTGTGCCAGTTATTGAAGAGGCGGAGGGGGATGATGGGGTATTTGGCGAGTTTCCATTCGTTCATCATGGCGACGACCCAGGTTACCACGCCGAAGATGATTAGGCAGATTACTGTGGGCGAGGCCCAGGGGTAGTCGATGCCGCCGAATTCGAGGCCGAAGAGGAACATCAGCGTTCCGCCGATGATGAGGAGCACGCCTACCCAGTCGATGCTGCGGATACCGGCCATGAATGGCGTCTTGGGGGATTCGATCTTGAGGAAGAAGAAGAGCGCCACGAACGAGACGCCGCCAACCGGCAGGTTTAGCCAGAAGCACCATCTCCAAGTGACACTGGTGGTAAAGGCACCTCCGATAATGGGTCCGAGGGCACCGGCAATAGCCCAGATAGCACCGAAGATACCGTAGTACATAGGGCGTTGTCTAACACTGAACAAATCCGACACAGAAATGTTGGTCAAGACAACGATTCCACCACCACCGATACCTTGAATCGCACGTCCAGCCAACATCATAGGCAGATTTTTAGCCAGGGCGCAGATTAAACTAGCGATCAAGAAGATGAAATTGGCCAGCAGAATGACGTGCCTTCTGCCCCAGATATCACTGACTTTGCCCCATAGGGGGATACAGGATGCATTGGCGAGGAGGTAGGATGAAGCCATCCATGAATAGCCACTTTCGCTGGCGCCGAAATACGCAGCCATAACGGGGAGTGCGGTAGAAACGATGGTCTAAGCCGTTAGCATCCCCTTGATAACCGTCCTATGTAGGGTAGGGAACGTACCATATCCAAAGCCGCCAGAAACAATGCCAACTAAATCCAAATCGCGTCAGCCATCACACCTCCCAACCTCTCCCTCAAAAACGAGAAACATACACAAAGCGCCGTCATAATAACCGCAATCTGCTTAGTCCCCAACTGATTCGTCTGCGACTGAGTCCGATCCAGCGGAGCACCATCGCCATTATCATTCTCATCGCCATTAACCGGCGTATCTGGAGGCGATTCACCCTCCAGCCCTTGCTGCTTTTCCTGCTCTCCTCGTTGAATCGGGGTCGTGGACATATTGACCGGAGTGGAGGGTGCGGAGGTCTGTCGAGACGAGGATAACTCGGTATGCGACTGGGCGAAGGCCGGTTTGGTAAAGTCGGACAAGGAGTGGTTACCCTCTCTTGAGGGTGGGAGTCCCGACATTATGGATTATTGTCCCGCTTGGGAGAAGGTGGTTGAAAAGAATGAAAAGGGGCGAATATCGAATTCTTCCGTTTGGAGGCGAACTCGGAATTTTGACTATCGCCGAGGAAGACGTTTTCAGTGGAGAAGTCCGGCTTGCTCACGGCGTCCTCCGATGTATGTATAGTATATGTCAATATAAACAAGGGTAATGAGAGAATGAAGTTGAAGAGTTTTCTTTTACAGGGATAATATTAATGTACTCTGTATTTGGAGGCAGGGACTATGTACTAATTATATCTTGGCCTGCACTATGCACTAATAACGCGTGATCGCCAGGAGAAGCGCCGAGTGGGATGCCATCTTGCTGGACCTGTTTCAACCTGATTGCACGCGGCTGACAGTAGGCGATCTGTTTCGTCAGATTTAAATGTGTTGACGCTGGCTTTTGCGCTTGAGCGTTTGATACGTGTGCAACAATGCAGTTGTTGCAGACATACACATACGGGTACGCGGACATTGCCACAGAGGAATGTCGTGATCAATTCCTATAGATGAGTAGGGGTATAAAACTATCGGAATAAAGAAACACTTCCATGCTCAACCAACCCTAGTCTTGTAGTTGTATGATTTCTAGATATTCGGTCAGTCGGTTCCAGAAATCGGTCAATGCAGACAGCACTTACCTGTCAAAAACTCTTCAAAGCTGACTGTCACATAACCGTCTCGATCATCGTCATACCGCTTGAACACATCCGTCATCCGACGCAAGCTAATGCACGCCTGGACGAACAGATCAAAGCTCATACCCAGCTTAGCCGGTCCCATCATCGCAGATGCATTCCTCTGTCGACCCTTGCTCTCGAATGTTGTAAACAGAACCGTCACAAATGGCTGGCTCAACCGATACCCAAATGCGACCAGCGATTTCTCAAACTCCTGCAAACTAATGCGCCCGCTGCGATCTTCGTCGAACCGGTCGAACAGTTCCCGCCATGCCGCTAGATACCGCCACAATGACACAAACTCGTCGAACGAGATGGTCCCGCTGCCATTCCGGTCGAACATGCGGATCATCATCTTGACAGTCTTCGGATGAAATGAGGTGTAGTCGCCATTGACCAGAGCAGAGCCCAGCTCCATCTCCGTCAGCGCGCCCGAGTGGGAGACATTGGCAGCCCGGAACAAGGGAAACAGCTGCTGCGGGTCATTGCTGGCTACCGACAAGGGAGGAGGGTGCGGCGATTGTGGTGGATGTGACACCGGTGGGGGGCGATTCCGAACCGGGTGTGTTGGTGGTGGTCCGAAGCCGTAGTTCTGCGGCGGGGGAGAGGGATGGAGGGTGTGCGAGGGACGGTATTGACTCGGAGGTGCGCTTACTGGCGGGCGCCCGTTGTGTGCTGGATGTAGGGAATGTGACGATGCTGACGATACCGGAACTCGCGGGGGAATACTGCTAGAAGAGGAGTGTGGTACTACTGGACGAGCGGCTTTTGGCTGAGCTGGATGCGATGGTCCTGTTTGCATAGCACCAATCATCTGGGCGACCTGTAGTTTCATTTCAAGTCCAGCGATCAGTCGCGGGGTTCTTGCTATACAAACTCCGGTAAGCGTGGGATGAGGGACGTACCTGTTCCGGTTCTGCGTGTCTGTAAATCTCCCAATCCCACAGTCAGCAATTACCCATGTTCTCTGTTTATCCAATATCCACTTACGCCGGTAGCGCATCGGGGTTATAAGATTTGTTGTATGCCATGACGCCGGCACAAGAACGTTTCTTTTAAGTTTGACGTAACGGTGCGGCGACAAGGCGACGGAGCTGAGTCCCTGATAGAAGAGAGCACAAAGAAGTAACCGAGTAGAACAGGACGAGTCTAAAATACTGGAGCCAGGAGCAAATAAAACAGAAACAAGGCCGTAAGGAGTTCGTTCAGGAGAGAGAAGAAGAAAGAGCGTTTGTTCGTTCTCGTTGGAGCGGAGCCGTGGGGCAAGTAGCAGCTGCCAAGAGAAAAGATTCGGTTTTTATTTAGCTGTGCGAAGTGGCTGAGATTGACATGGTGTATGGTGATAGTATATTATAGAGTAGAAACAGAGAGAAAGACAAGATGGTATCACACAGTGAGACCGAGTGACTTGTACGGCCCACGGGTTCATGGGCGGAGCGGAGGTTCTTTACTTAGTAGACAACCCCTACAGAGTACATTCGGAACAACTATACACTCCAGTGACTCTTGTATGTACACACATTGGGTATCAATTGGGCTCTCCAACAATTTCCTCCACTTCGCCTGCCTGCTCAACCAGAACCTGTAATATCTCTTTCCACGCTTTCTCCTGGAACTGCCACCCCTCCGCCCCGGTCGTCAACGCGTTCGATTCACTGGATGCGTTAGCTTGCATTAACCCAAAAACATAAAGAAAAGAAGGGAAACATACTCGAGATAACCATCACTGCGCCAACATCGCCCATGCGATTCCACGCCCTGGTATGTCGCACTGACCAACGATCGGCTGCCTTGTTCACTCGTTCGTGCCAACAGTTTGAACTCGAACCATACTGCTGATCGCTCGTGGAACCGGTTGTATTGCCGTCCCAGAGACGATGCGCAGAAACCAGGACTCACTGTGTTGATGATTACCGGGAGAGTCCCGTTCTCATGTCGTACTCGGTGGGCGGCCATCTTCAACATATATTCTAAAAGAAGCTTGGAGATGGCGTATTGCATGGCCCCGGAGAAGTTGTTTCGATTGTTCACATGCTCTAGGAGACTGCCGTCTGTCCGGAGATGCGTAGGACGAACTCGGCAAAACAGCTGACTAGACACGACTGTTAGATGTGCCGCGTGCGATGTACTCGAGCTATCTCGGAGCTTAGGAAGCAGCAGAATTGCCAACAGCGCAGTAGACAATGTATTGACCTGCAAGGTCTCCTCCCATCCCTCTGGAGAGACTGTATAATCCCGATTCCACAGCCCGGCATTCAGCACGGCGATATCCAACTGGCTGAGTTCTGTGTCGACACGGTCCGCGAAACTCTTGATACTCTGGAAGCTGCTCATCTCAAGTTCCCAGATTCGAATGACGTCCGGTCGATTTGTGCGCTTCTCGAGTTCTGTCTTGACTGCATCGCCTCGTTGCACATTGCGACACCCGATAATCAAAGTTTCCACGCCTTGATTGAGGAATTTGATTGCTGCTTCATATCCAAGACCGGAAGTGGCACCTGTCAAAAGGATTGTCTTTCCGGCAAAGGAAACATCTGTGGGATCCTTTGGCGGACTATACTGTGACCGGAGAAGACGGAACAAGCCCGTCATGATGGATATGAATGTAGAAAGTAAACCAAGCATGCGTCTGGTTCAGGAACGTATCGATTCGGGAAGTTTAATGTCAAAGATCAATTGCCCGGTATGTTCCTGTTTGTATATTCCCGTAAAGACCAATCGCCTATGATGCAAAGCTCGGATGAACCGTGCTCGTATTGATCTGATATGGTTAACCTCGCCGCCTTAGCCATATTTCCTAATGATATAGTAGCACTCACAAGACCAATAAACAATAGATGCGATATCCGAATGACCAAGAAGAGTCAAGAATCGCGCAAGACGAACAGCGCTGGCGATGTACGATGACATGGGAACAAACAATGCAAACAAGAGGCGTGCCCAAGGATCTCGGCTGTCAATCATCTCGATCATCTCTGAGTTAGATAGTTGACTCGACACTAGTCAAATCAAACTGAGGAGGTCATTGTCTGGTTTCACTTGAGATAGTCGACCATGGCAGTTGAAATAGAGGAAAAGCACACGACAACAGAAGGCCGGACATGGCGAAATTACTTCCCGAATGGGGATCTCTGGGTGTTTGGCTACGGGTAAGTGTATACATGAAAGCAGAATGACCCGAATCCTTGGATACATGGATAAAACATACTGATAAATAGTACAGGAGTTTGATATGGAAGCCACCACCGCACTATGGTATGGATACTCACCATAGTCAATCTCAACATGAAATGACATGGCTTGTCTGAACTGAAGATTGGAATGCTGATGCTGGAGCAGACCAGAGAGTGCCGGGGTATATCAGCGGCTACGTGCGACGCTTCTGGCAGGTTGGTTTATCCTTGGTTCAATAAGATTAGGTGGTTGATGCTGATTGCGCTTCATCATTACTAGGCTAGGTATGCGGTGTTCACGCATGTCTGTTTCTCCCATTAATCAATGCTGAGACAACAACAGTACGGACCATCGCGGAACCACAGAAAACCCCGGGCGGGTTGTAACTGTGATCGAACGGGAGTTCTGGGAGACATTAGATGACCCGGTATGCTCCCAACTCAAACCCAAGAAGCAGGTACTAACACACACGACCAGCTCGCACACCTCGAGGTCCCTTCCTCATCATCCAAAGCTGCAGTCTGGGGCGCAGCATATCACATCCCAGCGTCCCACGCTGAAGAGGTCCACGACTATCTCGACGACCGCGAGATAGACGGCTACACGGTCCACTACACGCCATTCTACCCGACACCTACCGCTACCACATCTGAAGCTGACACCCCGACTACCCCCCTCACTTGTATGGTGTATATCGGTCTTCCCACTAACCCGCAGTTCCTCCGTGAGCCGGCCGATCGGGAGCCGCAGAGTGTCGCGGACGTGATTAGCGCGAGTTGCGGAAAGAGTGGGAGGAATGCGGAGTATTTGTATCTACTTGAGAAGGCGTTGGATGGGTTGGGACTGGGGAGTGCAGACGTACATGTGACGGATTTGGTGGGCCATGTGAGGGCGATCGAGAAGGAGACAGCAAAGGCCGATGAGGAAGAGGCAGAGAAGGATCTGACGAGGTCGCTTTCTATTTCTGACGCTGAGGCGCATGAAGATTTCCCTAGGACGGAGTGATTTTATATAACTATACGAAGCAGAATCTACGCTGAATGAGAGCACGACAATTCATAGCATTATATCACCTCATATCACCTCAAAGAGAAATGCAAGCGAGATCCCGTCATTAATAACAAATTGTGATCCATATCCATCGAATTATTTCGCGTTCCTTTTTTAAGCGCCCAGCAGCAAGACCGTGTTCGCACCGTTTTCGAAATTTTACTTAGCAGCAGCAGCGACAAGTTACCGCTTAGTATCCACCACCGTAACCAGAGTTGTAACCACCGCCTGGAAATTGTCAGTCATTCGCTCAATAAAGACCGCACAAAAGACGAAAAAAATAAAAAAAAAAAAAAAAAAAGGAATAAGAATATAACGCACCGTAACCTCCTCTAGAGTACTGAGAGTCATCACCTCCACGGCTGTTGTAACCGCCACGACCTTGGAAGCCTCCGTTGCTGCGGGGGGGCTTGTCGGCCGCCTTGTCGACACGAATGGTACGGCCGTCGAACCTATGCAACGTTAATATCGTCCAGGTCTCCCCGTTCACTCAATAAAAAAGATTATAACGTACTCCTGGTTGTTCAAGGCGTTCATGGCGGCGTCAGCATCCTCCTCGGCAGCGAAACGGACGAAACCGAATCCACGGCTGCGGAAGGAGTCACGGTCCTTGACGACAATCTGCAGAGAGTTAGTAAAGGTAAGCAATGAACATGAGGAGTAAGATAAGGGCACTGACAGCTTCATCAACGGCACCAAATTGCTCGAAGCCTGCGCGGAGGGATTCGTCAGTGGTGTGCCAGGAGAGGCCGCTATTTAGTGTCAGTTTGAAATTTTCAGAGATAGTCGAGACTGGATAATGCAGACCCGACAAAAAGTTTGGCCATTTTTGTTGTGTAGAGAATGGAGTGATTATTATTGAAGAGAGAGAGAGAGTTGGTTGAAAGTGGATGGAAAAAAGTGAAAAGTGGGTGGTGAGAGAAAGAAAAGAGAGGGGAGAAAAAAAAAAAAGGAAAAGAAATGATACGAAAGACCAGGATGTCCCAATTGGGCAGAAATGTGTGACAGTCAGATTTTGGTGGTTTGTCTTCCAATTATCTTGTTTTAATAGTAGAGCAATCAAACTCATTTGTATTTGTCTAGTATTGTCCATATTTATTGGGTATTGTTCTCTTTCATATAATATTCATCATTACCCCTCCATACCCCAGCTAATAATTCCTCTGATCAGTGACTTTTATCTGTATTTTTGAGCGATTTTAGAGAAAAAAGTCTTCAGTGAATGCTTGACAATCTGTTGAATTATGCCAAATACTATCAAAGACATCACCGTGACCTGCCACTATTGAGGATGCCTGCCGTTGATATTAGTATAGGCAGCTGCCTCCCAGCGCGCCTCCCCAAATGGCTCGACAGCCATCCACCATTAAGCATACTCGTTCAATCTTCTTTTATTGGATTCTATATCATCTCACTCGCTGAACTCGCGAAAATCGCGACCCAATGGACCAAGACAGCTCTTATTTCATCCGGAAATGGTTGCAAGATGTCGAGGAAGAACGCTCGACTCGCATCGTCAATGGACCAGGTACTCCCTCTACTATTACTGCATTTATCATCGTTACCTGCAATGTGTAGCCTGCTAACCAGACAAACAGACAACATGCTTTTCTCCCCACGCAGACTATTCGCGCGACTGAGTGAAGCTCCCGGGGCGCAGATATTCGGTCGTTCATTCCGAACACCGCAACAGTCCCCCGAGTCTTCACATCTCAAAGCCCCTTTGGATGAAGTCGCCAACTCGAGGCAAGAAGCGCATGGATACGAGCGCAGGCCTCGACGTAAAACTAAAGACGATCGCTACGAGTACAAGGGACATGACCGTCGCGCGGATCCAGAGCGCTCGAAGAAGAAGGAGAAGAAGACAGCCAAACAGAGTCGGAAACATACTCTGAATCGTGACTTTTATGCACCAAACGTGTCTCAGACACGGCTGACTGTATGTGCAGATTATCAACCTTTTGAGATTGTTGCTAACTCTGTAATAGCTCACTTCTCGTCCGAACATGGGGATATTTGGCAAAGGACGAACGTCTTCTCCTACCAAATCTCGTGAGTGTAAGACTTCCTTGCTTCTGGATTCATTGCTTCATCTTACACCTGTCTAGTACCCGACCTTACTTTCTCGGAGATGAACTTCCTGTCGAGAAGATCACGATTGAACCCGAGCGAACTGCCAGCAGAAGAACAACAAGACAAAACAAACGAAGCTACGCGGAGGGAACATGACTCGCAAATGCAGATCCCTCAGTACTTCTTCAACGATTATTATGACGAAGCTCCTGCCACGGCGTACGCAGACGCAGACCAACCCGAACCCCCTGCTATGGCTTCGGAAGCTCACGGAGGCCGTGCCATGGAACCTACAGCTCTCAGTCCAAAGCTATCGCACAGCGCTACACTGTACACTTGGTCTGAGAGTGATTGTAGGGAACATGAGCGCCGGGCCTCGTCTGAAAATTGCACAAAAGGCATCCTATGTGTCGACTTGAATCACCAACACATTAGCGATGAAGAGAAAGCAAACAAAAGATACTGGGATCTCGATGAGCTGAAGCTAATCTTGAAGATACGCCAGCAAACACGGAACGAATCTAGAGCAAACAAAGAGCCGAAGACCTGCGATCACTTGAAGCGGAGACGTCAGCCAGACGAGGCGGACGATGCACCCAGAAGCCCTAAGAAGTCAAAACTTTCCAATGCCATCGCCTCTATTCGAAAGAGTCTCTCCTCCCTGGCGTCGTCCAACACGGGGCGTGATAGCCCACTGCACGGACAGCAAGAACTAGGCACATATGCTCCAGAACTGCAGACGAGCCGCAATCTAGATCACCATGAGCTGGAACTTATTCCCAAGCAAGCGTGCTTCTCGGATTATCGTCTAATGAGTCAAACCTATAACCCGGCCATCGCCCCGCACCAGAACCCACAGTCAAACTGGGATATCGACGGCGCAGGCCCCAATGAAATAGACCTGGACGCTGAATTTAACAGCATAGTCCGCATCTGCTCAAGAGAGACGGCATACAACAAAGACGAGGACGTGATTATGAAGGACTTGGACGCGGTATACGACTCAATAGTCTTGGATGACAAAGACCCAGCACATGGAAGTCTTTCACGAGCACCAAGCAACCAGAGCTATTTCTTTTCCACCCCAGACTGTTTGACATCACTGCATGATGAGTGTTGGAACTCGTCTTTGCCTTCTGGAATCACCAACCATAGTTCAGGCAACGATTCATGGGCCGCTCACCAACCGCACAACATCACATTCCAAGACGAAGGCGTGCAGGCCACGAGTAATTCTATATATGACGCATGGAACGGGTTTTCACAGCCCATAATGTCTGCAGTTGGCATGGGAACTGCAGCGTTTGGGGCCTCGACCGGGTTTTGTTGGCGACAGAACAAATTGTATTGATTTATTTTGGTCTGCAACTGCATATTTCTGAATAGGGCAGCGCGGCTTGGGACAATTGAAGTTGGAGATAATCATTTATGTGTATCAGATGTTTTGACGCAGCGATATTGGTCTAATATAGTTTTCCTTTCCAATTTAGAGACTCTTCATTCACCGAGAATTTGTGCAGCTAAGGCGGCATAGATTGCAATGCGTCTCAGTATTCATAGGGTTAGTTTCCCAGGGATTCCTTATACACCACTTTCAGGGTCGAGTCTATAGTTCAATTCGTGGCAGGGTATGAGCGTGTCTTACTATTGTAGTAGTAGAAAGTGATGTAGATTGATACATGTGCATAACTCTGTCGTCAACGCTTCTAGAAAACACCACTATTCCATAACATCATCAGGATCATAAGGGGGGACATCACCGCACTGGATAGGCACAAACGTCGTGGCAAAGCGACCATGCTTCGAAAACTGAATAATCTGATAAAGAAGTGGTCCCAATGGATCGATCAAGCATCGGGGGAGAATCCGCTCGCAGAAAGATAAAACTCCGCGAGTGTTTGTTTGGACGTTTTGTTGGGTTTAAAGACGGACAGATTCCTACTGAATTCGCCATATCTGTTTTGAGATTTTCTGGCAATGGTCGATTTTTTGGGAGGTGATATTGAAAAGGTGGTTGTTGGAAAAGAAGAATCGGTGATTTAACTGCCAGGCTTCGATGGCTTCATTGCTTCGTTGCTTCGTGCCATGTTGTCTATCCTTGTTATTATTCTTTCTTTGTCATGAATACCCTACTGGTCATTACTACTCCTCAGAGTCTCTAATCACCACAATCACAGCAGGAGTCATAAAACCACGCAACAAGCCACCGCATCAGCAGCTTGCGTGGCTGATACGAAGCCACATCTTATGTGCAGATTGTAGGGCAGACTATGCTACCCTAAAATCTCACAGGAGAAAAAAAAAAAAAAAAAAAAAACAACAACAACAACAACAAATGAATCAGGACCTGCATGCATCGGCCGAACAGCACGTGGTGTCCGTCCAGAGTGCGACTCGAGCCTGCCGATTACGGAGTACGAGCCAAGTCTTCTGTAGTCTGTACGGAGTTACTATGATCTCCAGCGGTAATGAGTAATGAATAATGGTCAACTCACGATGTACATCTAAAGCCATATTTAGCAGAGCTGTAACTACACGTAGCCTGATTAGGAAGGCGACAGGAGGCTCGTTTTCAAATGCCGACCCTGAAATGTAATTTTCATTAATATTATTCAAAGAAAGACAGAAAATGCAGAAGGCTGCGAATTCCCATTTCTGTAGTACTGCATTCTACTCTGTACACCATGCATGCTCCTTTTCTCTGCATCCTCCTGCAGACACATTTCAATTAACGCACAGGGCCGTTCAGCCGACACATGACCATCAACTGGGGCGCGTCGGCTCTCTATACTCCCTAATTTGCAGTTTCTGGCAGGGATTGGTGCCCGGCTGGGCGGTTGGTGGCCTTTGTGAGTATACGACAGGTGTCGAGTGTTCCAGCCTTGTTCAGCGTTTACGGGAGAGTCGTGTCGATCATCCATGTACCGAGCGTTCGAACGTTCGGTGCATATTATATTCTGTACTATACTTGCGGAGTACTCCGGATAAAGGATTGGACTACCGTGTCCTTATGTCCTTAGTTATAGGGAGGGAATTATAGTTCGTAATGTCGGAAATTAGCGGATCGACATGTCAAGCGGAGAACGTGTTTGTTCGGTGATTTCAGAAATCTTGGCTTGATTGTCATTCTGCCCTACCTACTTGTAGTTACAAATAGATGAGCACGACATCCTAAGCCCACGCTGATCAGGCTGTGTTCACAGAAGCTACGGCTATAACCGGTGATCATAACGAACTAAGCTGAAGGGTCAACACGAACACACAGATAACGACTTGGTCTCTGCACGTAATGACTGCGCTCGATATGAACGATCGTTTCAGACCTGCAGCATGAATTCCTCGTGCCCTGCAGATCTTGGCTAGAACGCTACGGGGACTCGTGGTGATTGGATGGTCAAGAGCAGATGGTGCTCGAAAATCCTAGTCAACCGCGTGGCAGTCCGTGTTCCTGGTCCTGGGAGATATTGATGATGAAAATAGCAGTGACATATTGGACTCGAGGTCATCTACACCATGCACTGGCCAGTATACGGTGCGTTGTATGCCTGGGGAGTATGCCTTGTGGTAATCATGTCTGTCAGATATGGTATTGAAACCACTGCGGCGGGCCTTCCTCCCCTGGTGGTCTCGGTCGTTCCTCCCATATAAAGGGCGCATCTGACTGGACAAAGGCATTGACACCTCGTTGCCAAAATCCTTTCAGTTTCGTCTTATGTCTAGTGTACAGTTAGAGCCTGAATATCCCCCTCTGTGTTGCTAAACTCATGTAAAAGCAACCTCGTCCTTTGGCGTTCCTGTTTTGCTGACTTTCGCAGATCGATCGAATAGAAGACCCTCCAAGGGCTGCCCAAAATGAAGACAGCCAGAGACAGTACGCGTCGTTTGACGGAGTCCAACTTGGAACAACATGGCGAGCTCCTGCAACGGGTACGCTGATTCAATCCTTCCCGGAACATGACAATCTAACATCTATTAGCAGGAGCTCAACACCAGAACAGTCCCATGGGCCGAGAAAGTCATCAAGGACGAGCAAATCCACCAATTCTACTCGCAATCCCACCTAAGAGCTCTCGAGCGCCGGCATCCGCAAGACGCCATCCGTGACATTCACCTCGCCGCCACTAGTGTCTCGAGAACAGACTCATCAATTGGAAGCCTCAAGCTCTTCGAACCGCAGCAGGGGATGTGCCGCGAAGACCCGTTGGAACGCTTCCTGACGCCGGACGGATGTGGTGGCCCATATGCTCGAGCTGCATTGAGAGAGATGGGGTACTCGTTTGGGAGTATGGACGGAAGGGAAGAAAGGAAACAAATAGCCCAGCAGAGGGCTGAGGCGGTGGTCAAGAGGAAGGCCAGGGAGCGGACGGTAGACAGTCGACGAAGTTGATGAAGGATAGGGTCACATAATATCATGGCACAAGATGACATTCGTGTTCAGGGGATACAGGCGTTTACTATAGAGGTTTTCATGCTTCGTGGTCATGTTCTGATGCAAAATGTTCAATTGGGTATATAGACAGTTTGTCTCAAGTTGCGTTTTTCACCTGCTGTTGCAAATCGATATTCTCCTGCAAACCTCTTTTTCTTCTGCACTTGACTTAGTGACACTTCTTAAACACCGACTGTTGAACCGGCTTCAAAACGCTCCTTGACCCAATAAGACAACCTAGCTGTGGTTCAAACCCCCAGCTTCAGAATAACCAAGACGCGCCCAAACGCCAGTAACGTTGAAGTCCAAACATGGTGTGAAGTATTTAACTGGGTATAGCGAATAATATATGGACAGAATCGCGGAAAGGTAGATACTCGGATGGCGAACTATGTCACGATTTGCGTATCGATAGGCGAACTCGAGTCGAATCTCTTAAAGCGCAGCCATGGCACCGGTTCCCTTGAAGGAAGCTTGGTTGTTCACGACGATTTCGACGGGGTACTTCCATTGCATGAATCTAGTCCAACCTGCGCAGCGAACAACCGGTTAACACCCTTGCGATTACGACGACCACAGAAACAGAAGACATACTCCAGTAAGCACACTTTCTCCCCAAGTACTTCCCCACAAACGGCACAAGAACCATCGACAAGAGCAACTCCAGCTGTTCAATGCTCTCTCTCCACTCCTCCTCCGCATCCGAGTAATCATCCGAGAGCGCATCCAAATCCGAACTCGAGGTCGATTCCGACGGCAGAGAGGCAACTTCGTCATCCGAGCCGTACGAGTACTTATCGACCGACGGCACCATGTAGCCAGATGCCCCGAGAGACGGGTTGGAGGCGGCGGGTTCGGCGGCCATGATGGAGTGATTGACGGAATGCACGAACGAGGGGGCGGGGTACGACGGAGATATAAAGTCGGGAAAGAATTAAGCAGTGGCCTGCCTACCGCTTGAATGGAAATTGAAGCATTCGCTGGGGGCTGAGAGACCTGGACTGATACCGACGACGCTGGTGGTAAATAGACTGGTTACTTTCTCCGGAGTTACTACTACGGAGTATGGTCGACGTTGATGTAATCCAGGAGGGTCACGTGCTGTATGGTAATCGGGTGACGATACGCTTGACTCAGAGGTCACGTGCGCAAGGGCGAGTGACCGGGTCGCCTTTGAGACGCCAAAAACGGTTCGACTCACACAGTTCAGAGGTATTTCGCTGTGAGGGAAGTATAACACTAAACTACTATTCTGAACTTCAACTGTGAGTGACTTTGTACCACACCACAATAACATATCATAAATACACCATGGCGGAGGCTGTACGTATTTACCGATGGTCCCCTCCCACATTTTCTTAACGCGAGCCTTCACAATTCAGACCCCTCGGGCACTACCACGTTGCCACGCATTCTCCATTTCTTCCTGACTGCCTTAGTCTTGCGCTTATAGCAGACTACTTTTTTTTTTTTTTTTTTTTTTTTTCGCTTTTTCTTTCTAACTTGATCGAACAGGTCGAACAGAAGCAACGCAAGTCGGTCGCTTTCAGCGAAGGTTCAGTCATCATGGATACGAACGGCGAAGTCACAGAAGCCCCCCAGGCTGTTGAGAAGCCTGTCGAGGAGAAGCCCACCGGTACCTCCATCCCACATCGAATCACTTTGGTGGAGCATGAGTTCTAATGGTTATCGGAATCTGTATAGGCGCAGACGAGCAAGTCGACGAAGTCACCGAGATGTTCAAGGGCCTGTCCAAGAAGAAGAAGACGACGAAGAAGCCCAAGGAAGAAGGCGAGGGCGATGAAGCCGCAGCCACTCCCGACGGCGAGTTCGACCCTACCGCGCTGAAGAAAAAGAAGAAGAGGCCTACCAAGAAGGCCGACACGGGTGATTTCGAAGCCAAGCTGGCCGAGGCCGATGTCGCGGAGCAAGGCGCGGAGGAGAAGACGGACGAGATCCCCGAGGGCGACCTTGAAGCTGGCACCGGTATCTGGGCCCACGAATCGACGCAAGCTATCCCCTACTCGCTCCTCGTCAACCGTTTCTTTTCCCTCATCCAGAGCCACCACCCCGACATGCTCTCCAGCGGTACCAAGTCGTACAAGATCCCGCCGCCTCAGTGTCTGCGTGAAGGTAACCGTCGTACCATTTTCGCCAACATCGCCGATATCTGCAAGCGTATGAAGCGTTCGGACGACCACGTTATGCAGTTCTTGTTCGCCGAATTGGGTACCAGCGGAAGTGTCGACGGTGCTAGACGTTTGGTTATCAAGGGTCGTTTCCAGCAGAAGCAGATTGAGCACGTCCTCAGAAGATATATCGGTATGCATTTCTTTCTCCCGTTTTCTGTTTCTTCTTACTAAGTGATACAGTCGAATACGTTACCTGCAAAACCTGCCGCAGCCCCGACACCGAGCTCAACAAGGGTGAGAACCGTCTGTACTTCGTCACCTGCAACTCGTGTGGTTCTCGTCGTTCCGTCGCCGCCATCAAGACTGGTTTCCGTGGACAGGTCGGCCGCAGAAAGCGTCAGGGTTAAACAGTTGGTCCGGTGGTTATCTTGCTGGATGGTGGTTGTCATTCCCATATTCTCATTTGGTTGTTACTTTTCTTTTTATTTCCCTGTCGTATAAAGATTTCTCTTGCTTCTTTTTTATCTGTTATGATGATGACGAGGGAAATTTCATGGTTTAGATGATGATAGTTTGATGTTCTGAAAAGCAAATAGCCAAAAATTTAAACGATTTGAAGACTTAAACATGGGTTCGTGGTAAGACCCAAGCTAACATGGACATAAACCAAAAACATCCTATTACTGTACTATGTAACAACGTTGAGAAAACACCAAAAATCGAACCAAAAGAGGTATCAAAAAGAGCTTATCACACAAAAAAGGAAAGAAAAAGGAGGGTATATATATATATCCTGGTAATCCAGCCAGGGAGAAAGGGATAGAATATGACGGAGTGTGGCATCCAAGAAAAAGAAATGTACTTCACCGGTTGGCCTTCTTCAAGTGGGCCGCAACGTCCTGGATCTTGCGAGTCTGGTAAAACACGGTGCCTGGTCCCATGAATTTGCAAGCAAGGCCTTCACGAGAACTAATTCCGGAAATGATACCGCCGGAAGCCACACGCTCGATCTTGTACTTGCAATTCCAGGCTACCAGGTAGCCATTGTCGATTGTAAATGTCTCATCAGATTTGATCTGTATATCATTAGTATATTAGTCCGCATGACTTCGCATAAACCGTATAGGGCACGACAACATACCTCTTTCTCAATGATTCCCCCGAGACCCTGTACAAAGAGGGGTCCCCAGCCACGGAAGGTATAAACGAAGAAGCCTTCACCAGAGAACACAGCTTGAAGAAGATTCTGTGTTTTGTAGTCACTATCGACTGCATGTGTCGCAGCTAGAAAAGCGTCTCTTCCGACCTTCCATTCGCTTGTAAAAGGTGGATCACGATCTTTCACAGGATTGGGCTCAACAGTATTGACTCGGATGACTCCAATACTACCAAGGGAGGATGGTGCAAGCATCACTTCCCCGTTTCCAGTGATCTTTGATTTGCTGAATCCACTCCTCATGAGAAGCTTCATCCATGAAAAGGAGAGCTGGCCTCTCAAGTTCATACTGGGATCCATAGCTACCATTGCCCCTATTGTTCGAATTAGTTAGCATTGGATGCGATAAAAGGCACTAGCTTAGAACCAAAGCATAACGGCATACCTGGCTTCGCAATCAATGGGACATCTCCGCCTAGTTTCACGGTCAAGAGTGAACCGCTGTCATTGTTGGTGGCTACGTAAGAGCCACCATTATAGACACCAGTGATGTCTTTAGGAGTGTACCCTTCCTCGAGTTTCTGGGTAATTGCCCGAGATTTTTCCAATTCCTCGAGATACGGTTTCAGTTTCTCGTCAACTAATGCAATCATCCTCTGCTCAAGAAGCGCTTGTGATTTCTCGTCCGTCGAATCGTTTTCGTCCTTGCGAGAGTCTTGTGATTGCGGCTGCGTCGTTGCATTGTCGTCGACTTTGGCGGGCGCTTGTTGCTGGACAACATTGTTTTTCTCATCCCAGTATTGATCAGTCGATGTTACAGCGGTAGGCTGTCCGTGTTGAGAGTATGCATGCTGTTGGAATGGCTGTTGGGGTGGCTGTTGATAGCCGTAGACGGAAGGGGAGTTTGAAGGAGGCTGCTGGAAGGGGTAATTCTCTGCAATAGAACATGAGCCTCTGCTCATCATTAAAGGATGTGCCATTATCCGGCTTCTATCAAGGGACATACTCAGCTCATAGGCAGCTGGAGATATACATATTAGTTATGGTGACAGCGATCCCATTCGAGGAATTAACGTACCAGCATGAGCCTGGTTGGCATACGGTTGGTAAGCCACTTGCTGAGCCATGGTGATCAGAGGTTCGTCGCAGATGAATTATAATAGTGAGCTTCTGTCCGATCAAGACAGTAAATATTGTTCAGTCACGGCTTCGCGTCAGGATCGGGTGTCTTCTCTCCAGAAGAGAAAACGACAGAAGCGGCCAATTTTAAACCCATCCTGAGAGCTCGAGTCCTGAGGAGACACGAAGGGATCGACTGTGACGAAAGTTGATGAGGTGCATTGATTCGACGCTTGGTGCTCTCCTCGGCGCTTAGAGGTCCTTCTTCAGCGCATGTGCGGAGATGCTCATTGGCTGCCCTCGATGTGCTCGCAAAAATACCCTGTTCGTCACAGCAAGTCGCACAATGATAGAAATCTTACTCTGGGCGCGTTCTTATGCTGGAAGAAAATTGAGCGGATATTGAGGTCTGGATTCGGTGGTGCTTGTCGCGCTTGCTACCCCGTAAAAGTCATACATCGCAGAAGGACCAGTACTATCCATATAGTATTTTCGAGAAAAAAAATAAAAAAAATTAAATAAAAGGAAGGGGGAGGGGGGGGGGTGAGAATACGCATATCATACTATTCTTAGGCCTCATGCTGACATTGTCGTATCAAAATAACCTCAGACTTATTGCTCATTGCTGTCCGCACGATATTTCCCTTTTGCTAAGCGCGACGACTGCTTTCTGTTACAGTGCTCTTCCAAGAGAACCTTCGTCTCTTTGGCCTCAGATTCGTCGCACTCTTTGAGTAGCTCGAAGACTGTCCTGCCTTGATTATCCCGCTTATGAATGTCGGCTTCTTTTTCAAGTAAAAGACGTAGCGAGTTCGTTGACGATTCGCATGCTGCCGTCATTAAGGCTGTTCTTCCATTGCGACTCTGCACATCGATATTCGCTCCGTGATCGAGTAGAAACTCGACCACAGAACAGCTATCCCTTTGGGCAGCACATATGAGTGGTATCATGCCTGATCCAACTATGTCCATCCTGGCGCCTTTTTTCAAAAGTAATGAAGCGGTTTGGAGATCATCTCGCTCGCATGCCAGGTGGAAGGCTGTGTTACCATGATTATCCGTACTCTCGATAACGGCCCCGTATTCCAAGAGCAGTGCTATGACTCCAGCACTCCGAGCCATCAGTAAAACTGGGACATGTCTGTGACAGATGTTAACCATGCCACCATGCGCAAGAACCCTTGCTGTCGCTTCTTCGTCATCCATGGAGACAACAAACATGAGTGCCGTCATGGCACCTGACCTTGCACCATGGTTGATATCCAGACCCTGGCGGCATAATGTTTCAATTGCTGAATCGGACCCGCTCCGGGCCGCATACTCAAATGCAGTTGCGGCATCTCCGATCTTTAGCTTGCAGACCTCGGCCCATTGCACCATAAGGCAATGATTAAGGGAGGTTAACCCATTCAGTGTAACCAATCTCAAACACAAAAAGTCTTGTCTTCTGGAGAAATTATATTCATTGAAGATGGGCGGGCTAGTGACGGTGGAGCTCGACGATATCGTCACCTGCTTCAATTTCTCCATATCAAGGGTTAACCATGAAGATAATCCAGACTTGGCTTGATCCAAATCTGTTTCGGATATCCCTGCGTTATTAGTGAGAGTCAAGCAGCCATTAGCTCCTAGATGAGACTCCAGGGCTGTTACTATGGACGAATCGGCAATACGCCATGCGATCCATCCCATCTGCATAGAAAACAGTTTCCACCATTCACGCTCTTTCCGAGAATCTATCCACCCCGGCTTGCGAAGCTTGTCCAAAGGTTGATTGAACCTTCTGAAGTAATCGGCTCGACTTTCAGCTTGCAAAATCCAGAAGGTTTCATAGTATCCGTGCTGCTGGATGACGGGATGCCCGCGAACCATCAGTGCCCGGCGGCAGAGCCGGCCTAGTTCGAAAGCTGAACGTTCGAACTCTGGTCCTTCGCATCGCTTACAGAGCCAACGGATAATCGAGAATGCATCTGCCCATTGCCCTTCTGTAGCCAATTCGTCAATCTGCTGAGACACGGTAGGAGTGTCTGCTGCCAAATCCGGCAAAAGATTACGTCGTTTCAAGACAGGGACAATGCACAAAAGGGCGTCTTCTCTTGATCCTAGATTTCCAGATCGAAAGCATTGCACCAGTCCGTCAAGACGATCGCTAGAGGCAATGTAGCCATTTTGAGACCCGGAAAGTATCTGTACCTTGTCTGAAAGCTGGAAATTTTCGAGAATATTGTCGAGAAAATGAATATAAATATCTTGGGCCGCCATCATGTCTAATTCGTTCTTGGTCTTGACGACAAGAACATCCATATCTTCAGGATAAGAGTCCGAATAAAAGCCAAATAGTTGTCGGGAAGAGGATATCATGCTAGACGAAACCATTTCCGCCTCTGTTTCGCAAAACATCCATTTGTGGAAGTAGAAGTCGGTCTCTTCAGCTTTGGCCTCCGTCTCATGAAGCCCAACCAGTCGTCCAAGCTCTGGCTGAAGCCAGCCTTCATTGGATTTCAACAGTGACCATGTCCATAACCCTAGTATCGCTTCAAGTTCGCCGACGTCGACTGTCCATTGTAAATTATTCTCGGATCGTTCGATCTTTAGTGTAATCTGCTCTAGTGAAGTCATAGTAACCCCCTCACTGCGAGATAGGCACTCAAACGGGAGCGTAAAGTAACAAACACCATTGGTCATTGTTGTCAATTTGGACAGCAGGTCCATCGTTTTCTCGATCGTATTGGTCAATTTATAGGCAGTATTCCGAATGGGGAGGTCGTGCCACACTTTATTTCCACATTGCTCTGCATTGGATGTGAGCTCTGCTAGGCGAACTCTCGTCTGAATCAGCCTGATCCCCAGCCCAACTGACGCATCCGGTTCTGCCGCCGTCGTTGTCGCAGAAAGACTGGACGGGACGCGAGAGGCATCGTCCGCAAAGTTTGTGCGTAAGTTGAATGATTCAACTCCTTCCAAGTGGAACGCGAAACAATCCAGTTCTTGTTTCTTATGCGAACTAAGTCGGCATTCCTCTTGAGAAAGCCGACTTTCATCTGAACCAATTCTCTTTGTTCGAAGCCAGGTCCGCACAAATGCCATTAAAATGGTAGATCCCATTTGCGCCAGGGCAACCGAAGCATTAAGCCCCCTTTGACCAACGAACTGAAGGGCCCATCCCGAGATAGTGAGTAGTACCGTTAATATTAACCAGGCATGGTTGACTCTATACCCTTCGAGCCTTGTTGATTTGACATATCGAATGTCAGTGCTCGCTTGGGAACGGGGGCCTTCATTGACATCCAAAAATGCACCAAAGACTTGGTCTCCGATATGCTGCCCTCCCGGTTGTAGCCAATAGATTTTACTGGGCTTATTGGGGCGCAGGTAAAACTCCTTCGTGGACCGTTCGATAATGAAGGCGCAAAGGAACATTCCCGTGCAGAGTAGTATAGATCCGAGTAAGAAGAGTGGGAAAGCGTATGCTGCGACCGGTTCTCCATCTTTTTCGAAGTTGGCCGGATACAGGAATACCGTGAGTGCAGAGAATAACAGTACTCCTGCAATACCTCGTCAGGTAAATTTGTACAAAGGGGAGTTGATTGTCGAGGGCTCATACATACCGACTTGCAACACGCAACCCAGGACAGAGGCGAAGTAGAACCAGCCCTGGCTTCTCCTCTTAATTCCCGTATTGAGCGAGAGGTTTGGAACGTCAAGTGCTGGCGGATAATCTTGCTCGTCAAGGTGCTCCCCTTTGTACCCTTCCCGATACCAAGCGCCCTCCCTCAGTGCGTCGCGTAGTGTTCCAATCTGGAGCGGGTGCTCTCCCTCCTTCACATTTTTATCCTCCCACATAACGATTTCCAACATCTGGGGTTTTCCAAAGACTCGCGAAATGCCGCCATTATTGAATACCTCGGCGGTTGTTTCGGACACGCAAGATAGGAGCTCACGCTCCGCCTCTCCAGGACCTTCCTGAGCTCGACCAACAAACGCTCGGAGGGATGAATTGCCGCAGACTCGAATGACAGAGACCACAGCGGTTAGGATTCCCAGGGGGGCCAACGCGAAGGTGAAATTATCCAATACGCTGATAGATTCCGAGAGGTACTGTTTGGTGAGTCGCTCTCCGAACAGGGCGAGAAGAGGTGCCTATTGAGTTTTAATATCACAGTAGGAAAGAGAAGAGAAACCACCCAAAAAGTGAGCTTACCAGGTCTGTTGCGAGATCATTTGTAAAGTCATCCCAATCATCATCTGCTTGCGTCCCCGGTAAGAGGATAAGCAATGTAAGTATAAGCCATAGAGAATATTTCGGGTAAACCAATGGCATCATTGGGGCCGGTGAATATAGTCACAGATCCTGGTAAACTTAGTATGGACAACCCAGGATGTTGGCCTACCCTATGTATATAAGATAATAGCTCAAACCACATATATCCCATACTGCCTTAATATTGACCATAAGGAATCATCAAAGCCGGGTTGTTTGCTTTCCAGACGACCAACCATAACGACGATAACGATGATGCTGTTGGCCTTGGGCATGATACATGCAGATAGCCGCCTGCGCCGCGCCCACCGGTTGGGTTGCAGAGCCAAAATTGGAAACACTGCCCCAAAACGGTTAGAGGGCAAAAAACAGATATGCACGTTAACGCCTTGTGTGACGCCTTATTATTATTTGATTTCATTTTTTGTTTGCCCTAATACTACCTCAGAATTCCCGTCCTAGTATAAATAATTCATGAGTCCTCGCGATGGAATCCATTAAAAAGAGGGAGATAACAAAAAAAAAAAAA